GACATCCTCCTGCCAGTTGACAGTGTCAAAGTCGGGCTTCTGCTCGGGGTACAGGAAGGGGTAGACACCGCGGTACAGGTGGCTGAATCGAGAAGTGGTGGGGTTTCGGGTCACCATGAAGATGGGGCAGACGGGGCGGTACTTGGACAGCAGGCGGGCCGAGTCGCCAGAGGTGGACAGGACGATGATGCCACCGGCGCCGAGGTCGAGGGAGGCGCGGACGGCAGCCATGGCGCACGACTCGACGGTCGAGACGGGGCGCTTGACCAGGGTGCACATCTCCTCGAAGTGGGAGACGTAGGGGATGGTGTTTTCAGCCTTGAGACTGGCCTCGTGCATCTCATGAATGGACTCGGCGGGGTAGTTACCCTTGGCGGTCTCGCCGGACAGCATAACACAGTCGGCGCCATCAGTGACGGCGTTGCCGACATCGCTGATCTCGGCACGCGTAGGACGAGGGTTCTTGATCATGGACTCGAGCATCTGGGTGGCGCATATGACGGGCTTGCCGGCGATGTTGCACATGGCAATCATCTTCTTCTGGGCGGCAAAGACCTCGGCGGCAGGGATCTCAATGCCCAGGTCACCACGGGCAACCATGACACCGTCCGTCTCCTCGAGAATCTCGGCAAAGTTGTTGAGGCCCTGTCGGTTCTCAATCTTGGCAATGATCTGGATCTGCTTGCCCTCGGGTCCCAGGACGTCGCGGATATCCTTGATATCCTGCGCACGGCGGATAAATGAGGCAAAGACCATGTCGACGTTGTTCTTGACACCAAACCGGAGATCGGCCTTGTCCTTCTCGGAGAGAGCGGGCAGGTCGACGTCGGTGTTGGGCAGGTTGACACCCTTTCGGGAGGAGATGAAGCCATTGTTGCGGGCGCGGACCTCGACGGTCTTGTCGTCCTTGATGCTCAGGACGTCAAAGGCAAGGACACCGTCGTCGACGTAGATGACACGGCCAGGCTGGATCACCTTGGTGATGTTCTTGTAGTCGACGTACCTATGACCCTCTGTCAGCCAGTCTCTCACCATGACAATCATGCGACAAACAACGGTAGTAGGTGCAGTAAGGCATAGGGCATCAATCAGGACCCAAGCAGAGCCACCCGTGTTCGCAGTCTCTGTGCGGTATTGCCAAACAGAGCAAGCGGGGGTGAATTCTGAGCCTGGGTCCCCTCATCTCTACCCCTCCCCCACCTCAGATATGGCAGCAAAAAAGTGCTATAGTCAAGAAAATCCTTACATGTTCTGAGTGTCACATGCCGTCGCGTACTTCTCGTCGGTGGTGAAGTTCATGACGGTGCCGGCGCTGATGGGAATGTCCACATCGCCAGCAGTGTTGCCAGTTCGAATCTCGGGGCCCTTGGTGTCGAGGGCAATGGCCACGGGTCGGCCAGGGTGGGCCTCGACGGAGGCGCGCACATTGTCGATGACAGACTGGTGGTACTCGTAGCTACCGTGGGAGAAGTTCATGCGGGCGACGTTGAGGCCGGCATCACGCAGCTTGTTGAGGGCCTCGACCGAGTTGGTCTTGGGGCCGATGGTGCAGATGATGGAGGTGCGGCGAAAGTTGCGGGCAGGCGTAAAGGCCGTGTTGAGCGAGGCCAGCCAGCTGATGCGGCCGCCGGTTTCCAGGTGCTCCTGGGCTGCGGTAGCCATGATGCTCTGCGTGCGGGAGATCTGGGACATGGTTAAGAGGGTTCCGGCTCCGCGATACTGGAGGAGAAAAAGTTCAAGCCGGTCGGGAGGGGGGGGGGGAGGAAAACAAGCAGGTGAGGCTCACGAGTGAAATATTCGTCAAGCTCCCCGGAGTGTAAAAAGAGACGACGATAAGGCGATGCGTGCAAAAGAGATGCAGACAAAGGGCTGATGGACCAAGGCAGACGAGGATGGAGAGGGAAATAAATAAGGGAGAAAGGGCGGCTTCGACGAGGGAGAGAAAAAAAAAACAACTTGAGCTGCGGGAAGGCGAGCCAAGATTAGGTGATGCTGTGGTCTGGTGTGGAGGGGGTGGGTGGCAGAGCCGGCAGCCGTCAGTGGTTGGATTTTTCTCACCTCAACCTGGACTTTTTTTTCTCTCTCCTGCCTCTGTAGCTCCAGGTCTCACAGCAACGGCGGGCAGGGGATCTGTGAGCCAACCAAGGCCCCGGATTGGCCACAGCAGCCACGGCGCATCGACAAGCATGACATTCGGCCGCTGCTCCAACTCATCAGTTGCTGCTTCAAGTTGCCCCTCCTTGCCCTCGCCTCGCCAGTGAGGGGCACTGGCTGATGGGTTTGAGCGCTAACTGAGGGGCAGGCCAACAGCTGGGATAAAGGGACCGGCCGCTAGTCTCACCGTTATCTCTGCCACGGCGTAAAAGAAACAGGCCTCAGTATGTAATTGCCCGCAAACGGACGGCGCCCGGAGCGCAGAAGAAGAGTGCGGTACTGTTCTCGGACGGTCATTTCTGCTTTTTGCCTCGTCTTCTTACTGGGACCCTGCAGGACCGCATGGAGGGACCCCAGCAGTGGACATTGTAGTAATACCGTGAATATTACTCGGTGCTGGAGATCACCAGTAATACCGCCCATGAACGCTACCAGAAGGCATCTTTGCGTGTCGAGGCATTCCTCAGTCTGGCCTCATCTTGCCTCGCCGTACTTGGTTCTCATGAGGCATTTGCCATGGAAATGCCATGGGGTGAAAGTGCCGCCGGTGCCGCCCCCAGCCCATCACACTCGTACTCGTACTTTTTCTGCACTTTTCGTATGTGATTGAGCAACAACTCCTCCTTCGCTAAAAGCCAAGCAAAACGCCCCTTGCTGCTAGAACAAGGGACGCCGGCAGCCCTCCGTGTTTCGGCCCATCTCAACAAAAAAAATTGAAAATCGAGCCTTTTCTCCCCCACGCCGCACGCCGTTGTCCTAGCGCCGGCTCGGCAAAAAGGTGAGAGTTGTTGAATGAAGCGCGAGTGTCAGGGAGCGAGGCATGCATTGTATCCCTCCAAGCGCGATGAGCGTCTGTGATGGCATCTTGAGTGGATGATCCAGGTAGGACGCCAAGACCCGAACATCGATGCCGTCTTCGTCTGTCTCTTCAATGGCACAATGCCATTTGTACGGTTCCCACGCTGTCGTGGTGATAGGTAAGGTAAGGTACCTGCTGATACGGGCAATTGTTAGCACGCAGTCTTATCGAAATGCTCCGTCCAGCTATCGGGCCTGTTTACCTCTCCTCTGCCCCTCCATCCTAATCGGGACTAGACCAAGCTAGCCCTTCGCAAGCTTGTGACTGACTAAGCATGCATGCCATGGAGCTTGCTGACTCACCACCGAGCTCACGCTTGAATCCGGAAGACGAGGCGCCGATCTCCGAAAGCCACGGGGCGCCCGCACGTGATGCGGCACCTCAGCTGTTCCTCCCGCCTCCGAAGCTGTGTTAGCCTCTCACCCGTTGCGACACCCCTTGCGAGCCTTCTCCAGATACCCACAAGCGACACCGACGCCCACCCGTCCATCTGATAGTTCCGATCTCGAAAGGGAAAATCCAGGCATCATGGTGGTACGTCTCTTCTCCCCCGATCTCAAAGCCCCCCCCTCTCCCCCGGTTCGTTGCTCTCGTGCTGGCGCCCTCCGGCATCGTGGGTCGTTTCTTCGTTCTTGAAGGGAACACTTGCGTTACCGAGTCCCGCGCCAGATTTCGCCTGCATTTGACTGGCCGTTCTAAGAATCTGCTCGCAGCTTCTCGACCTGCTGACGCTGGGCCTCTGGTCAAAGGTTGGACGTTTGACTCACTATGCTTTTGACGCCGTTCTTCGTAAGAGCTTCTCTTTCTTCCCCCCTCCCCTCGTCGTGTGGTGTATGCCCGCGTGTTTGCTAAGATTTGCATGTGACAGTGTCGGCTTTCCTCGCTGGCGTGAAGCGCTCGACCGGCCTGACGTGAGTTGTCGCCTTCAACGAGGGAACCATACTGCGGCGACGGGCTAACGGGCCTCCAGTTTCAAGAGCGACAAGGTTGCGGGCGAGAACAAGGACATCTCCAAATGGATTGACAAGTATCTCGGCGTCGGCGAGTGGGTGATGGATCAGTCCGTTGCCATCGCTGGCTCCAGCGGCTTCTTTGAGCGCAAGCGATGATTCTCGTGGACGTGTCCTTTCCAGACCACCGAGTGTCGAGGAGCCGAGTTCGACTATTGAGTTTGCGACGGTTGCCGAGCCAGTTTTCGTCCGACACGGTCTGGATGTCCTGGGAGACTCGGGGAGCTCTTGTCCTGTTTCGAAACGAATGCAAATGCGCTGGAATGCGAACGCGTTGCCATGCTCGACCGCACGCGCCTATCAAGGCAAGGTTCTAGGAAGATGTGATTTGGGATGAATGATCATGACGGACGAGCCGTGCCAACGTCATGTTTTTGTTCGGGCGTTTGATGGGAAATCAAGGGGTGCTTGCTTGCTTGCTTTTTTTTCGTCTTGTTGATCTAAACGCAGAATATGATGAAATGACCCAACTCGCAAAATGAAAGAAGAAAAGAAAAAAGGAAAAAAAATTGACACCAACGATATGCTTTTCGTTCGTCATATCCATTCCTTCCACCCGGTTCATATTCTCGTTCGACGGCGTGGTCCACAAAGGCTTGTTGTGAGTGTTTCCACTTAGCCGAGGTTACGTGGAGTATTACACCCGAAGCCTTACGCTTCGCACCTTATGGTTGACCGCGCCGGACAGAGAGGAAACGATGGGAAGCGCAAGTTTTAGATGTAATCTTTATCGGTCTTGTATTCATTCTCCATTTCAAATATCAGAGTAACAACGCTTTTGCCACGCTATGTAAACATCACCATCATCAGGCCATGCAAACCCAGGGTATATCCCTTCCCATCATCCGAAACCAGCCCACCAAGAAACCGCACACCCAGAGAAAGAGAAAAAAAAGAAAAAGAAGAAGAAGAATAGCCGCATGTTATAGCAGAACCTGTAAAGTTCGAGTGAAGAAAGCAAGCAGTATTTGCTCTCTTCACACGTGTTCCACCAGGAACTCCGGCGGCACCTCGTTCTCGCTGCTGTTATCAGCAATGGCGTGCTCATCACTCGCATCCTGCTCGCCGCTGAGAAAGTCCGATGGCACCTCGTTGTCACTCTCTTCATCGTGAACCACATGGCTGCTCTCCTTTTGCGTGGCAGGCCGATGCTCTGGTTCCGCCTCCGTGTTGTTGTTGTTGTTGTTGTTGTCGGGCGCATCTCCGCCATCGCCGGGAGGCCGCTTCTCCGGGGGGTGTAGCAAGCTGCTGAGAACGTTGTGAGCCTCTTTGAAAGCTTCCAGTTCGGCGCCGATAGCACAAATCAAGAGATTCCAGCGCTTCTCCTCGGCTAGCTTCAGTTGGTCTTCCAGCTCTTCAATCACCTGCTTCATCCGGGACAGCTGATCGGATATGATGTCCTCCTGGGAGGGCACCTTGTCTTTGCCTTTCGGGCTTGAGGAGGATGAAGATGCCGCGGTACCACCCTGCATCGCCTGTCGCAACTCGGCTTCGAAATCCGAAACCAGCTGCGTGACCCTGTCCCAGACTTGGCCCCCTTCCTCCAACGCTTGGCGATCCGCGTCAATACGCTCTTTGCAGCGCTTCAGCACCGCCATCTCTGCCGTCCACCATGATTTTGCCATTTCCAGCGTCCGCCGCTCGGGGATAAGGCGCATGAAGTCTCGTCCTCCCGAGGCGGCTGGGTCTCCTTCGGCCTCGCCGCCCTGCCACAGGAGGTCCTCATCAAGCGGCTGGATCTGGGGATGCTGCACAAACGCATTCGCTTCGTTGGTCACATCTCTCAATGCGCCGTAGTATCCGCTCAGCCCTGCCTCTCTCTTATTCTTGATGTCGTCTATCCTCTCTTCAAGCGTGCGGTGCTCTATCCGCATTGCTGCCAGCTTCTCCTCGAGCAGCTGGATCTCCTTACCCAGGGTATCGTGCTGAGTGCTCAGGTCCCGTAGCTCTCTCGCCAACGGCTCGTCGCCGTTCTCTGTCAAATCATCCAGCTCGGCCTGTATGCCGGTTTTCCTGGTGCCTAGCCGCTCCAGGTAGTTGAGCGCATCTTGCCGCTGCATCATGGCGTCGTCCAGATGAGCATGTTCGTCTTCCTTGAGCCTCGTCATGGATGTTATCAGCTCCCGAAGAGCGCCTCTGGTAGACCTCAGCCCTGGCGGCTTGTCATTTGTGGGTTGTCTGATCGGCACCACGTTGCCATCGCGGGTGGTGCGAGGCGGCACATAGAGCGAACTGGTCATCTTCGATTTGGAGCTTTTCGTAGAGTAGAATGTGCTCGTCGGAGTGCTACTCCCCGTGCTCGACCCGTCATTCTCGTTGCCGGTTCCGGCGGCCAAAGCGGCGGCTTGCTGGTCGAGCAGCAGCTGGACCTCTTTCTCCAAGGCCTTCTCTTGCCTCCGCAAGCCTCGCCAAACGGTATCGGTGGCTTTCATAGCAGCCTCACGTCTGTGATCAAACAAGACGCTGTTAGCCTCGGTCGGGCTGCCGCCGAGAAGGCTATATGGCGTAGGTTTCTTGCGACCTGAAGGGCCAACAGAATCCGCCCTGAACGACTCCTTGCTTATCAACATCGATGCTGTTATCGGCGGCGGTGGACCAGCAAACATCGGTCGTTGGTTTTGCTTTATACTGTAAACTGACTGACTGGTTTCAGTCTTGGTGTTGTCACGCCATGTGGTTGGTGATGCCCCGCGAGACGCGGATGGCTCCTCAAAGTGGGATTGCCAAGCTCTAGGCAGGTCTCCCTCGGTTGACGAGGCATCATCAGGTCGAGGATCTAGTTCGTTGAGCTGGTATTCGCTAGGCTCTCGGGGCAGTCGTCTCGGAGGGTTGTGGAGAGGCAGAAGGGGTGAATTGCGATGGGGGCTCGTCATGCGTTCGAAGAAGGCCATCTCGGTGGTTGCGTAGAAGGGGGGGGCTTTGGTGTAGGCTATGCGGGAGGATGGGCGAAGGCGATTGAATGGACAGTGGCAGATGCAGAAGGAATCCGAGCAAGAGTAAGTTTACAATAGCATGGAGGAAGAGAATTTGGTGGTGGAACGACCATGGAGCTGCTTTCAAGTGTGCTTTCGTTGAAGCTGCTCACGAGGACAGGTATGGAGGACGAGACTGTGGCATGTGCTTGGGAGCTTATCGAGACGCTATCTGTCGGTACTTTACACTGTGGAAGCACCCGCGCATATGCCGACCCAGGCCGCCTTTTTGGGGTAAGTCGTCTAGTATATGCAACACTGAATTTGTGAGCAGAGTCCGTGTATATTAATGTGTCACGCACCGTGAGGCGCATCATGGAGGTATAGTAGCTTCTTGGATATGGGCGAGCGTAAGAGTGTCTCTTGGAGGAAGACTTCCAGCCTACATACCTTATGGTATTATGTAAAGTCGTAAAGTACCTAAATCTTGTTGAGAAAGGGTTTGCAGCTTCATATCTCAAAGAAGTAATCTTGAAAAAGATCACTAAGCAAGTCAGAGTAACTCAACACGAGATGCATGTGATCGAAGACGCCGGGCTCATGGTGAGTAAAGCTGCTTGTCACAATGGGGTCACCACGGAGTTTGCCGCTCATTCAAATTGGAGCATCTCGCCCATTCCATGTGATCCAGGTGCTCGAGTCGACTCTGTCGAACCATTTGAATTTTTCACCTGTCGCTTGGAACCAGTCTGTGAGACGACATACCTACCGAGTCGACAGTGAGATCCAGAATGCTACCTTACAGTAAGGTACATGTACCCATCGAACAGTCCCACAGCGTGCTAACCGCAGTGCTAGCCGCTGCACTTTGGCGCCTCACTACGCCTTACCAAGCACCAAGCTTCCCACCTTAGCCCGGGCCTTGCTCTCTCTGGTCTTCCGTATAAGCACGCAGATCTGGGACGCTGACGAACGCAAGAATGGCCTTGATCTGATCCCTTCAGCCGTGCCTCGCCTGCTCTGCCTTTGCCTCTGCGTCTCCGTCTCCGTCTTGCCCGGCCCGTTCACCACAGATCAACCAGCACCGCGCTGCCAAAGGGGGGGCCGCCTGGTCGCCTCGTGATCCAGCCCTGCTGCTGTCGACCCCTCTGACGAGAGCCGCGCCTCGCCTATCGCCATCCAGTCCCACGTCCCACGTCCCAACCGCCTCCAACCAAGAAGCACAAGCTCTGCAAGCCAGTCCGAGTCGAGTCTGAACGCCCCCGGCCAGCCCCCCAACCGCCAGCGAGGCGCCATGAACCAATCACATCAGCTGCCTCCCCCGCGACGGCAGCAGTCGGCCACGGCTCCCTATGGCGCTCATCCCGACGAACTGCACATGTCCGGTGTGAGCCCGCAGAGCCAGATGACATCGCGAGACTACGCTCCCCAGATCAAGCTCGAGCAGTCGCAGAGCTCGGTGCCCAACGTGCTCCAGCCGGGTGGCATGTCGCGCCCGCCCTTGTCTTCCCACTCGTCGATGCATCCCGGCTCCGGCGCTGGCCCTGGTGCTGCCGCTGGCTCTGCCTCCGCCGCTGCCTCTGCCTCTGGCCCAGCTTCAGCATCAGCTTCTGGCTCAGCGTCCGCAGCCGCATCCGGCGGCCATTCAGACTACCCGTCGCCGCAGAAGCCCGTCCTCAACATGGCGCACACCTACTCGCGCTCCATCAGCTACGACACCCCGGCTTCGTCCTCGTCATACCATGCCTACACGCCCACCACGCCCAGCGGCTCGTCGTCGCAGTTCATCTCGCCCCAGGATGCAAAGTACGGCGCTCCCGGCGCCCAGCGGACCTTTTCCAACACGCCGCTGGGCCTCGCCGACATCCGGCCGCGCGCCGACTCGAGCATGTCCGACGGGGCGCCCGGCACCCTGGGCTACGAGCTCGCAAACACGCAGCCGGGCCCCAGCAACTACCTGGCCCCGTGGCCCATCTACGCCTTTGACTGGTGCAAGTGGACGCCCCGAGGCAACGGTGCCGGCAAGGTCGCCGTCGGCAGCTATCTGGAGGACGGCCACAACTTTGTAAGCCAGTTCCCGCCGTGGTTGAGTGAGCAAGATGCAAAGCTGACGGGGTGATGCCACAGATCCAAATCCTAGACAGCCAGGTCGTCCCGACGCCGCAGGATGTGTACCAGCCCGGCACATCCAAGGTCAGTCTCGAATTTACAAAGGTGGCCGAGGCCACGCATTCGTATCCCGTCACGCGGCTGCTGTGGGAGCCGCCCTCGTCGCAGAAGCAGTCCACCGATCTCCTGGCGACGTCTGGCGACCACCTGCGGCTGTGGTCGTTGCCGTCCGAGACATCGGCAAACCCAGGAAACACCATCACCCGGCCCCAGCGCGAATCGGCCGTCACCAAACTGACGCCCCTGGCGCTCTTGTCCAACTCTAAGACGCCAGATCACACGGCCCCGCTGACGTCGCTCGACTGGAACACCGTCTCCCCCAGCCTCATCATCACCTCCAGCATTGACACCACCTGCACAATATGGGACATTCCGTCCCTGACGGCCAAGACGCAGCTGATTGCGCACGACAAGGAAGTCTACGACGTACGGTTCTGCGCCAAGAGCGTCGATGTGTTTGTGAGCTGCGGGCAGGACGGAAGCGTGCGCATGTTTGACCTGCGGAGCCTGGAGCACTCTACCATTATCTACGAGCCCACAGGCAAAGAGGATCGAGGTTTGTCATCCATTACACTCTAGGGAGCGCCCACGTATAAAGAATCACGTTTGATCGCTGACTGACCCGACGACAGAATCCGGAGAGCGGATGAGCCCTACAACTGCACAGCAGACACTTTCGAATCCTCCCCCGCTCCTCCGACTAGCTACATCCCCCCATGATACCCATCTTCTAGCGACATTTGCCCAGGACTCGAATGTGATTCGCATCTTGGACGTTCGGCAGCCTGGCCAGGCTCTGCTCGAGCTTCGCGGACACTCTGGCCCCATCAATTGCATTGAGTGGTCTCCGTCACGGAGAGGGACTCTGGCCTCTGGAGCCGACGACTGCCAGGTGCTCCTGTGGGACCTGATGAGCGGATCGTCCGTCAACGGCTCGCAGCAGCAGGAGAACCAAAGAAGCCCCGTAGCATGCTGGGATTGCGACTACGAGATTGGAAATTTGGGCTGGGCACCGCACTTGCAGGGTGCCGACGGCGGCGAGTGGCTCGGTGTCGGTGCAGGCCGAGGCGTCTGGGGCGTTAAAGTCACATAAGGGTCTCTTGCGTGGACATTTGAGATGAGACGACGCCCGAGAAAAGCTGTCCAAGTGATGCCTCGTCTCTCGATAACTGGGAGAAGAATCACTTGTTCCGATTGATATAGACTTGGCTGTGGAAAGGGGGCGGTATATGTATCACCTACTTGAAAGGATTCCCGGAGTTTTTGTACCGATGATGGCCCTGGCTGTATGAGATTCAGCAACAACTTTGGAGTATGGAGGCGTGACGAGCAAACGATTGGAAGTTCCGGCCATATGGATATCGTGAAAGGGATGGAAAAGGGAGCACGAAGCGGTTGTCATGTCATATGGAGTGGTTCTTTGTTTTTCTTTTACATTTAGTTTATCGCAATTTGAAGCCGCGAAATTTTAGAAGGACGGGCTTTGCGAATACAGCGAGCGGACGCATCCCTGAACTCTTGTACTGCCCGGAACGACTTGGCTGTTACCGAGGCGGAGTTTACTTCATGCTACGCCTCGTGGTGGCGGTTGTAGGTTAAGGTTCATGAAATACAGTTGAGCTAGAATCTTCAGACGCATGATCCAGTAGCAACGAGCCATCGGCCGATTGACTTTAACGGACTCTGTCAAGACTCATGGAAGTATGTATGTACATTAACGGCTCTAACCGCGGAAGGGCGTAATCACACAACTCCGACGTTGTGAAGCGCAGTACTGGTAGGTCCAGAACCTCAGGTGTAAACTTGGAAGGTTTGAGGCTGTGGCTGTGGAGGAATCCCAACAGAAGCTGTGAGGCCAAACAGATAAAGCTTCGAGGCCTCAAAGAGAAAAGTCATATGTGGATGCACCATTCAAATACCGGCTTTTCGACTTGTGCACTTTTATTTCTCCTTTTCCCTCCTTCGTACAAATAAATACTCGCCTCCCCCCTGTCTTGATCTTCTCAGGCTCTCAACTGTCTTTCTCACCTGAATCCACTCTGCAGTCAGCCAAGCGCGTTTAGCCCGATAATTACCCGCGTCGGTCACTGGCCTCTGGCTCTCGAAAGCAAAAGCGAAATCCTTCCTCCATCTCCACGCCTTCTCCTTCTTCCTTCTCCCAACTCTCCATCTAACAGTCGTACGGTGAACAGCACGCGTCTATTTACCGTACTCAAGATGGCTTCCAACGATCGCGACCGCTTCGACGACTCCGAGGATGAGGAGGACTTCAACCCTGCGCCGGCCGACATGTCTGACGAGGAGGGCAATGACGCCTCCAGCCGGGCGCGAGACAGCAGCCCCAATCGCCATCAGGAGGCGGACGACGACGAGGAGCCCACGCCTGCCAAGTCGCGCAGGGCTCGGGATGAGGATGAGGATGAAGAGGAAGAAGACGAGGAAGAGGAAGCGGATACTCGAGGTCGCCATGACGATGACGACGAGGAAGAGGAAGAAGATGATGAGGATGAGGATGATGTCCAACATGTACGTACGGCGATCTGAATTTTCCTCATCTCACCATTGAGCGTTTTGGCGGCGAGGACGCTGACACTGGTGACCCCAGGGCCATCGCAGAAAGCGCCAGCGCGACAGGCGGAACGCCTTCATCGATATCGAGGCCGAAGTCGATGACGAAGACGAGGGTGAGGACGACGAAAAGGATGGTGAGGAGATAGAAGACTTCATCATCGACAACGCCCACCCCGACGACCTGGTCGAGAGCTCGCGACTGGACGATGACCGACGACACCGCGAGCTCGATCGCCGCCGCGAGCTCGAGTCCAGCATGGATGCCGAGAAGCAGGCCGAGATCCTGCGCCAGCGGTACGGCAACCGCCGGCCCGGCAAGAGCTTTGGCGACTCGGCCGTCGTGCCCAAGCGCCTTCTCCTCCCTAGTGTGGATGATCCCAGCATCTGGGCCGTGCGATGCAAAGAAGGCAAGGAGCGAGAGGTCGTGCTGTCCATCATGAAGCGGGTGGACGAGCGAAGGGGCACCAAGGACGAGCTGGCCATTACTGCGGCCTTTGAGCGCGGCGGCCCAGACTCCGTCATGAAGAGCTTCGTCTACGTCGAGACCCAGAGGCAGACGGACATTCTCGTCGCCCTCGATGGCATCCTCAACGTCTATCCCCACTCCAAGCTGACGCTGGTGGACATAAAAGACATGCCTGAGCTGCTGCGCGTCACCAAGACGCCGACGCTGGAGCCGGGCGCCTGGGTGCGGCTGCGCAAGCCGGCCAAGCACAACGGGGACCTGGCCCAGGTCATCGATGTCACCGAGAACGGCCTGGAGGCGAGAGTCCGTTTCATCCCCAGACTCGACTACGGCATGCGCGACGAGGCGCTCTCCGCTGTCACTGCGGATGGGAAGCGCAAGAGGGCACCAGGAATGGGCCCACGACCGCCCCAGAGGCTCTTCAGCGAGGTGGAGGCGCGAAAGCGCCATCCGCGCCACATCCAGGGCAATCCGACGACCAATACCTGGACATACATGGGCGAGGAGTTTGAAAACGGTTTCCAGGTCAAGGACGTTAAGATCCAGCAGCTCGTGGTCACGGACGTCAACCCGTCGCTGGAAGAGGTGACGCGGTTCGCCAGCGGTGCCGACGATGGCACCGAGAACCTGGACCTCAAGGCCCTGGCAGCCAGCTTGAAGGACAGCAACACGCTCGTCACGTACCTGCCTGGCGATATCATCGAGGTGTATGCCGGAGAGCAGAGAGGTGTCGTGGGCAAGGCGACCAATGTGCAGGGCGACATTGTCACCATGTTCGTCACAGAGGGCGACCTCAAGGGCCAGAGCATCGAGGTGCCCATCAAGGGCCTCCGCAAGCGTTTCAAGATCGGTGACCATGTCAAGGTGATTGGCGGCAGCAAGTTCCAGGACGAGGTCGGCACGGTGGTCAAGATTTCCGAGGACCGCGTCACGCTCCTGACGGACCACACGAACAACGAAGTGACGGTCTTCAGCAAGGATTTGCGCGAGGCCAGCGACATTGGCGGGCAGGGATCGCTCGGCCAGTACGAGCTCCACGACCTTGTGCAGCTGGATCCCACCACGGTCGGCTGCATCGTCAAGGTGGACAGGGAGTCGCTGGTTGTGCTGGACCAGTTTGGAGACACTCGCCAAGTCATGCCCTCGCAGATCCCCAACAAGCTGCCCAAGAGGAAGCAGGCGGTTGCCGCCGACCGGGAGGGCTCGGAAATCCGCCTCGACGACGTCGTCAAGGAGTTCTCCGGACAGCAGCGCCAGGGCAAGATCATCCACATCCACCGCTCATACGTGTTCCTGCACACACACGCCACGAACGAGAACGCGGGTGTATTTGTCACCAAGGCGAGCATGGTCAACACGATCGCTGCTAAGGGAGGCCGTGTTAACGCAGCAGCGTCGGGGCCTGACTTGTCCACCATGAACCCGGCTCTCAAGATTCACAAGAACGGCACCGAGAACAAGCCGATCGCCAAGACGTTTGGCCGGGACCGCGCCATCAACCAGACCGTCATCATCAAGAAGGGATACTACAAGGGTCTCCTGGGCATCGTCAAGGACACGACAGATACGCACGCTCGCGTCGAGTTGCACACCAAGAACAAGACGATCACGCTCCCCAAGGACTCTCTCAGCTACAAGGACAAGATCACGGGCACGACCATCGACATCAACGGCAGAGGACGACCGGCGTCGGGTGGTGCAGGGCGCGGTTCCGGGGACAGAGTCCCTGGCTGGCAAGGAGGATCCCGCACGCCGATGGGCTCTGGAGGCTCAGATCGCGTCCCCGCTTGGGGATCACGAAGTAAGTTGTCATGTACTCATCTCTTCCCGTTACCCCATACTAACATGGGACTCAGCTCCTGCGGCAGGTGGTCGTACACCGGCATGGAAAGGCCAGGACTACTCTGGATCGCGGACGCCGGCCTGGGCTGACGGATCGAGGACTGTCAATCCGTATGACGGAAGTCGGACAGCCTACGGTTCCGGCTCACGCACGCCTGCCTGGCAAGCTGGTGCTAGAACCCCAGCGGCAGGCGACGCGTTCGGGGCCGGTTCACGCACCCCGGCATACGCTGGCGGAGGCGAGAGCTGGAATTCGGGTTCCAAGACGCCGGCCTGGGGCGTTTCAGCGCCGACGCCTGGGGCCAGCGGCAACGATTCCTGGGGTTACACGCCGGCGGCGACGTCTTCTGTCGCCTACGACGCCCCGACTCCCGGAGGTGCCATGTCGGCCCCTACTCCTGGCGCCTTGAGCGCGCCCACGCCCGGTGCCTACAACGCTCCCACCCCGGGCGTCGGAGCGCCGACTCCTGCTGGCGGCTGGCAAGGCGGATGGGGAGGCCCGGACTCGGCGCCGACACCAGCCGCTGGTGCTCCCACGCCGTCTGCTGGCTACGGCGGCTACTCGGCACCAACGCCTGCGGCTTACGCGCCCGAGACGCCTGCGGCCAGTGGTCCGAGGTACACGGATGATGATTGAGTGTGCAGAGCAGAGGGGCTGGTTTGGTAAACTTTCGACATGGTGAACTGGCGTTTTGGGATCCAAAATTGTAATAATACTGAAGAAGGGGAGGGGCATCCAGCACCTCTCCGACAAATCCAACGATACTATAGGAAGCGCGTGGCTGCCGAGACCAACAAAATGTAGATGGGGGATAACGATACGCTTTCTCAATGAAGATTCCTTTTGCACTAACATTCAGGCTGTGGCGTAATTTGACATTTGTGAATTTTGTTCTCCCTGTCGTGGTGATGCTTCGTACCTTATATTCAATTGAAAGTGGATTACGGCCCGAGTTTCGGCCGAACGCTGAGAAAAAGTTGGAGCCACCAGACCGTCAAGTTCATCTGCTCATTCATCATCAAACCCCCCATGAACTCGTGTCTCTCAACACGCAAGCCAGGCCAAATTTGCAATCCAAGCGAGGAATATATATATAGAGAGAGAGAGAGAACGAAGATTGCATATCAAGTTGAAGAAGAGGAAGAAGAAGAAGATTTATTCACAGCAGAAAAATGTTTCGCCCGCGGATACGCAGTCGCTTGCTGGAGCGGTACGAAGGGCAACTTTTCCGACGGAGCGCCGTTGCTGGATCAGAAGAGGCGATGATGATGATGATGAGGAGGAGTAGGAGGGGATATGCGACGACGACGAAGAGCAGTTCATTGAACAAGGCTCTTCCTTCTACTGGATCTTCATCGGGCTCATCATCGCCAAGAACCCCAACGACGACGACGACATCTGCACCATCCCAGACAACGTCGTCGCCCACATCGACAGGTCCCTCAAGGGCAGTAGGAGGAGGAGGGCAAGGGGCAGAGGCAGCAGCAGCTCTCCGGACAGCCGAGATGCGCGAGTCGGCCCTCCGCGCGGCGCGGCTCCGGCGGCTGGCGCAGCAGCAGGACAGGCTCGCCGAGGAGGCCAAGAGGCAGGAGGAGAAGAGGGAGTACAAGAGGCGGTATGACGGGGCGGCGAGGAGGTGGGTTTCGACGATTATTGCGTTGCCGATATTGCTGGTTACGAGCTATTATCTTTTTGATCGGCGTAAGTTTTCTCTCCCCCCTTTTTCTCCCTTGATCTTTCCTTTGCATTTTCTCTTGTTCATTCTTTGTTTGTGTGTCTGAGGAGGGGGGGCGAGGGGGGTTGTTGTTGTTGTTGTTGTTGAGTCAATTTTGATCCCGGGTGAGGTTGTTGAGGATGACAAGTTTGTCTAGATGGGGTGATAGGAAGGAGAAGTGAGGAGGAGAAAGGATGAGTTTTTGAGCTGACTTTGTTGGATCTTGTTAGTGGTGCTGGGAAAGAAGCCGAAGAGTTTGGAAAAGTATCGGGGGGAGAAGAAGGCGGATTGAGGAGATTTCGACTCGGAGTTTGTCTGTGTGGCCGTGGATTCTTTGGGATGGTCTGTATAAGGGGGGAGTCATGGGAGGGATGCACTTTTGAATGTGTGAGCAGACCTGACTCGGGCTTGGGATTAAAACCTGCGGAGATGCTGTATCCCCTTTGGCTTTGAAGCATCATGAGAAGATACAGTCCATGGGCTGGATTATTTGTATCCTCTTCTACATATACAAGGCTTTTCGCTCATATGCAACTCTATCCACAAAAAAAAAACCACCATGCAAGAACAAAACAGACCCCTCCTCAAGAGAGAGAGAAGAAACACAAACTCAAACACACAAAGCACACACATAGATAGATTCTTACAGCCTCGCCCTCACCGGCGCAGTCCCAGCCTTGAGCATCTCCTCCGCATCCCGCTTCGACCACTGCTTCAGCACCTTGCGCACAATCTTGCCGCTCGCCAGCTTGGGCACCTCGTCGATGAAGGCGACGCCGCCGACGAGCCGCTTGTGCTTGGCCACGCGCGCGGCGGCCCAGTCCTGGATGTCCCTGGGCGAGACCTTGCCCCTGGAGGCGGGCTGGAGGACGACGTAGGCGCGGGGCCATTCATCTTCGCCGCTGTTGTTGGGAGCCCCTTTGTCAGTAACAGATTCGATGAGATGTGAGTTTTCTTGTTTTTTGCATTGAGATGGGGGGAGCGTTTACAATCTAATGTCGACGACGGCGGCGTCGGCAATGTGCTCGTTTTCGAGGAGGGCGGCCTCGAGTTCCGCCGGGGCGACTTGCAGGCCGTTGACCTTGATGAGCTCCTAAGCAGCCGTGAGCATGATGAGAATATACAACCCCCTGATAACTCAAAACTGTCGATACTCACCTTTTTCCGATCCACAATCGAAAACAAGCCCTCGCCGTTCACGACGGCAACATCGCCCGTCCGGAACCAGCCCTCCTCATCCAAGCACTCCCTCGTCGCCGCCTCGTTCCGCCAATACCCCAGACACACATTGGGCCCCCGTATGAACAGCTCGCCGCGCTCCCCCACGCCCACCTCGTTGCCGCCGTCGTCGAGCAGCTTGCACTCGCAGTTGGGCAGCAGCCTCCCCACGGAGCCCAGGTTGTCGCCCTCCAGGCCCTCGGCAAAGGTGATGCCGCTGCACGTCAGCTCCGTCATGCCGTAGCCCTGGGTGATGCGGAAGCCAAACTTGTCCTGGCACAGCATCTGTAGCTCGCGCGATAGGGGCGCGGCGCCGCACATGACGTGCCGCACGCTCGAGAGGTCGTAGCGCGCCGTCTCGGGCCGCTTGGCCAGCATGACGACGATGGGCGGCGCGACCTGCAGCTGCGTGATGCCGTGGCGCTGGATCGCCCGCAGGAAGTCCTCGTACTGGAACTTGGGCAGGACGTAGATGGGCGTCAGCGTCTTGGCCGCCATCAGGCAGGCGTACAGCTGCCCGTAGGCGTGGTACAGCGGCAGCAGGCCGATCCAGCGGTTGCGCGGCTGCAGGTCCCACTCGGGCCGGCGGTGGGCGTGGCGCAGGTGGATGGCCTGCTCGACGTTTGCGATGAGGCTCGAGTGCGGCACGCAGACGCCCTTGGGCAGCCCCGTGGTGCCGGAGCTGAAGTTGATGGTGGCGACGGTGCGGCGGGCTTCAAGGGGTGTCAGGGCCGGCCACTGCCAGTCGTAGGCCTCCTCGTAGGGGGGCAGCATGGCCTTCCAGTCGAGGACGCCGTCCTGCGGCGGGAGGGTGGCGGGAGCGTCTGAGAACTGGAAGATGCGGGCCCGCGGGATGTTTGCTTTTGCGGAGGCTTCGAGGACCTTGGCGAGGACGGAGGGATGGGCGAGGACGGCTTTTGCCTCTGTGTTGGCGAGCTGGTAGCCGAGTTCTGGTTTTTCGTGATATCCGGTGTTAGTCTTTTATATCTCAACCTTTGATATTGGGTACATGTAAGTATATAGAACCCACCGGCAACGGTAAAGACCGGGTTGGCACCGCTAAAGATGCAGCCCGAGCCCGTGATGCCCAGGTACGCCGCCGGCACGAAGATGTGGTTGGGCGTGCAAATCATGACGACGTCGCCTCGCCTCAGGCCCAGGCGCTGCAGGCCCAGGCCGAGGCGGCGGATCCATTGCACCAGCTGGTGCGGCGAGAGGCTCCTGCTGGGGTCCTTTGCGTCGAACCAGATGGGCTCGTGCGAGAGGGTCGCACCCTTGCCGAACAGGTAGGTGAGGACGTTTGTCTGCGGGATGTCGAGGGGCTCGTATAGGGATTTGATGGGCATCGTGGGCGGTGGAGGAAGTTGAGGTGAGATGTGATGAGATGTGATGAGAGATGAGATGGAAGGTTTATACTACGGTACTATGGTGAAGAAGGGGGATTGAGGGGGAGAACTTGGGATATATAGCATGGTTCGAATGAAAAATGAGTGAAAGAGACAACAAAATGATAACGAGTGAAGCAGATCGTCAACCTCGACTTCCCCTCTCAACGAACATTGCCCGCGGGAAAATGCAAGGAACCTCGGTTGCCTCTTCAGGGCATTTTGGGGGAGACAAGTTGGTGTGTGAAGTTCTACAAGAAGCTAGATTGGGGGGCGGGCGGATCTGCTTTTGCCCTGGGCTTTGCGTGCCCATTGGCTGGGTAATCAAATGCCGGAGCCGAGCCGGGGGTTTTTCTTTTTTGCTGGGAATGGCAGAGCCGAAAAGCTGGGGTACATGAAGGAATACTGTAGTGGTAGTAGTAGCAGGAGGAATTGAGGTGAATGAGAGATGCGAACAGGTAAGAAGCAGAAGAGACCGAGTGAGGTTAAATAAGTGAAGAAGAGGAATGACTAGATGTGATTCAGCTCGAATCTTCTTCACTCCGTCACTCTGTCACTTTTGCTTCTGAGTTTTGTTGGGCTTTATCCAGGGGAGCGGCTGTTACGCGTTACCGCAGCCGGGATGCCGACGCGCATGAGAAGCGTGGGGCTTTTCGGTGAAGAGAGGACAAAAAGCCAGGGACCATCGTCGTGCAGTTCATGCTTTGATCATTGCTGAATCAAAGTGTTGCTGGACCGATAGTCGCCGAAGTGGGTTCATCATGGCAACTATAGGGTATCCGGACCTACATACCTACCTTACTATACCGCATCAGCCCGTGTTGACTAGAGTCATACTACAACGGGCACAAGCCGTCAGGGACCCGACTTCGACAACCACTCACTTCACATAGCGAACATGACACATATTGAAAATGCAAAGTATAGATCCGTTGCAGTGTAAGCAGATATAGCGGCCTCTCATGTCCATCACTCAGCTCCAACCCCCGCCCCCCGAATCTGCTGTGCAACCTCCGCCATAATAAAAGGCGCAATACCCGTGTGCCTGGAACGGGGGCGAAGAGAAACAACACCTTTCAGCCTCTCTCGAGAAGAGCAAATGTGGCATCGTCAAGACAGAGGCAGCCGTGTGGTTCTGTATCCGTCTTCCCCCTCTCTACTATACCATCCTTTTCTCCATCGCTTGGCTACCTTATGCCGTGAATTAGTATAAAATGCACAATGGTGTGCCTCACTCAAAAGGCTCCGTCTCTGTAAAGGTAGATACTCAACCCCCCGTCAAATCCTTTGCCGACACCTTTGGGTCTGACCTGAGATGTCACAGGTATCTGGGGTCAAAGACAAGAGAGAGGGCTTCGTCTTCAACCGTCTTCCTTCTATACAACACCATGTTGATTGGGAGAATTACCGACTCATCTTGCCCAGCCTCAACACTGGCCCAAAGCTACAGCAGCTACATCTAATCAGATGAGCACAGCGAATCTCAGCACAGCTCCATCGTTCGGCATTCCACCCTGAACTTTCAGATCTTGGAAGTGTTAACCGCATATTACAAAGGGATCAAGTCACATTGCTCCACCTCCGCAGCAGATGATTCTGAGTGACTGACGATTTCAGCGGTTGACTACGTCTTGAAATAGTACTTCTACCCGAAAAGGTAGCATACATGAGGTAACGCTGATCGAATGTCAGTTTCTGTCCCATAGTAGGCAACGTCTGCTTCGTCTTCTCTCCATCACTGTCGCCCTATAGGCCGTTGAGACAATGACGGGCCAATCATGCGTTGCCCAACAAGCAGCGAAATCCCCCAGATATCGAGGCGATGTGATCGGTCCATAGATCATCGTTGACTGTACGCAGGGGAAAAAAGCCAAGGATTGCGTGATATCATAGAGTATCTGGGTGGGTATCCTCAGAGCCTTCACAGTGGGCAAGACAACATCACAGCTCGGGAGAGCAAGAGTGTTTTACGAATTTGTATTTGCTTCCTGCTTCGCTCAACGAGACGAGAGTGTACAGGCACATAAGCTGAATATACAATCGGTTGAACAACGCCATGGCGAGCCCGCTTCCACAGGCTCCAGCCATCCCAACCTCCGAATCCATCCAGACCAACCCAGCCAGCACAGGCTCGGGTGCAACAACAACAACATAGGTACACACAAAGGAAAGAGAAGTTGAAAACCAAGAGCATGAAAAGACGATGAAAAGTCACATCACATCAAACAGACAAGCCCCTCACGTCTCGCTGGGCTTGGGCCCCGAGAAGCGCGCAATCGACTTCTGGATGCCCCTCTCCATGCCCTTGGCCATCCTCTCGAGCGGCAGCTTCTCGTCCATCTTCTTGACGGCCCGCGCAATGGGCGGCTCGATGCGCTGGGCGGTGCGCTCGGCGGGGCTGGTGAAGTAGTTGATGTTGCGCTCCCAGCGCGGCGCCCACTTGGTCGTCTGGCGCGCCATGCGCTCCTCGGCGCCGGGCATGGCCATGTACAGGGGCGCCAGGACGCCGACGCCGGCGGCGCTGATGCAGAAGATTTCGGTGGGCTTGGCCTTGGGGAGACGGGGGACGCGGGGGGCCATGGTTGATGATGGTTGGTGGTGATTGATTGATGTGTTGGTGTTGATGGAGATGGGGAGTTGATGATGTGTCAGTTCTGGTTGACCTGTTATGATGCCCAATTAGTATCTGGGATGGTCAGGTTGCAGTGAAGTCGAAGGGAGGATGATGAAAGAGAAGGGAATGGACATACCAATGAAGACGACTGATGAAGTCTTTCACAGTCGCAAGATGTTGTTGTTGAAGAGTGTTCAAGTGCTGGCTGATAGGACGGCGATTTCGATGAGGATGAGGAGGATAAAGAGTAGGAGGCAAAGAAGGAACAGTTAGCACGAGGATGCACACCTCCGCACTTGCCTTATATACCCAATGCCCACTCGCCCCAGGTTCCTTCCTTCCTTCCCCCCCCTCATCCAGGGATGACACCACCCTCACGCGGTCAGAAGCAAGGCAGCCACGACGCAGTACCTCTTGCACAGGTAAACGACAAGCAGGGGGTCTATCGGCAGAGACTCTGCCGCGCAAAGGGCACAAGTATCAGCAGAGCGACGGCATGTACCTCTCGTCCGAGAGTGAGGTCAGACTCGGGAGATGCTGCTGCGTGCGGAGAAAAACAGGGCAAAGGTCCTGCGGTACGAGGGGGTCGTGTCGGCGACTGGGCGACGCCGCAGGTCACTTTCCGCGTGGCGATACCTGTGAGAGAATGCTTGTTGCTGATGGCCGTACAGTGTGTGTGTTTTCGTCGCATACCATGTAAGGTATTCATAAAAGGGCGTTACAATAGCGGCAAGCCACCCCAGAAAACCGCATGCATCAACAACCACACCACCTTTTCTCCTCATCAGCCGGGGGGTGGTGGTTTGGCTTGCATTCTGCCAGTATCTAACACGTCGCCAGTTCAAGACAATGACAGCAGCAATCCAACCCACGAGGCGTGCCTCGGCATTGCCCCAAACGGACACATCTCGAGCCTCACTTTTCTCTTTCGTTTTCTCTCTCACATCACCATCGCGTCTCCCTTGGTGTTTTTGATCTTCTGTTGGCCATCGACCCTCTGCTATTAGTCTTAGTACTACTAGCAACAGACCCGCCCCCAGACTGGGAAACTGGCGCTACTCCGGACTGCTGTGGATTCAGATTTCGTCTGGATGGATCCTGGCCCACTTCCCCAGACGGCACAGCGATTTGCTCTCCACTGCCCAATCGCCCGGCTTGTCTCCTCCGTCTCCTCCGTCGCTTCGCTCTTTCATCATTCCTGTCCTCGCATGCCAGGGTTGGCACTCGTCGCTACGATGACTCGTCGAAAGCAGCCTTCTGCTGGAGAGAAATAGGGCACTGCAAACCAGGTGTAATGTAAAACAATGGAAACAAAACCAGCTCAGCAAATCCAAGCACCCAGAAAAGCCCTGATGGACAGCCACCCCAATCCTGCAGTAACCCCTCAAAAGCAATCCAACATACTCGTACTACATGGCGCCACTCATCATCCGTCATCAAGCAGCAAAACCTCACATTGGACACGACAACTATGTACGTATCTACTTATTACTAGCTCGGTCGCATGTTCGTCCGTTCGCTTGAATGGCTGGTGGCGACATGGTTTCTCGCAAGAGTCGAGACGGGGGAGACGGAGGCAATGCGAGTGAAAGAAGCATAGCCCCCGTGATTGGACCAGCAGCAGAGACGCGTGTACCAGCCAGGCAGGGTACTGCGTTACCCGAGGGTACATTGGCGGCCGGATTGGGCATGTAACTGCATCTGCTTGACGGGTACCCCCTTCTTCTGACACTGTACGAGGGTTGGATGAGCTGGCTTGACCGCATGTGTGTCTACGAGTATGTGTCTACAAGGGGTAATTATCCGACGCAGAGAGCAGTATTACTCCGTAGTACGCAACAAAGTCAATGCATATCCTGATGTGGTATTCGCTCAGTTTGTGCGAGAAGAAAGAGGCTGTAACACTGCAGGTCTACGGAGTACGTATTCGCGTCTAACAGCCCACAACCAGGTTGTGCTAGGTAATTCCATCGAAATACTACATCATACTGCAGCCATCGACATCCTCCCGTCCTCAGGAATTCACACAAGATACATCAATTCCAACCAACAAACGATCCATATCATCAAGTGTCATCTCCGTCACGTCTCGCTTCATATCCAGTCCAATCTGGCCACGGCAACCAAAGCATGTCCATCTCTCTCCAACACCCTCAACGCCGCCCTACTTCCTCGTATGCAGCAAGACGCCCACCTTGACATCGATCCGGAGCCCGTAATCGGGCGACCCCTCCAGCTCCTGCTTCCCCCGCCTCTTGTTCACTGCGAAAACCTGGCTGACCGCGGTGCACGCCGACCGTCTCGCCTGCAACTTGTCAATGGCCGCCGCGCCAGAGACGTAAGCGTGCGTCTCGTCTCTGCCCGCGTACGTCCCCGTATGGAGGAACGCCTCGCGGACGTGCTGCTTCTGAAGCTTCACGACGTACCCCTTGTCCACCTTGACGACGGACACGGTGCCATCGGGATCTGTCCTCGCGACGAACCTCGCCCGCAGCTGATCGTCCTGCGGCTCGCATACAACGTACAGCTGCTTCAGCCCGCTGAACCAGGAACAGTGGTTCCCCAGCCCAAAGGACGCAAAGATGGGCGCGTTCTCGTGCCAGCCTCGCTCCGTCGGCGCGAGCTCCATGGCCATGTTCTGCACCTGGGACATCCACGCCGGGCGTTGGTCGCCGCCTGCATCACCCTCCCCCTTGAAGCGGCCCATCTCCCACCACTTGATGGACAGGGAGATGAACCGCCTCCTGAGCACCTCCCAGACGAAGCAGATGATGTCCTTGGCGGCGTGGAAGCGCAGGACGCCGTGCTTGGTTTTGTTGTGGCCGAAGACGGGCATCTCGTTGGGCAGCAGATGGCGCAGGATGAGGGCTCGCTCCGCGCGGTTGACGGCGAGGGCGGCGCGGGCGGGCGCCGTCGATCGGGCGAGCGTGCGGGAGGCCTGGACGTGCATGGTGGGCGCCGGCGAGACGGCGGAGATGCGGTGCACGCTGGGGCGGATGATGTGCTCCCATATCTGGAGGCGGATCTCCGTGGGGAGGTCGCTGAAGGTGAGGCCCTTTTTCATCTCAGGGGTTGACATTGTTGGGCCGGGAAGGCGATTGTGCGTTTGTGTCTTGTTGGGACAGAGATGCCGCGACTTGTAGGTGCTTATAACCGTGGACGATGTCGGGGGTTTTCTTTGCTGCGTGGGTGTATGAGGTGAATGATGGAGGTGAGTTTGGCGAGTTGGAAGAGGGAAGTGAATGAAGAAGATCACGAGGGGAGCCAAGCATTTATACTAGGTACCTTAGGCAGTTGCACGCACCTGGCATCTGTTGAACAGGTACGTATAGGTACTTTGAGATAGAGGCCAGCTCAAAGCAAGTGTCGGCCAACTCTTGACCCGCCTCGTCAAGCCAGGTAAGTTAGTGGTGTAAGGTAAGGTAGTCAAGCTTTCGCGCGTAGATTCGCGTGTGGACGCCAGGGCGTGCTGTGAGCGAACCTCGCGTAGGCATTGGCGGAGAGATGCTCTGCCAACTCCGACGTCTCCGTGTACGACATCCAAAAGCCCCCTATCGTCAAGTTTTCATGGAAAGAATCCTGCGTCTGTGCAGCTGATACCTCGATCACTTGCCCTTCATCATCACGTACGACTTCTGTACTCAGAGCAGAGCCTCTCAATCTGGTAGACGAACCTTCGCGGAGCGTTATTCCATACATCATCTCATACTTTCACCCATTGGGGACCCTCGCTTGTTGGGGAGAGTCCTCTTCGGCAACACACAGCCTCCACACCTCGAGATCCAACAGAAGTCACTTGCAAACTTTCCGCCTATGCCTCCTTATACCCTTATACTTCCGGGCTATCTCCCGAGGAGGAATCTGCCTTTGCTACGACGATCCGGAGGCTCGGAGTTTGATCCCTTAGCTTCATGCCCTGAGTCTCGCTTCAACTCTGCGATTCCCAGTACGGACAAGCAGGCTTATAGAGTTTGACACCATGGCTACAAACGTGCGGTATCCCAAGATAAGCTTAAAACTTTACTTGTTCTCAGCCGAAGCCACGATTGACAAGACGTCTTCAGCCCCCTCTTGCCTGTGTATAAATAGCAAGCGTTTTCCCACCTCGAGCTTCGTTTTCCCCTTCACCATCTCTCCATCATATCCATACGCAACAACAGCAAGTACGAGTAAACTCTTTCAAACAACCATCCACTTACTCGTCTTGCCAGCTTGCTGTTGCTTCTTCTCCTTCTTTCTCGCTTCGTCTCTCTTCTCCCTCGTCTCTTCTCCCCTCTTGTCTCTTTCCGGCGGCCAATCCACCACAATGGCCCCCCACGCTCTTCTCGCCTCCAGGGGTCATGTAGACTCCCTGGAGATGGACGACGACCTGGAGTTGGGTCTCGTCTACCCCCTGTCCGTCGTGGACAAACCCGCCCTGGCCGCCATCCCCACCAGCCACGACGGCAAGCCCAGGCTGGAGGGCTACATCATTGCCGCCACCATCGTCTCCATCTGCCTGGTTGTCTGTCTCGCCGCAGTGGCCCTTGTGGCCTGCTGCCTCTGCGTCAAGAAGGCGCGGCGCACCGGGAGAGGGGAAGCGCGCCACCGCCCTCCCACACCCTTCGCCAGGGGGAGGGCCAGCGCCAGCACCGACGAGGAGACGACGACTCCTCCCATCCCGCTCGCCACCCTTCCCGCCGCCAAGGTTGCCGGGAAGCGTCTCCCCGCGAACACTGCGGCGCGGAGACCCGGCTTCTTCTCGGGCATGGAGGTGGCCCGGCCGTTGCAGGTGCCCTTTTTGGACACGGTCGTCGAGGCCTCGAGCAGCGAGGAGCGTGTTTGCGAGGGAGCGGGCGAAGAGCCTGGTGAGGACGCCAATGGGGGTTTTGATGAGATCAAGGACCGAGGGCAGATGTAAACGGTTCCGGCGGCTGTAGTGTGGACATGTTTGGGTTCTTTGTGTTAAGCTTTTTGTGGCTTTCTATCTGCGTTTTGAGTTTGGAGATACACCCTTTGGTTTTGGTTTCAGGATTGGGAACAGCTGGAGTACGGGATTCTTTGGATGATACCCGGGGTACCTGCTCCGTACAGATTAGTCGAGTGAAATCCACTCTTGTCGAATTGAAATATCGCAAGCTCCCATCTTGAAGCCCATCGTGGTTGTTGGCTGAGTGTGTGCATGCTATACTATGGGTACTCATCTCTGTCCTCCGGTCTTTGCTCCATAGCCGCCATGCTGTGTGAGGCACCCGGCACGGACACACACCCACACAACTGCCAAATACGACACATGTCAAACGTCCATCCAACGGACCGTCGCCATCGGCTCATCGGCGGCCGCGAGCGCATTTCTGTGCGACCTGACGATGGCCCGGCGACCGACGACCCGAAGCTGGGCGCTCCCGACAGCCGAGAGTGGAGGGCTGCGAGATGAGGCTAATGTAGGGCGAGATGCACGTCGGCAGTGACCGGAGCTGCTGGGGTGTTGCGACGGGGACTTGGAGCGTGCCTGTTGGTGTCAGAGGATGATGAGGGAGTAGCATGTACACATGATTGTGTATGGATTGAGTCGAGGTGGTAGTTAACCGCCCCTGTCCGGTATAACCTGTAGATGCTGGAGATGGACTGGAGACGACGCTTAATCTGATGCAGGTGATACAACTGACAGCTCAAAACATCGGTCAACCCAGCTGGAGCGAGATCAAATCAATGGAACAGCACCCTGCAGCCCCCCTATAACCTGACAGGGCCCAGCACTGGCGGCACCGCCCAATCAGCGCAATGCCAGGGCACCGTCCAGGTGCTTCTAGCGCTCCATGGTTCCACCGGGGCTGCAGCCCGAGGGCCCGCCAGTCCGTCCAACGTCTTACGTATTGCTGTCGTTCTTGGTCCCTTTTCGGTGGCGATCCGACGAGGGTTGATTGACGGCGCGCTGCTCAGGTGACGGTAATCATCGGCCTTGGACGGCGATTCATTACGACATTTGTAGATGCATGTCTTATCGGTAGCAGCCGGCGTTGTTCGTCCATGCAGCTGGTGCTTGATGCGGGCGTCTCTCCCCTGGGCGCTTCTCTTCTTCCTCCTGCCCATCTCGAAGCTGTAGCACCAATTCGGTGTACTCTATAGGTACAAGCATCTCCTCGTCCTCTTCCTCTTCCTTTTCTCTCTCTCCTTCTCCACCGCCTCCATTAGCATCGCCATTTCTCCCTCCTTGACAATCAATCCTGCATCTCACCATCATCGTCACCCATCTTGCTGCTTCTCCCAACACCCCGAAAGCACCGCCGCCACGTCTCTCTCGGTCCGGCCCGCCGACTCCAAGCGCCGCCATTGTCCAGCCTCATCTCCTATCTGTTCACTCGCGCTGACGAGAGGCGACTTGAACCTCGAACTAGACCGCGCATCTGCTGCTTATCTCGTCCGAGTCAGCAGCCTCCTGTCATTCATCCCATCTGCTCCCAGCGGCCGTCGACGTCAGCCATTGTCACTGCTACCTGCATCTTCCCTTCCCCTCCTCCCATCTACGCGTTCATCTACATGCTATACCTACCCCTTGACTCTCCCGCTGTGATGAATCTGCCATCTGCTGAATCAACATAACCTTTCGACATCTCTTTCCCCTCGTCTTCACCATGACGTCCAGAGCCCCCAAGTGCTTTGCGCGACAGCTACACCAATCAGCTCGACCACGCAATATCTCGCTGCGACGGACTTCACCCACACCGCAGAGCCGGCCATTTACCAGACCAACAGCCGCGAGGCACAGCCGCGTAGCATCCAGGGCACAGACGCCTCATCCCCAGAACCTCTCTCCACGGGCTGTCGCTTTGCTGGCCGGCATTGGACTCGCATCGTTTGCTTACGCCCTCTACCGGACGCCCCCCGCTGCTTTTGACGCCGCGGCGGTGCTGCAGTCCGAAGACGATGGATATGCCCAGGCCGCCACTCACGATGACCGCGATCCGAATCTGCCCCGGTTTCGCATATCCGAGATCCGGAAGCACGACGGCAAGTCCAAGCATCCCTGGGTGACGTACGGCGACAAGGTCTACGACATCACCGAGTGGATTGCCGCCCATCCTGGTGGACCAGTCATTCTGCGAGCAGCCGGCGGCTCAATCGAGCCTTACTGGAACATCTTCACCATTCACAAGAACCAATACGTCTACGACATACTGAATCAGTACCTCATTGGCTACGTCCACCAGGCCGATCTGGTCAACGGCAAGCCCGCCCAGGAAGCGATTGAGGATCCATTCGCCGACGACCCGGTGAGACACCCTGACCTCATCACGCGGACACTGAAGCCTCGCAATGCCGAAACCCCTGAACCGGCTCTCAGCGCCCACTTCATCACGCCCAACGAGCTCTTCTACGTCCGGAACCACATGTGGGTGCCGAAGCTCTCTCCGGACGAGGCCGAGGCACACGTTCTGACCGTGGAACTCCCCGACGGTACCACCAAGGAATACACCCTGCGCGACCTCAAGACCAAATTCGAAAAGAGAAAAGTCACGGCTGTTTTGCAATGTTCGGGCAACCGTCGTAGCCACATGACCCAAGGGTCTGGCCGCCCAACAAACGGCCTGCAATGGGAAGCCGGCGCCATTTCCAATGCTTCGTGGGAGGGAGTTTTGCTGGCCGACATCCTCGCCGATGCCGGATTTGACGCCGCCACCGTGAGGGACGGCACCAGCGAAGCGCAGCATGTGCAGTTTTCTGGAATGGAGGCGTACGGCTCGTCTATACCCATCAGAAAGGCCGTCGACCCTCAGGGCGACGTGCTGTTGGCATACGGCATGAACGGCCAACCCCTGCCCAGGGACCACGGCTACCCCTTGCGATCCATCGTGCCCGGACACGTCGCTGCTCGGTCCGTCAAGTGGCTCAGTCACATCACCCTGAGCGATGAGGAGAGCCCTACCCAGTGGCAGCGCAAGGATTACAAGTGTTTTGGCCCCAACCAGACAAAGGTCGACTGGGAGTCTGCTCCGGCAATCCAGGAGCTGCCCGTCCAAAGCGCCATTACCGGTGTCAAGCTGGGTGGCTGGAAAGCGTCGGGTGAATCGCCGGCGAAAGAGGTTGCCCTCAACGGGTACGCCTACTCCGGCGGCGGACGGTCAGTCATCCGCGTCGACGTCTCGCTCGACGATGGGAAGACGTGGTCACAGGCCGATCTGCTGCGAGACGAGGCGCCGAAAAAGCTCGACGGCAAGGCCTGGAGCTGGAAACGGTGGACATTCAACGGGGCTGTTCCCCTAGAGGCCTTCAAGACCCCGGAAGACGATGCATCTGCCGGCCACGACGATACCGATGAGGATAGGAACACCATCAGGCGAGGCACTGCCAGGAGATCCGCCAACAGCGAGGGCGGCGGCCAGCAGAACTCCAAGGGCAACAACAACAACAACAACAACAGCAGCAGCAGGAGATGCACCACCGTTGCCATCAAGGCGACAGACGAGGCGTACAATACCCAGCCGGAGAGCCATGCCGCTACGTGGAACGTCAGGGGCAATCTGGCCACCGCGTGGCATCGCGTGCAGGTTTGCACGGACTGTTCTCCCGGCGCCATTGCTCTGGAGAAGAAGAAGAAGAAGCCTTTGCATGAGAAGAAGTCATCGCACGAGGAGGAGTGAAGTTTTCAAAAGGCGGGTTTAGAGTCGTCATTGCTTTTCTTGGGTTTTTTTTGCCCCGTTGCAGAGCGTATATTATTGAAGCACATTAGTCGGTTAAGGATTAGGTACTCAGCATAGAGAGATTGGATATACGTAGAAGGAGTCGGACGTTTTTTTTTTTTTCCCTTTCTTTGTATAGGTGTATATACCCTCTTGTGCGAGACGCATAGCACAAAAATAATGGATTGTTTGTTACATTGCAGTGATGAGCATTGAGGTAATCAACACATCTCTGACATCGTCATATTCCTGGGGACTTGTTCAGATTCACTTAATTGGTTTTTTACATACTCCCCATGCACAGCGTACAACGCAACGCCTCTCCGTCCTTCTTCCTCCACGCCAATGCCCAGTCCTGTGCTTTTGGAAAGAAGACCAGCCTCCGAATAAGCCAGCCGCCCTCCCATTCTAATCCGTATATTGATACACATTTCCCCAAAAGCCCACTGCCCAGCATCTGCCACCGATTAGGTAACATGAACCATCAAGCACCCCCTTCGCTAGTCGGCGTCCCCCCCTCTGTAAAAGGCTTACTCCTCCTCGTCTTCGCCGTCAGAAAAGTACTCAAACGGGTTGGGCACCGTCGCCTCCTCGTCTCCCTCGCCGTCCTCGTCCACCGCGGTGAGCACACCGGCGGCGGCGGCGGCGCCCGAGCCGATGTCGGCGCTGCCGTTGTTGCCAGGGGTCTGGGGCTCCGCCAGTCCAAAGGGTGACCGTCCTGAGCCTGAGCTGCGCAGCAGCTGCTCCATCACAGGGTTGACGCCACCAAGACGGCCGGTGGCATCGTCGAGAAGGGATCGGCCAGAGCGACCAGCTCCGCCTCTGCCGAGTTGCTGTCCGGCCACCGGCGCGCGCTCCGTCGTAACCTTCTTCAGCTTCTCCTCAAGAAGCGTCTTGGGTTCGTCAGGCTGCGTGTCGTGGAGAAGAAGAGGTCCACCGGTTGGCTGAAGAGAAAGAAAGGAAACGTTAGCATTTGTCAACTTAATTTGCACCAGGATTAGGACAATGATTTACCTTCTTGACTGGCTTATAACGGCCAGCAGGGAAGCTGATGTACTTGAGCTGGCCAGGCAGGACTCTGCTCATGTTGTCAATTTCGTAGCCAATCTTCTCCTTCTCGGGCTTTTTCTTTGCGTCGGCGGCTGCCGCATCCTTGTCGTCGGACTCCTTCTTGTCCTTGCCCTCCTCCTTTGCCTTGTCGTCATCGACTTCCATCTTGTCTCCGCTCTTGGCCGGAGCGCTATCGATGTCCATGCTCTCATGACGCTGCGCCCGCTCTTTCTTCTGGGCTCTCCTCTTGGCCTGAGCCGTGGTCGACAGAATGGCAGTCGCAATAAGAGCCGGTCCCTCTTCTGTCTTGACCTCCTGCTCAGGTGGGTAGTCGAACAGGCTCTGGCGAGTGGCACAGTGGAACTTGAAGTCGGGAATCTCCAGATCGTGGTCGAGGCCAATGATGGACGTGGGCGAGAAGCTGAGAGACAGGAAGTGGGTAAAGGGGAACCAGTACCAATATTGGGTGAAGACTGCCATGCCAACGATACCGGCCATGTTGAGATTACCAGTCTGAGTCTGAAGGCCAATGGTGCAGTTTCGGCCGCCTGCGTCGATGATGCCCAGGGCAAGGGCGGCGCCAAACTTGGTCATGGCATCCTCGTGTCGGTCACCAACCACCTTCTTGAGCGTCTTCCGGATGGACGCCACCTTGGGGTTCATGACCTCGTTCTGCTGCACCATGATCATGGCCAGGGAGATGAGGGCGCCCTGTCGGACAAAGTCGGTAGGATCCTTCATCATGGGCTCCAGGAGGTCGATGGCCTCGTCCAGCCCGGTTCCGGCACATGAGATACCCAGGGCCATGGCGGATCCGTATCGGACGTGGGGGTTGTAGGACTCGGACAGCAGCTCCACCATGCGGGGGACGCTGCCGGGCTTGCGGAAGAGAATGAAGCCCAAGCTCATGACGGCGATTCGGCGAACGTCGTCATTGACGTCGCTCACGGCAGTGTGAAGCAGCTTGCGAATGGCCTTGTTGCTGCCCGTGCCGCAGTAGGCCAGGGCAACGGTCATGATACCACCGTATCGCAGTGTGGGATCCGGGTCGTTGAGCAGGCCCTCGATCAGCACGTCGGCGCCCTCTTGGCGGCCGTACATGATGAGCGCCATGCCAAGGGCCACGCCGCGGACAATCTTCTCATGGGTCGTCTCGTGGGCGTACGTAATCATGTCCTCGAGGGCCTTGACGTTACCAGTGCCCAGCATGATGAGGCCCATGGCCAGTCCGACCGCCTCACCATTGAGGGCAGAGTCTTGGAAGAGAACATCCTTAAGCTTCTCGAAGATCTCATTGTCTCCTGTGCCCATGCCAGCGATGCCCAGGCCGAGAGCACCACCATGCTGAACAACCTCCTCCTCAGCCTGGCCAAACTGCATCTTGAGGTATTCCAGAGCCCCGGCGCCGTGGTTGGCATGAATGAGGCCATAGGCATACAAAGCTCCGCCCTGGCTAAAGATGGATCCGTTACTAAGGCCGCCTTGCTTGGGCAGGTATGGCTCGAGAAGCTTTCGTGACTGCGACAGATTGCCGCGGTGGATGACGCCGAGGGCAGCGGTGGCGGTGAACTTGGACCAGTTGACCGCCTTTCCGAGCCACTCGAGGTTGTCGCGGAAGAACTTGTCGTTTGTGGTGCCCTGGTTCATAAAGGCATTGCAGAATGTCACGGCAGTGTGGAAGATGGAGTTGCGGCCCTCGAGACTGTCGCGCACCTTGTTGAGGATGCTCAGGTCGGTGTGGTTGTTGCGGAAGAGGAACTCGAGGTTAAGGCGGATGGTCTTGGAGCCGTCGAGGATGGATCGGATATTGCGGTAGACCTTGGCCTCTTCTTCTGGGAGCTCATCTTCGGGCGCAGCCTGTTGGTTTTCCAGCAGCGATTCGCTCTCTTCGGGCTTGTCACCGGCTTCGGCCTCCTTCTTTTTGGGGGGCTCCCCAGATGGAAGAGAGGACAGGACCTTGCCCAAGAATTCCTGGGTGCCGTTGTCATAGAGATCAAAGGCGATCTGGTACGCGTCGGCCGTGGAGGTGCGATCGCCCTTGGACACGAGGTTGCGCAGCATCCGGGATGCCTCCTCGTCTACGTTGAGATAGACAACGCATCTGGCGATGGCAAAGTAGTCGGGATTGGGGATCTCGTTCAAAAGGTCGAGGATCAACCGCAGGATCTCGGTTCGGAAGGCCCTCTCCTGAACAATGTCCATGCAGATGCCCAGGATGTATTCCATCAGCTCCTCGGCGGGTCCCGGCTGCCCCTCGGCACCCTTGACCTTGGAGAGCTTCTCATCGTCGCTGGCGCGCTTGATGACTCGCCGGAGGATGTCGAGATTCCTAGCCTCGACGGCGATGCCAACCACCTGCCTGTACCGGCCTTGCGCTAGGCAGCTCTCAAACAGGCGATCAATGATCCGCTGCAGAGAAGCCTCGGCCGCGTTGTTGGGCAGCTGGGTGATGGATCCCGAGCGACCCTGCTTTGTCACGGGCTGGAAGGTGGCATCGAGTATGGTGTTGTCGATGGAGGCACGGGAGAGTAGAGACTTGGGCGGCAGGGTGGTGTGAGAGAAGGGCGTCGTGGGAGACATGACGACACCATCGGTGGAAGTGGCAAAGGTGGTCGAGAGCTCAGGCAGATCGGACGTCTTGGACGGCTTGGGGGCGGCGTTTTTCGCAGCGGTGGTGGCGATGTACTGGTCGACGCACTTGGAGATGATGGTCTCCTCAAACTCGCCGGGAGAGTCGATCTTGAACAGGTCCCCCGCCGCGAGGGCAAAGACCATGCTGTCGTTGTAGGCCTGCAGGTGGTAGTAGACCTTGGCGAGCACGAGGGCGGCCAGCTGGCGTTCGGGGAAGGACTCGTCCTCGTAGAGGGCCTCGCTACAAGCACACAGGGTTAGCCGGGGAGCTCGACGCCCGTCAAAGGATTTGCGCAGAAACATACATCTGGCTCAAGCTGCCGGCGACCTCGGTCCAGACGGTGTCGATGTCGTCGTTGAGCGTCTGCAGGGCGAAGACGCGGAGCTCGGGCTCCTCGTCGGCCAGGAAGGCGAGCACGCCCGTAGCCGACACCAAGCCAGGCATGTTGTCGAGATGGCTGGGCCGGGATGCGGTTCACGAGCGGGATCGAGGGGCGGATTCGGCGTGGAAGGGGAAAGAAGGCTGTGAATGCTGTGGCTGCGATGGATCAGAGGGCGGCCGCGGGCGGTGTCAGCATTCCCAGGTGAACAATTAGCAGAGGGAAGATGGGACAAGGCAGCTGCAGCAGCGCGGAGCAGAGCTGAAGCTGTTGTAGCTGTCGTGTGGTTGTGGATGTGGGATGAGTCGAGGCTGATGCTTCCGTGGTGTGGACAAACAGCAGTCGAGGTGCAAGTCCTTGTCCACGTCAGGCACAGCTCTGCCTGCCCTGCCTTGTACTATGTATCTCTGTAACTCGGCGTGGAGCACGGGCCAATCTGGTGGGGTTGGGCCAATGAGAGGGCGACAAAATAATTGAGACGTGATTTGAGTGTCTGGATCATCACAGTGTGATGCAATAATGGAAGAAAAAGGGTTCTATAGTAACTATTGGCACCCAGAGGCATAGTTGTAGTCTACAGAGAGAAGATGGACGTAAGAAATGCCTCCAATATCTGGTTATCTCGAGCAGGCCACAGGTTAGCCAGTTGAGTGCTGCAATCGGCTTCCATTATTATGTCTGCCATGAGGATGCCCTGCATGAACCGCTTATGTAAGACAGCGCCTCTGCCAGTCAGCTCTCTTGGATAGTCCGCCGTCCATTGTCCTTAGTAAGACCTGCCTGCCTGCCCAGCGCTGGCAGAGGTACAAGCGTAGACGCGTGCGGCTGATGCAGCGTCGGGGTACCTTCTCCACTCGCCTGCCGCTCAATGGCCTGCGGGCTGGGCAGCAGGTCGGACCTCAGGTTTCGCATGCATGGCCGTCACTGCAGCCAGACAGACGGCAGCAACGCAAGGAGGCACAAGGAGACGACCGCTGGGATGGGAGGGGGGATGGCAGGAAATTGCCTTAAAGAGCCCGAAGCTGCTGTGCGCGATGGCCGCCCATTGAGTTGATGCTGTCCAGTTCCATTTCCTTCATCCGACCCGACGTCAATTGTTGATAATACTGGGTGCCGATCCAGCGTCGAGCACTAAAACTCGAGCCTATCGGTGACTCAACTAACCGCCAGAACCACTTGACGCCACTGTCCGTCGTCTCTGGATAGCGCCTGCTCACCTGCTGGGAGACGGATAGAGAGGAAGAAAAAAAAAAAAAGCCCGGGCAGTGTCCTTGGCACTAAGGCTGGCGCATCCATCCAGGCCATCATCAAATCCTTGCGCGAACCGGCCAGACCAGAGCAGACCGGGCCTTGTCCATGATACCTCAGTCTACCGCGCCGTAGCAGCCGCATCTGCCGCCTCGCCGTCGCCTTGCCTCTCGCCTCTCGCACCTTCGCATCTCGACGCGCACCCGCCCGAGGCCAGAACCCGCCCCGGCTGAGCTGTGCTTGTTGCGCGCCTGGGCTGCCCGGCCCCGCCACCAAGGACGCAATCGCGACGCCTCAGCCTTTCGCCTTTTCAGCCTCGAGCCTTCCGTCCGGTGCGTGTAAGCTCGAGGATGTGCGTTTGCGCCTCGGACGGCCCTGCATCCTCTGCGCCCTCGATCGCCATCTAAGACCAGACTGAAGCAAGACCAACGGCGTCGGCGAGTCGCAGCCGCCGCTGACCCAGGCGCACCACAGCGCGGCGCCGCATGCTGGACAGTTTGAGGCTCGCCGCCCGATCCATCGCCTCGCGCAAGAGGCCACACGACCGTGTGACGACGTCTCAGCAGCCATGGATCTCCGCTCCGTTCTGAACACGTCCGACAATGGCGACCGCGCGCCCTCGAAGCCGCCGCCGGCTCCTCCTCCTCCTCACCACCACCAACACCTGCAGCATCAGCAACAGCAGCAGCAGCCTCGTCCTGCTTCCGCGACCCAATATGGACCTGGGCCTCGCGAGTATTCGCAGCAGCCGCCTCAAGCATCGCCGAGCAAGCCTGCGATGCACGACTACTCGCATCCTCACCAGCAACCTCAGCCGCATCCTCACCCTCACCACTACCCGCCCCAGCAGGTCCAGCAGCAGCAACCGCAATTCCAGCAGCAGCAGCAGTCTCAGCCGCCGCAGCATCGGCCGTCCAATGCCTATCCAGCGCAGTCGCCATATCAGACGCCTGGACCGTATCCAGGACGGCCCTCTGCCGTGCCGCCGCCGCCGCTCCAACCGCCGAGTCTATATCACGATCCCCGCTCGCCTGGAAGCTCACGGTCAAACTCTGGCCCCGTTCTAGCCTCGCCCTACCGGCCGTCGCCGACGTCAGCCTCGACGCCCGGAGGCTCTGCGGGCTACCCGTTCCCTACGCAGCCTCCAGACATGAGCAGCCCGATCCAGCGGCAGTATCCGAGCCAATACCAGGACCCACGCGATCCAAGAGACCCAAGACGAGACAGCTATGCGCAGAGCCCAGGACATGCTCCTCCTCCTCCTCCGCCGGCGTACGTGCAGCAGCAGCAGCAGCAGCAGCAGATGCTGCAGCAACAACAGCAACAGCAACACCACCAACACCAGCAGCACCAGCATCAATTGCAGCACCAGCAGCTCCAGCATCAGCATCAGCAACAGCAGATGATGCAGCAGCAGCAGCAGCAGCAGCACGCCGCGCGCCAGTCGTCACCCGCGAGGCCCAGCACCAGCGCCAGCAGCGCGTCCTACCAGGCGTACCTCCAGCACCAGCAGCGCTCCCCGACAGTGGCCCAGCAGCACTACGGGCCCTACGCACAGGGCAGCCCAGGCCCTGCAGCGCCTCCACCGGCCGACTACAGCCGCCACCCGTCCAGCTCGCAGCCGCCAACCCCTTTGGGCCCGCCGTCCAGCGCCCTGCGCCAGCCCTCGACGCCTGGGGGCTTTGGCCAGCAGCCGCCCAGCCCCTACCAGCAGCGCATGTCGGTGCCTCCGCTGGCGAGCCAACCCGCGCCAGCACACACGCTCCCGCATCCTCACCCCCATAATACTGCACCAGCACAAGCTCAATCTCAACCTCAACCTCAGCCTCAGTCGCAGCCTCAACCTCAACCGCTCTCGCAGCCGCATCACGCGCAGACGCACACGCAGGCACCTCAATTGCAGTCACAGGCGCAGTCACAGGCACAAGCACAATTGCAGTCCCAGGCCGAGGCTCAGGCACAGGCACAGCAGCCGCAGCCACAGCCGCACGCTCGGCAGCCTCAGGCACAGGCACCGGCACCGGCACAGGCTCAACCTCGACCTCAATCACAACCTCAACCTCACCCTCAGCCGACTCACGCGCAGGTCCCGAGCCACCCCGAGCCTCCAGCCCAGACCCCGACACCGCAGCCCCCGGCTCCGCCTGCCCACGTCCCGCCGCAGGCTCAGACTCAGCCGTCGCCAAAACCCGCGCCGCCACCGGAAACCCCTGCCCATCGCCCGCCCTCGCAACAGTCCGCCCACGGCTCGCCCGTTGCAGAACCCGCCGGGCGCCCACGATCCCAGACCGAGCGGGAGCAAAGTCTGTCGGTCAGTCCCAAGACCAGGCTCGGCTCCATCCCTAGCGTTTCCGACGCCACCCCGGCCCTGACGGACCGACCTGCGACATCTTCGCTCAGCGTCCACTCCATGGCGGTCGATTCAGATCGGGCGGTCACGCCTGCGAAGCGAAAGCTGGAGGATCTCAACATGAGCCCCGGCGAATTGGAGAACAAGGGATCAAAGCCGCCCCCCGGCGAGGTCAACGGTGGCTACGTGGAACGCATCCAAAAGTCGTCGTCTCCTATCCCGCCCAAGAAAAGGCGGACAAGATACACCCAGCCGCCAATCTGGGCCCAGAGCATCCACACTCTGGGCAAGAAACTGCCCTCCAACCCCAACTTTGTTCTCCAAAAGCGACTTCATTCCCACATCAATGGCAAGCACGATGCCGCCGCCGCCAGCCACCAGACGTCGCCCGAAACAAAGAGAAATCCACAGCCCAGCGTCAGCCAGCCGCCCGCTCCGTCCGAGCCCGATATACAGGAGATACTGGGTCCTTGGGAGGCCAGCATTACCGGCCTTAAGCCCATCGAGGAGCTCTCCAAGAACGTGGCCGACTTCTTCTTCATCCATGCCATCAACAACCAGGACATGCAGGAGATTATGAGCAGAGGGATACAGTTTGAGATTGAGGCTAAGCTGGGTACTCTCATCGACAAGGACACCAACCAGCGCGTGGACCGGTTCGTCTCCACTGAATGCATTCTCGACGACAATGGTCGGGTTGCTTTCAAGAGCAGCATGACAGAGGTACGTTCACTCTTTATTCAACCGCAACACGGACAAGAACAAGGCATTGCCATTCTCTCCTTGCGTGCTCCAACTAACTGACCCCTTGCAGGCCCAGCACAAGTCATACAACCAGTTTCTTAACGACATGGTCGTACAGACCGACCCGCGAAATCCAAACGGCTCTTCCGCGAAGCGAGTTCAAGTCATATATAAACACAGACGCGAGATTGATCGTTTCTACGATCTGCCGACGGAGCTGCACGGGCATCTGCCCGGATGCATGCGGGCTCGCCTGGGCTCCCGCAGCCGCAACATCCGAGTGCGCGTCACGTACGACCAAAAGACCAACCAGATCCTAAACAAGATCATCAAGGCGCGCGTCGCAGACATTGACCTGCACCTGCCCATGTCCCCCTTTGACTGCCGCATCAGCATCAACCTCGAGATGAACTGGGATGGATCTGTCGAGGAACTCGAGCAGGCGCCGTCGAACAGGTCGGATCGGCAGCCGGACCGCAACAAAGACCGCTTGAGCTACAAGCAGGGTCCTTACCAGATTGACCTCACACAAGTTGCCCATCCCACCAACGGCCCGGGGGTACGTCTTGTCCTTGTTCCCTGATCTTCCTCTTTCGCCTGGCTAACCCAAATATGCAGAATACCCAGCGGATTGATAGAGAACATGAGCTCGAAATCGAGCTGAATCATCAAATACTTCTCGACCAAGGACGAAGGGCCTTGAGCGGTGCCCCCCACAAATACCAAGAGTTGGTCGAGGGGTTTGTGGACAATGTACGAGTGCTGGCCCGAAAAGCCAGGGACTTTACCCCCAGGTGAAAAGCACCAACAACCAAAAGATTTAAATCAAACCCGGTACGGACGAACGAGAGAGGTTCGCACTTTTTCTCCGTTCAAAGAAAAACAAAGTAATGGCAGACGATCAGACGGTGTTGGATACCAAAAAAGGGGGTGTGTATCGCGAAGCTTCTCTGTTTCTACATTCATCATTCGAGAACTTTGGGTCTCTTCATTTTTCCTTTGACGCCGGTGCTTTATCGCGGAGGGTAAGGGTTTCGGTTCTGTTCTTTGTTCTTTTGCCTGATTTTGGCACTTGTTCGTAGATTATTGATATTTATTGGCTCATTGGCTTTATGAGAGGGAACGGTTTGACTGCGAAACGGGAGAAAAAACAAGGGGCGAGAATGCAATGGACGGCGAATTGAAAGAAATGGCAAGAAGGGGGGAAGTGCGGCGCATGTCAAGATTCAAGGCACGGGATTGGAGGGTTTTCTCATTTTTTCATCTTTTCGATTTATTTTATGTGGATGGGGTTTGCGAGAGATGAGGGACGAGGGAGACGGGAGATGGGGTTTTCGTAGAGGGAGGAGACATACCCGGGCAAGTTCATCAGGCAGATGATTGGCGTGAAGGCTACTATACCTATCTATTTCATCATTTACACCACCAATCATTCTGTGCCCCGGTTGCTTGTGAGTAGTAAGTATACGTACGTATATTGTAGATGGTAAGGTAGGTATGGTGTGTCAAATATGGGGGTATCTGTAGTAGTACATGGCAAGGAACATCTCCGTCATTTTCAAGGTGGCTTTCCGTGATACATGGCAAGAAGATATCTCCATCATCTTTTCAGAAAGGCTTTCCAGTAGTCTCTTCTTGATTCGCTGTATCTTCTTCTCTTTGAGATTCCGTTGCGACCATCTTCTTCATTAAGCCTGCTTCTCTCCCCTCGCGGAACTCGAACTGCCCTCTCCCGCTCCATCCCTCATCCCATCACTGCCATTACTCTGCTCGTACTTCTTTGCAGGAAACGCCTCCGTGCTGCTAATAATGACACTAACGTCGTCGTCGTCGCCATCCGCACTAATAGTGTCCTCCATCTCTTCGTCAAGGATCAAGTTCAGAATCATGCACACCGCCGCCGTCACGGCAAAGCCAGTCTCCATGACGAGCACAATGGCGTCCAGGAAGCCCAAAAGCGACTTGTTGTTGCCGGAGTAGGTAAAGATCTTGTCAAAGTAGTTGGGCACCAGGGTGGCGCCGTAGCCAAACGCCAGGCCGGCGGTGAGGATGAAGCGGTTGCGGCGCGTAAACGGCACGCCGCGGGAGATGATGGCAATGCCGGAGACGGCGACGGAGGTGAAGAGGAACGTGGTCATGCCGCCCAGGACCGAGGAAGGAATGGCGACGAGGGCGGCGGCGAACTTGGCAAAGATGCCCATAATCAGGAGGAAGAAGCAGCAGGCGTAGCCGGCCTTGCGGTTGGCGCACCGGGTCAGGGCGATGACGCCGTTATTCTGGGCAAAGGTGCTCATGGGTGTCACGGTCATGAGCGCGGCGAGGCAGCCGTTGAGTCCGTCTGCTAGGACGCCTCCCTGGATGCGAGACTCGTAAATCATGCCCTCGACCTCGAGGAGAGAGACGTCGCACGTGGCCGTGATGTCGCCGATGGATTCGGTGAGGCAGACGATGAAGACGGCGAGGACTGGGAGCACCAGTGGCCCATAGACGGAAAGGGGGAAGGTGTGAACCCAGATGAAAGAAGCAACAGGGGCCGAATCGATGCCAGACCGATCAAAGTAGCCGCAGGCGGCGGCAATGATGCACCCCACCAGCAGACCGATGATGACAGACGTGGACTTCATGATGGGAGACCCAAAACGCTCGCACAAGATGATTGTGACAAAGACGCTGAAGCCCAAGCCAAGAAACTCGGCGGAACCCCAAGGCAGGGCATGCGGTGCCCCAGGGCTAGGACACAGGGCCTGAGTTGTACAACCGCTTCCTCCCATCCAGTCCTGGAACCCGCTCTTAATGAGGCTCATGCCGATGAGCATGACCGTTGGGCCTGTAACGATGGGCGGAAACATCCGGAGCAGGATGCGCGGCGGGATAAAGGAAAGCAAGATCTCGAGCAAGGCGCAGACGGCGCAGGTTCCCAGCAGTGCACCATACCCGCGCGGGCAGGCAAGGGGGTTGCCGGCAGCGTCCGATGGGCAGAATCCGTTGGCGTACATCTGGGAGAGCGCGCCTTGGGCAACGGGTATGATGCTGAAGCTGATGCCCACGACGGATATAAGACCGGTCCCGACGTAGTAGCTGTCTCATGGTTTAGTATCATGTGCAACAGTCTGCACCGGCTCTGGTTCAAACTCACGGAGTCTTGTATATGTGAAACCTTGTAATCTGGATACTGGAGAGGATACCCGACACAATCAAGGCCGTCGAGACAAGATACTGTTGCTGCTCAGCCGGTAGATTCGCACCGCCCGCACCCGCCAGGATCAACGGCGGCGTGATGATGCCTGCCAACATGGCCAGCGCATGTTGTAGCCCCAGCAGCAGGCCCAAGAACACGGGCATGCGATCATTGAGGCCAAAGAAGGGGCTCCTCCCAGACCTCGAGCCCTTGCCCATGAACGGCAGGTTGGGACGAAACAGGACGCCATAGTCGTAGTCGCCCAGAAGGCCCTCGCGGGTCGTGAAAGCTCGGCGGAGTGACCGAAGACGGCGGCTTAGAGACCACCGGGGGGCGGTCTCCGGAGTAATGGTCGTAGGTCCGGTGCCTTCGTCCATGTTGAGTTGCGGCGATGTACCGGCGAGATGCTCAGGCAGCAATCAGGTGAAGTAATTGTTTCCTGGCGGTTGTTGGTGGCAAACCTGCTGAAGCCTCGGTTGTTGTCTGATCAGAATTTATGCTGTCTCGAACATCTGAGCAGACAATCGAGAGGAGAGTTCAAGGAGGTGAAAAGCTAAATCTCGGCGGTCGCTCCAGGCAGAGTCCCATGTAAGATAAAATAGGGAAGAAAGAAGATATATGGGATGGCAATTGATATGCTGGTGGAGGCGATTAAGACGGCGACCCTTTATCAATCGGCCCTGGAAGCAATCACCTAAAGCAATATAAAGAAAATTTCCCCGGTTCTTCAAAGTTATCTTTCCACTTTCAGGAACGATAAGCAAAGGGCGTGGTAATAATACAATCAATGACTGATACTTTCAACAACGGTTAAACGATAGTGTGGATGGACCGGGTTGGTAGGCCCTTGTTCTTTGCTTATCTTTGCCGTATTGTAAGTGGTTGAATGGATATGGTTGCGTGGAAACAATGCCGACGTCAATGGCTAGTTTTTCCCTAACAATTCCGCACACAAGAAGCCTCATTGAGGACATGAATCGGAACCCGCTGGGCTTGTCTGACGTGGATTGAATACCGGCAATGGTAGAGTGACGCCGCAGGCATTAATCCAGCCGTTTGCTGATGAAAGTTTGACAAAGATATCCGACTCAGGAGGGTGACGCTCGGATCGGCATCTCATGCGGAGAATTTGCACAGCGATGCCGGCTATACGGGGTCTCTCCCCATACTCTTCCCTGTTCATGAGTCTTGTCCTAACAACCAACGCCAGCATACCTAGTCCCATGTGCTGCGACACTGCTTGGCCAGGGCAGGATTCTCATTGGTCATCGTAGTACAACTTTTCGGAGCCGAGTCGACACTGTTGGTTTACGCGTCCTCGAAGCCCTCGATTCCCCGGGCAAGGCAGCGAGCTGATCCTCAATCTTGTGGGGGACAAACGCATGCTCGGGATCAAGTCTTGCCTCGTTCCGGCATCTCTGCGGGGTCTGATTGCGGGAAGCATGGGGGGCGTTGTCTTCATGTGTCTGCCGCATCGTACGTAGCTGATAGATAAGAGGCCGGGTGTTGGTGGCCGTTATCTCTCGCAGGCCAACGGCTAATAGGACGGACGGCTGTCCAGACCTAGCGCCTGGCTAGGGGCAAAGGCTCTGAGCTGAAGATGTCAGCGAGGGTTGCGAGATAGGGCTGCTCCGTGTAGACAGCTGTCGAGCAGTCGGCGGGCTCCGATGAAGAAGATGCTGGTGGAGGATGAAGATGAAGGCCATGTCCGAGTCTTTGTTTCTCCGGAATCCTAGGTTTGCGGCTGACGAAAGGCGTTGACGACGCTGCTAGTAATGACAATGATGTCGATTAGGAATGGCATTGACAATCTCACGTTTCCGAAGCAGCCGGGCGATGGGCTGATAAGAGCGTCAAGGTGATGAAGGAGAGGAAGAGGAGGAGGAGGAGAGAGGAGGAGGGAAGATGAAGCAGCTCAAGGTCTTGGTGTTGTTGATACCTTAGGGCAGCCACTGTGTAGGGGGTGTTCGTTCCTTCCCTATCTTACTTGCCTACCTATTCTGAGCAGATGTGCAGTGCAGCCTACATGTACCCTGCAGCATGAGAAGCGAGACAAAAGGCATCCGCGTTTGACATTGAGGAAGTATACACATCCGTGTGGTTTATACTGAAAATCGCTTGATGTTTACTTGGAATACCGTAGGAAGAAGAAGCCCAATTGCGACAGATAAATGAACCTCATTACAAGCCACACACCACTCATGCTTCCTCATCTTCCACTTCCTCCATCACGACGTGGCAAGAAGCCATTTGAACGTCTTCATTCAAAGATCAGACCACCAAGTCTTGCATCTTTTGACATATCATCAGGGGACAAGGACACCTGACCCATCACCGGGATGTAGGCAGGCGAACAGCAGCTCTTCAACGCTCTTTAACGCTCAACAATGTTCATCACCAATGGATACTGACCCGCGTACCATGAGCTTACATGTAAATAGCCCTACTGCGACGGTGTCGCGACTGGAGCTGGGACCCGGCCTTGAACGATGCGCTGCCGGATGGCGGTGCTGCTAATCTTGGAGGCAAATCCATTGGTCTGCGGTCCGCCGCCGTCCTCATCCGCCTCGTGCGGGTCAAGCACATCAATCTCAAACACCTCCAGAGGCTTCCATCCCTTCTCGACCCTCTTGTCGTTGATGGCCTGGCCGCCGCTGCGTGTCTCCCCAGACACGACAATGGCATCCACCGCCTCCTCGGAAATGGTTGGCCCAAAGGGGTCGTGGATGTTGACGCACCGAACCAGCACTGCGCCGTCGCGGAACGTGGCATGAAGCTCATGCGGAGAGTGAGTGGATGTGGGCGGGGACGAGCCCGTGTTGGAAGAGGAAGCCGAGTTGAAGATGGTGGAGAGAAACTGCAAAACCTTGGCGGCGCGCACACCCCACGGCTGCAGCACCTCTGCGTACCTCTTGTTCCTCAACAGCTCATCCCCTGAAATGCCGACGATGAGGACGGCTTGCCTGCCGGCGTCCTTGTCCGGGATGCGCATGAGCAGCGCGGTGGCATGGAGCAGAAGCTTGTGTCCCGGGTGAAGATGGTCAAAGGTGCCTCCAAGACAAACGACGTCACGGCCCTCGATGAAGTCCTCCTGAGCGGCGGGGGGCGTGTCGCTGGTGGACATGGTGATGCCGCCTTCCACAGCCACTAGTTGATTCTGCAAGAGAACCTGTTTCCCCTCTGAATATTGAAGAAAATTGCTCAGTAGCTCGTAGCCAGACTCGGTGCTGGGGTGGAAGACGGTCCTCCAGGGATGCACCGTCGAGGCGAAGGCAGCCAGGTCCAAGACGGGCGTGCAGTTTGCCTCGTACTCTCCATCATAGTTGCGCTGGTACGTCCTGCGGCGCTCGTGGTCGACCAAAACAATGCGTGGATCGAGGCTTCTGACCCCCGGCTCCCCTGATGTGTCAATGTCCAGCTCATCGCAAACCACTGCGGCGAGCGTGTAAACGCGGGCGAGGAGAGACTGGGCGGCCTTCCAGTTGACGGACTTGCGCCTCGGTACGGGGCCGGTGAGGAGAGGACATGCGATGGCAATGACGAGGACGTGGCTGCTATGATTTTGATTGGGTTCGCTGTTGTTACTGCTGCCGTTGATGTTGTTGTTGAGGTCGATGCCAGTGGTGAGGCGCTTGAAGACGGCCGTGAGAGGCGGTCGATAGGCAGCGGCCAGAGAGTGAGGGTCAAGGGGGAGCGGCGGCGCCGGCAGCAAAAGTAAAGAAGGCGCGCTGCTACTTGACGGGGCCATGATGAGAGGCTATTTTGTATTGCAGATGGATGCAGAGGGAGAGTATGAGAGCGGTTGTCGTTGAATGGGACTGCGGCTGATACGAGTAGGTGGGGTGACGGCAAGCAGCAAAGAGCAATCAGTGTATGTCGTACGAGTACAGCCTAACCTGTACCGTACACAGAGACTCAGGCTGCTGACTTCGAAATGTAGCAGAATTCATCGCTGTAAGCTTTCACTCGTGATTTTCAGATACATATTATCTGATATATAGGAGAGAAAGAAGGAGACGATGTATATTCATCCATAAGGTACGAACAACCAGGTAAGATGTATGGAAACGGTGCACTGATCTACTTTACAAGCTACCCCGAGAGACGAATGCCTTCAATGTTGATCTGATACCTACCAACCCACACCAAGCCTCACTGTGGCTTTGACCTCACCATTTACAGCTCCAAGTTAATACGCTACTAGTCCAATAGGTAAAAGCTGGATCCTCGACGCTCACGGCACTAAAAGAGTCATCTCAAGCAGATCCCAAGTTCTAGAGCCGCTCAACTCCCGAGAGTTTGCCACTTCAGCCCATTGAGCCCTATCTCTTGTCCCTGCCCTTTCAAGCCTTATCAATGTTCCAGAGGTTAAGGTATTAGTGCTCTTCTCTCCCCCAGATTATTCGCCCCCAGTGAGTACCTTATGTATGCCGGATCACAGCCTCCGGCAGGCAAAAAAGAGTGATAAAGAGCAAATAAACTGCCAAAAAGTTGAGAATCTCAGCCAGAACCAGCAACCACCTCTCGGCCAGAATCCGAGTTTCTGGAACCGAATCTACTCACTTCGGCGATTCCTAAGGCTGTTTTCTCTCTTTGCTCGTTCTCTTTTCTGGATTGGATGCTATGTATACCCACTTTGCCCGCAGTCAATCTAGATGCTGGAAGTCCTAAGAAAGAAAAGAGGAACTAATAAGACGCCACAAGCATGCAAACAGAGACAAGAGAACCCACCCAGATTGGCTCGCTGTTTCCGTGGAACAAGGGGGGGCAAAAGATGGGCAAGATGGGATTGTCGAGAAATCCCATGCCGGCTCGCCACCCAAATTCCCCCCCCCCCCCTTGCGCCTTTGTCCCGTCTCTTCTTGGCTTTTTTTTTCTTCCTATCACTGTTTTGTCTGTTTCTTGTTTTTTTGCCGTCAGGAGAAATTTTGGACAGGGTGGCGTAGCGTTAAAGAAAACCGTTTTCAAACAGGTTTTTCCCAGAAAAGGAAACTCAAGTAGTAAGAAAAAAGGGATCGTCCCGTTGTTGGCACAAGTCTTCCCCCCCATACATATACGACTTTGGAAATACATAGACCAGGAACGTTGCCATCTCTGTTCCCACATGCTTCCCTTGATATCTTCGATCCCCGATCCCGATCTCGATTTCCAGAGCTTCTCTCTCACAGTATCTCTCTTCTCTTTGCTGAAGGAGGGCATCCATCTATTCTCCGATTCCCCAAAATAGCCATGACATCCCCTCCCGACTCCAAGGCCGGCAGCCCCCCCCACAAACTCCAGTTGTCTCCTCATCACTCCTCCCATCGCCGTTCCCGCTCCCGCCCATACGCCCGCTCCAACCGCCGTCTCTCCTCCCGCTCCCATTCCACGAGCGTCGACCAGAAGAAAACCGACGCCCCCCGAATCGTCTTCGGCAACGACGCCATCGCCAGCCTGCCCTCCGAGCTCAACAAGCTCACCCTCTCCTTCCCGCTCATCGTCTGCAGCCCCTCCCGCATCCACCTCGCCGACCGCATCCGCTCCCTGCTGCCGAACCTCGAGGTCTGCTTCGTCACGCCCGACACCTACCCGGGCCCCTCCGTCCTGTCCGACCGGGACTCCGTCATCAGCGTCGGCGGGCCCCGCGCGGTCGCCCTGGCCAGGCGCATCAGCGTCAAGATGAGGGTCCCGCACATATGCATCCCGACGACGTATAGCGGGGAGCCGGGCGAGCTGTTTCCTCCGCTGGGGAAGCACGGGGATGCCAGCGGGAGCGGCGGCTCGCAGACGTCGGACGGCGGGCAGGGCGACGGACGGGGTGACGAGCACCAGAGGAGCTTGCCGGCCGTCATTCTGTACGACAGGAAGCTCACGGAGAGTCGCGTCAGGCGGTTCTCTGCCGAGGACGGCGTCGCTCCTGACGGCGAGGCTGAGGCTGCTTTGAGAGCGGCCACGGGTAGCGCAGATGCAGAGGCAGATGTCGCTTTGTCGAAACCCGCAAAGGGCAGCACTGGGCAGTGGAGCTATATCAACCTGCCTGGAGTCTGAAGGAGGACGGATCGCGCGTTATTTCTTTCTACCTCAGTTCGCCATAGCAATGGCATCCATCACGCCCTATTGAGTGGTTAACACAATTGCCCTCATATCACGATTCCCCGTACTCAGCCCTGGCGGCTTGACCGCGCATTTGCGCATCGGTATAAGCACTAGACGACACGGAAAGGAGCCTCGCATAGGTTCATATACCTCCCGGTTCGATGGAGGGAACAGCATGATGGAGCGATGGATAGCAATGCGATGATGGGCAACCGGATCATGGACACTTCGACGATCGGTAGCGGCGGTGACCGTTGGTATCAAACAAATATATAAGGGGCGAAAGGGAGAATAAGAGACAGGCCGTGTCGGTCTCAGCAATCATATCTCGTCGAGCATACCTGCCTAGTTATGCAATGCTATTATTATACAGTCGCGTGAGCACTGGTGCTCGCGTCACAATCCTTTCATGGTATCACAAATCAAAGGTATCACAGACCTATTTCTCCCCATGCCTCAACCTGAGTGAAGGGGAACATCTCGTGCTGATGCCTCGACGCCCCTAGTCCAGTCCATCAAAGCCCAGGATGCCGTGAGCGCCCATGGGACCCAGCTTCTGTTGCTGCATCTCGCGTCGTCGCTTGGCCCGCTGCTTCATCTCCTCCACGCCATCCTCGCTGTCATCGTCACTGTCGCTGTCAAGCATAGGCCGTTTGCCGCTTGGCTTCTCGTCATCATCCGAGTCGTCGTCGTCTTCGTCGTCTTCACCCTCGCTATTGGTGTCGCCGCCCTGAAGCTCCGACAGCTCCTCCCAAACCTTGACTGTACGCCCGCCAGCGCTAATCAGGCGGTTCTCCGTGTCGAATCCCAGCGAGACCACGCCTTCCATGTCATCGTGCCTCAGATTGAGCGTCGTGTCCACCTCTCTCCGTTCGAGATCGACGATTCTCAGAGAGCCATCACCGACGCCGCAAACCACCTTCTTGCCCACTCCCAGCTCCTTGGGCACCATGACGACGGCGTCTATGCTTTCACCGCCACCCTTGGCGGGGTCCACAATGATGCGTTCCTGCTGGTCGTCCCAAGCTCCCTTATCCCACATGGTCAGGACGCCGGATCCAGATCCGACAACCATGACGCCGTTGTTCCTATTCTTCTTGGGGCCCAGACCGGGCACGAAACAAGAGCTGAGAAGCTCGTCCTCCTGATCCTCGCTTCGTACCAGCACTCCTCGTCGGACGTCTGTGACAGCCAGAGTAGTGCCGCCTGTGCTGACCCATTGCTTGGGGAAGCCACTGGTGCTTTCCTCGGACGGCGGCAGCGGCGTGATGGACGACACATAGTCGGAATGGGGATAATGCGTCTGCGCGGGCTTCTTGCCTGGCGCACCGTCGCGCAGGTCAATGATGTGTAGAGCGCCGGTATCGGTGGCCAGGAGGAGGCTCATCGGGTTCAGCACGTGCAGCAATGTCGGGCCATCTGGCTTTGAAGTGTTGGTCGGAATCCCAAACTTTGAGATGACTTTGCCAGTTGCCGTGTCGTAGTGCTTGATCAACGCGTCCGTGCCGGCAGAGTACTGGTCTGAGAAGGCCTGTCAGCATTGTGAAGCTTTCAATAGCGAGGAGTCTTCAAGACACCTACATTTCCCATCGTGGGAGTTTGCCAGACAGCGACAGCTTCCCTTGTGCCTCTTGGTGCGCCAGACGGAGTTGATGGTTGAGCGCCCATCGCTCAGGACGCTCGAGTCTCCATCAGCGCTGTCGTCAGCCGAGCTGCTCGCGGGCAATCGAAACGTTTCGACGAGGCCGTTGGCCAGACCGACAGTCAAGAGAGGCTCTGTAGGGTGCAGCGCCGTAGCGAAAACGTCCGCATGCAGCGGCAGCGTGCAGGTGTTTTCGAACATGGCTGCTCGGGATGGAAGTCGCCGAGTTTTAGCGAGCTACTTGCCAGCGGTCGTCGAGAAAGAAGAGGAAAAATGTCGCCGTGATAGGATTACTGAATCTCAGCACAAGAATGCTTGCATCGTGCTGGGGGATGAAGCAAAGAGAGTTCCAGTTGCACTTTGAATCTCAGCTGATGGGATGTGATGGTGGGTAGGTTCTGCTTTCTTCGCGAAGCAAAGCCGAAGAAAAAAGAAGCTTTAGATTAGATAGCCGTATCGATTGTGACCATACACTGTGCGCATACTGTGCGCAGTCACTCCATGTCACGACTTGGGGATGCTACCAATTGACGCTGGTCACCTTTCCCTTGCAAGCATGCAAAATGAGTTGGCGATGGTGAATTGATTCTGTTTTGCGATACTTTCAGCCCCAGAGATGCATATTCCCCTCAGACATGTGGCCCTCTGGCTGGCCCTGGTAACCAGCTCCCTTGCAGCAACGCACGAAGCTGCTCGATGCATCATGTATCTCACGGGGTGAGGTGCTCTGTCTCAAGATGGCGATCACGTCTAATCTCTGAGCAGACAGCACGTCGTGATCCCATCGGAGGACCACCTTGTTGATCCAATAACGCATGTGATCCTGGCATTCATGCGCTCCGATGTCTTCAATGTGGATAAGACGCCAGCCGAATTCCCCTTGTTTACAACGGTGAATGAAGTTCGAAAGCAGTTCAGTCCAGATACGAAGATCATGGTGGCAATTGGAGGCTGGGGAGACACCCACGGGTTCGAACAAGCTGCACACGACGATGCATCAAGGAAACGATGGGCTGGCCAGGTTAGAGCCATGGTTGATCTTACTGGAGCTGATGGGGTGGACATTGACTGGGAATATCCAGGGTGCGTGCGTGGAGGAGGGAGGGTTACCGGTATGCCGGTATGGGGACTTGACTGACGGCAGCCAACAGCGGAAATCGTGACGACTACAAGCTCATCCCCAATTCACAACGAGATTGGGAAATTGAAGCATTCCCTCTCCTCGTGGGAGAGCTTCGATCGGCGCTAGGGAGCGAAAAGCTGCTGTCGATTGCGGTGCCGGCCCTGGAACGAGATCTGATGGCCTTTACAAGCTCGACTGTACCGTCCATTGCGGGACACGTCGACTTCATCAACGTAATGACTTACGACATGATGAACCGCCGTGATAGCGTCGTCAAGCACCACAGCGGGGTGGCCGAGTCGGGGGAAGCAATGAAGCGTTATATCGACCGCGGCGCACCTCCCCACAAGCTGAACCTCGGACTGGGCTATTATGCAAAGTGGTTCATGACAGGAGAGTGCGATGCTCGGCAGCCCTTGGGATGTCCTACCCAATTGCTGGAGGACCCTACCAGCGGAGCGGATCTAGGCAAGACGGGCGCCTTCAGCTGGCACGACGAGGTCCCCGTCGAACTGGTCGACTCCTTTACGAGGGCTCAAGCCAACGACTTCTATGATGAAGACGGAAGCTACGGGTACTGGGACGCAGACGACAAGAGGTGGTGGTCATTCGACACACCACATACAATCGAGACCAAGCTCCCTCGGCTTGTCGGAGAGCTGGAGCTTGGCGGAGTGTTTGCCTGGGGGCTGGGCGAGGATGCTCCGCTGTTCAAGCATCTGAGGGCGACTGTCAACGGCGTTCGGGCCTTGCGCGGGGCTGATGAGAGGAGGTTGAAAGATGAGCTGTGATGTTTGGGAAAGTTCGCCGACGGTGACATGCTGCAGACGGGGTTCAAAGCTATAACGTGCAACTTTCTTGGTGATGCTTGTTGTCTATACCGTCCTTATTCCTGGTGGTCCGTCTCGCCCGATTGCTTGCCACGTGCGTGCATTGTATGCGATCGATCCAGGAGCCAAGACAATGCAACGCTCGTTATGACTGTACCGCGGCCATAAGATCCGCACGTGGCCTTGATATGTCCCAAGATGTGAAGCATCTCGGGCTGGGGGTCTGCTAACAAAGCTCTCGGGCATGAGCGGAACGCTGGGATAAAGAACCAAGTCAAAGCCACGTCGAGCTAAGCAATTAACCTTGGTGTTAAGAATAAAACTGCCGCGTAATCAAAAAGAAGACCTCGGCAATCGCTTCTGTGTAAGCGAGACCTCACGGCGTGACCCCTGGAAGAACAAAGATTCAGAGTAACGTCCGTGCGACGAATCATAAGCCTGTGCCTGGACACGGTGCAATCGAGGGAGAGCCCGGTTCGTGGAGAGACAAGACAAGAATTGCCGAGAGCATTCTTTCGTCTTGTCTCATCTGGTTGAGTTCCCGGATCCCACGTCTCCGCGATCCTGCCAATGGCTCTTCTCCACCATGTGAGCGCACCTCCACGAGATGACATGGGCACTCAATGTCCCTACCTTACTATTAGTAGTACTCCGCTCTCCGCACTCGTATTACTACCTATCGCCAACGAACCGCTGAGCCGTGCAGCAGCCAAGGCCGACGCAGTGAAACGCTGACCGGGGATCGAGTATCTTGTCCCTCTGCTTCCCCTCTTCAGACCCCTTGCTCTCTTGTAGCGATGTCAGCGCAGCGTTCCCCTCAAGGCATTACCGGAGACAGGAACAGCATCAGCAACAAAACCGGGCCGCTTGATAGCACGTGTAGCCGCGTCAGGCGACCAATTGACGGCGGCAATGATATGAAGTCACGACTCGATATCCCATTCGTACGGCTTAAAGAAGCACGGACCGTCATAGGAGGGTGGCAGCGATGAGTCTCGAGTCAGCAAGACGGGATACAAAATGCTACTCTGCAACAACGAAAGAACGCAGGGACACAACACTCAGAAAGCGGGATGTCACTGGGCAGAAGCCATTTATCAACCTGGAACAGGCCAACGTTCTCATCCGGGCAGGACACAATGACTGAGCGCAACCACACAAAGTCGCACTTTCGTAAGCCTCAGGCACACCACAGGTTGGGCTGCGGCGGCCGCCCCCATGTCATATATTAGCACTATGGGGTGATTCGTCGCCTGGTGGAGAGAGGCCCGTGGCTTTCATACAGGCCCATTGACGAGAGGCGTGGTTGATCCATCTTGATTGCGAGGTGGCAGATGGTTTTGGTAGTAGTGCTACTACCTCGTACCTCAGGCTTTGCCCAAACGGGGAGAGAACAACGAATCCTCCTGCTTGGGGGCGCTGGGCTTGGCTGGTCGTGGGTGCTGCTGCTGATGCTGCTGGGTGGCGATGGATGACCATGTGGGATGCATGTCGTTGTATCCGCTCGTCTGGGATGTGGGAGAGAGAGAGAGAGAGAAGAGAGATGAACTACCGACTGCTCGGGGCGATGATGGACGTCCAGCGGTGGTGGTTTGGACTTTGCCCTGGTCGGGATATATAATGGCGATAAAGTCCCGCCGGTGTTGGAGCGAGAGACTCGTGAGTTGTCTGGCAGCAGCAGCTCGACCTCCCTCGGTCCTCCCATCCAGCCACTCCTTCACCCCCCCTCTCCTGTCTTTCTTTCAGAGGAAGCCGCCTTCACAATGCTCTTCACGCCCCTCGTCGCCGCCGTCGTCGGCCTCGCCGCCATCGGCCAGCAGGTGGCGGCCAAGCCCACGCCCAAGCCGTGCTCGACGGACGGCCTCAAGCCCTTCAAGCAGATCGAGCTGGGCCCGCGGCCGTACTACCTGGTGGACAACATGAGCGAGGGCCCGCTCAAGGCGAAGCTGGAGTCGTGCAAGGAGCTCAAGATGCGGCCGTCGAGCTTCTCCATCGCGCACCGCGGCGGCGCGCCGCTGCAGTTCCCCGAGCACTCGCGCGAGTCCAACCTGGCGGGCGCGCGCATGGGCGCCGGCATCCTCGAGTGCGACGTCGCCTTCACTGCGGACCTGGAGCTGGTGTGCCGCCACAGCCAGTGCGACCTGCACACGACGACCAACGTCGTCGACGTCCCCGAGCTCAACGCCAAGTGCACGCAGCCTTTCACGCCGGCGAACGGCAGCCAGCCCGCGGCCGCAAAGTGCTGCACCAGCGACCTGACGCTCGCCGAGTTCAAGTCGCTGTGCAGCAAGATGGACGCCTTCAACGCCAGCGCCACCACGCCGGCCGACTACCTGGGCGGCATCCTCCCCTGGCGGACGGACCTGTACAACACGTGCGGCACGCTCATGTCGCTCAAGGAGCACATCGCCATGACGCGGGCCCTGGGCCTGCAGTTCACGCCCGAGCTCAAGACGCCCGAGGTGCCCATGCCGTTCCGCGGCGGCAACTACACCCAGCAGCGCTACGCGCAGCAGTTCATCGACACCTTCAAGGAGGCCGGCATCCCGCCGTCGCGCGTCTACGTCCAGAGCTTCCTCTACGACGACATCCTCTACTGGCTGCGCCACGAGCCGGCCTTTGCCCGGCAGGCCATGTTCCTCGACTCCGCCGCCGACCTCTTCGGCATGGACGCCGCCGTGGCCAACCTGACGCGGTACAAGAGGGACGGCGTCGTCTACGTCGCCCCGCCGCTGCCGTACCTCGTCACGGCCCGGGACGGCAAGATTGTGCCCAGCGAGTACGCCAACAAGGCCAAGGCGCTGGGGCTCAAGATCTTGACGTGGAGTCTGGAGCGGTCGGGGCCGATTGCCGAGGTTCATGCCCTCGGGGACTATTTCTACGGGTCGATTCAGGATGTGGTGAAGAGGGATGGGGATATCTACACGCTGGTGGATGTGCTGGCGAGACAGGTTGGTGTTGCGGGCATGTTTTCGGATTGGACTGCCACGGTGACTTACTATGCCAATTGCTTTGGTCTTGGACTGTAAGTTGTACGACGGTGTGTATATTATGTTGAAGGGATGAGGAAGCGGGTATATGTCCAAACAAGTGTATAACTGTATATATATCATAATAAAGACTGTCCAGATATGATAAAGGGGTAGTAAAAGTGCCGATATAAGTCCATATAGGTATCCATGGACGATATCTCCTGCAAATTAGAAGCTGCTTCGCACGACGGTAACATTCTTAAAGTCATGCGAAAGTGCCCTCAAAGAGTGCTTCTCCCCGTGAAACAGAAACTCAAAAAACGCCGTCAGGATACCATTCAAGTCCCCATCCAACTGCCGCGGATCAATGCTCCCCAGCAGCGCCCGAACAGCCTCCTTGGCCTCCGCCGGCAAGTCAAGCGCACTCAGCAGCATCAAATCATCCTTGAACGCCCCGTGCAGCGTGTCCGCAACGGCAATCTCCATGCGCGGCGCCGCCCCGCGGCCCGCGCCCGCGCCCGCGCCCCTTAAGGGACGACGAGGAGGCCAGAACTGGTTCCAGGACGGATCCTCGCTGCTGTGGCCCTTGCGGCCGGCGAGGATAAAGGGCTTGGCGATGACGTAGTCTGTGCTGAGGATGGGCTCGATGAGCATGCCGTCGAGGTCGAGGCCGCCGAGGACGCGCTTGTCGGCGTGGACGACGGACGCGGCGGCGCAGCCGCCAAAGGAGTGGCCCCAGATGGCGAGGCGCGTGGTGTTGACGGTGCCAGGGAAGTCGGCGAGCAGGGGCTTTGTGATTTTGGGGTTGTTGAGTTGGTTGATGATGAAGGTGATGTCGTCGGTGCGGACCTGCGATGGAGTGTCAGTAGATTGACTCTCGTATATACCGGATGCTTCTAGTGTTTATAATTACCTTCAGGACCTTTTGGAGGACCTCGATGTCAGAGTCATCAAGATCAACCCCCTGGATAACGGACCCATCGGGGAATTGCACAGCAGGCGCATCAAACGGGTGGTCCACGGTAACAACAACATAGCCATGGCTCGCCAAAGACCGAGCCATAGCACCGTATACAAGCCTCGATTCTCCAAATCCAGGATCGAACAAGATAAGAGGATACTCGTTATTCTTGATCGACGCCCGACCGCATGGAGAAAACTTCTCGAGATTGCAAAACTCCATCTCGAACGGATAGTACAGGGTGTCCGGCAGGCCGACCTGAGCCGCCTGTTGCCCATACGAGGCTGCCACGGGGGGAGTCATGTAGGGCACCGTCACCGTAGGGCACGAGCGTCGGGATTCATCGATGGGAAGATACAACGAGATCAGGAGGCGGCGAGTCTTGGATTTGCCCGTTGGGTCGAGGGGATCGGCCCGGCTGGCGTCCGTCAGGGGCTGCTCTTTCACGGCGACGGCGTAGGGACCTGTTGGGCCGGGGACCAGGATCGCTCTGGAGACGGAGAGCAGTAGGCAGAAGAGTGCGATGAAGTGCATGGTTGTCGGTGTCTAGTGGTAGAGATGGCCTTGGAGAGTTGAGCTGCGATTTATAGAACGGATAGACAGAACGGAAGTGAGTGAGTGAGTTGTATTGATATATGTCCGAGACAGTAGAGTAAACGACGACCTGTGGTCGTTTATAAGCCCATCTCAAGCCCTCTTTCCATCTTGCGAGGATGCCTCACAGCTATACAAGCCTCCAGGAGTCCATTCCCAAATAGTCCATGATACCGCGAAGGCCCATGACGACGAAGCTCCGTGAGGCTGACGGAGACGCTATTGTGCCACGCGACATTTGCAGCTGGATTCGTAGGCCATCCCCCCTATATCCCGGAAAAGCCAAGGACAGCGATCTGCCCAAGAAGTGCCCATTTGGGGCCGATGAGGCTGAGTTGCGGCCACGACTCAAGCCGCACGGCGTCGCGACATGACTTCCGTTTTGGGTAAGGCATCATGGTGGTGGTGATGATGACCATGTCGATGATAGATCCGCACTAGTATGATGGAGTCGAGCAGTATGTATGCGGGCAGTTTGTTTCGTACCCGGTCCGGATCGATGTTCGTACTCCGTCAGTTGGCAAGGGCGAGCATTATGCGCACACACGCTATCAAAGGACATGGTCTGTCTGCCGTTCAAGCAGAGATTCCCTTCCCCAGTGTGGGGGGTGTAATAGTAGTAGTAGGTAGTATGTTGCCAGAAATTTCAAGCTCATTCAGTCAATCAATCAAATCAGTCAGAGAAACATCAATGCCTTTGGTTCCACCTTGTTCGCAAGTCTTCAGTTCTTCTTGGGCTTATTGTTATTGATAAAGGCCTCAGTGGACGCATAGAATTGGCCTTCGCGCAGTTTACGTTGGATAAAGAAGATGTCAGCCTCGGTGATGTTGACGGTGGGGCGCTCGTTGCATATCTCGCGCGCAACGCTACTCGTCGACGCCCCCTCGGCCTGCAGGCGCGTTTCCACCAGCTGGAACAGGTCCTGGATGCCAAAGGGACGGGGCACCTTGTTCTGCAGGTCCTCCATGCTGGCGGGCTCATGGTTGTGCTGGCTGGACCGCGCCGAGATGATGTAGTCGGCCATGCGGGTGCGGCGGGCGACGATGAAGAAGAAGGGGCAGTCCGTCTTGCGAGTCGACGTGATGTACTTGTTGCGGCTCAGGTGGTACTGGCGGTAGATGCCGCTGTGCCGGCAGCGCACCTCGCCGCGCACCACGACGCCGTTGCGCCGGTTGACTCGCTCCTTGATGGTGATGAAGCCGTGCGAGTACTCGGCCCGCTGGATGGCGTCGTAGGCCTCCTCGAACGAGTGGAACGTCTGCCCGATGAGAGAGGCCATGGCGGGCAGAGGTGCTGAGGAGATGTTGGCACGAGAGAGGGAAGAATGGAAGAGACTGATGAGACCAGAACGAACTCCAGAGCAAGATTTCGCCGGAGAGGCTGGGAGGAGACGGCAATGCCCACGGTTGCAGCGTTATGATGTGGCAAAGGAGAAGAAGACGGAGATGGACAGGACAGGCAGACGAACAGCACGCAACAGCTTCCAAAGCGCAGAGACCCGTCGACGACCTGATGACTGACTGACTTGACTGAGGCTGATGAAGTGAGTGCAGAGACGCGATCCGTGGCGCCTTTCTTGTTTACGTACGAGAGTGGAAGCGACTGCCGCCAGCAGCAGAGGCAGCCACGTGATGCCCGCTCGGCAAAGGTGGGGTAGCGCAAGGTGCGCTTTTTCCTCTTTTGTGTGCGCGTGCACAGGCATTGATGTACATAAGGTACGGAGGAATCTCTCAGTATTGCTACCTTGATAAGCTGCAGTTGGGAGAAATTGCTCGAAGTCGAAATGCTCCAATGGCGGAGGGAACATGGAGAGGATGGACATCTCTATAATCAAGCAGCTGCATAAGAGTGTAAACATGGGCATCTGATTCGAGTACAGAGTCTGTCGCTAAACTCCATCTGCAGTATCGTGCAGCGGGGAGTGCTCGTAGGCTCTTCTTGGCTGCAGAACAAGCACTGCACTCGATCAGACGAATCATTCCCGAGCACAAACCTCATGATAAGGTACTCAAGCAAGCATCGCCACCAGGTAGCTAGGTAGCTGGCTGAAAGACTGGCAGCACCAGCATTCTGTAGCATCCTCTGCGGCGTATCTCCGAGGCTTCCATCCCGAATTGATGATCGACGACGAGCATTGTCATGACGCCCGGCTTCTCATTTGATGGAGCTAAAACACCTCCACGTCCAGCTAACCACCGGCTCACACAGCATTGCTACATAGGGTAAGTACATGGCTAGATATCTCCGAACCATGGATATCATGAATCTTTTGCTTCCTTCAATGCCGTATACAAACAATCACCATTCTGCTGATCCCAAAGGGCTAGTATGGCTCCGCCGCCGAGATCCGTCTTGTCTCACGGAGAGCGCCTGACTCACCTCGGCGAGCGCCCAAGGGACCAGGCCCAAGACCTGTCCCGAGACCAACGTCCCAGCAAGGGCGCAATGGCTGAAAGTCACCGTCTACAACCCCATCTGAGGTGATTCCCAGCCCCAGATATACGGCGAATGTCAAAGGCAGAAACCGTGATACGAAATGTCTTGACACCAAACATCGCCGGCAACATGTTGATCGGGCCCTTTGACGGACGCAAGAAGACGTCCCGCTGTCAAGCATGTTCCACCAGCCATCTCAAGGTGAGATGAGTGGCACAAGTCATCTTCAAAGCCAAAAGAATCCACGTCTCCTGCTACATCTCGTTGAAGCGTAAATGCTAACGAGTGTAATACCAGTGCTCCGGCCAGGCTCCCTGCACCAATTGCCAACGCCGGCAACTTGCCTGCACATTCGCATCCGCTTCGAAGGTCAGTTCGCAGATCATCTTGGTAGAAAGAGGCGAGCGAACGACTCCCGCCACCTTCAAATCGTCTAAGCCAACGAGGCGGAAACAAACCTCAGCAAGTAGAGGGCCCGCTGTTTCTTCTCCGTCGCGGCTCACAGATGACAAGCTCTCTTTTCTTTACTACTTTGACGTTTTTGCCGGGCGGAATAGCTTTACTGGCAAAAAGACTTGGCTGGTAAATCAAGTCAAGCAGCTCTCCGAGCTTCACGCATGCTCGTATCTCATGGATGCCATGTTGTCCCTTGGGGCGATACAGGCAGTCAAGCTCAACGCGCCGGATGCCCCCCCTAGGAACGAATGCCTGGCGATTGCGCTTGAGTATTACTCAAAGTCCATCCTAGGGCTGCGTGAAATGATTGATAACATGAAGTCGAGGACGGAGGACGATGGTCTGCGTGATACGGTGCTGTGGGCAACTCTCTTTCTCGGTTTATTCGAAGTAAGCATCAAGCACACGACTTTGTAGGAAAAGAAGCAGACCATACTCACATCCACCAGTTAATCAACGACGAAACGGGTGATGGATGGCAGCAGCACATGACGCATGGCACGGCAAAGGCCCTCGAAGCGAGCGGTCCCTCGATGTGTCGATCTGGCCCAAGCAGAAAGTTTTTTGTCCAGGCACGCATTTTCGAGGTATCGCGAAGCATCCTTGGAAACGAGTCCACGTTCCTAACTCAGCCGGAATGGATGGAATTGACGAGGGGGATGTGGACTGGTGAGCACGGAGATGAATGGCATCCCTTGGATTCTCTGCTCGATATCATGGTCATGGTATCCAGGTTACGAGTTCGGTAAGTATATGAGCTCTCCGAGTTGCTTCTCGTGGCAACGTTTACTGATCTTTCAAAATGTAACAGAGCGGCAGCATTCATTGATGGACAAGAGAAATGCCCCGATGGGGAACCGACCTTGGAAGCCCAGGCTATCTGCTCGGATGCCTTCATTCTCCGCGAAGCTCTCAGTAGCTGGTATGCGTCGTATGCGCAAGCCACAGCTCAAGCAGATACCCCATCTCTGGATAGTGAAGATGCCAGTATGCTGCTCTCGAGAATATTCTTTGCCGCCATCAGCATCTACCTGTCGGGAATATTCGACTACGAAATCCCTCACTGGCATCGAGTAGGCCTCGTACCGCCGACGTTGGAGCAGGCAACCATTCAAACCCACACAAACACCATCCTCGGGCTCTCCAACTTGGCGCTCGACACCACCAACCTCTCGCCGCTGCTGTTCTTGTTTCCGCTGAGGATTGCAGGGGCCAGGTCAAGGACACAATGGCAGCGAGATTGGATCATGAAGCTAATTGGGAGGATTGGAAGCGGATTTGCGGTGGCGAGTGCGATTTCAGCACAGTTGAGTCATGTTTGGCAGATGTACAGTACGGGATCAAGGAGATACCTGCCTACCTAACAAAGACGCATTGAGTATATTTGGACAGGTTCATGATGAAGGACGAATGCCAATGTCGAGCGGTGGCGATGCTGTATTTCTGCCCGATAATCAGGCGCATAGATGATGGGTCGTCTCTTCAATTCATGCATATGTTGGATTTTGTCGATGCTCTTCATGCTGCTCACGATTTATTACAGGTTAGTATTGGGCGTTTATTATAGCGCGATCAAACAACTGCAGCTTCTTCTGGCTGCAAGGCCAGTAGATTCCGGTTTCGGCCGGCCGATTGATCCTCCGGCGGCTGACACCAAAACCAGCCCGCCACAGATCGGAGGGGCATCTCCAGGTTGCAAGAGTCAAGACCAGGAAAGACAACAGCAACGGCACTCGCTGCAACCGCGACAAGATGGCCAACGGCGCACCAGAGAAGACTCACACCGAGTCGCAAGTCTACCTGTCCACCAGAGGCGGCGATTACGATGTTTGTTCTACTGACGACAAACCCTGTGGCCATCTACTAACTGGCTCTGCAGCTCTCGTTCGAAACCGTTGTCCTCAAGGGCCTCGCCGCTGACGGGGGTCTCTTCTTGCCGCATGAGATTCCCGCCGCGGAGAACTGGGTACGCACGCAGCAACGCATTTCCCTGCGTCGCGGGCATGCTTCCGATCGATTCGTCTTGCTCGCATGGGTCAATGGCTAACACAAGCCGCAGCGCAACTGGAAAGACCTCTCGTACGCCGAACTCGCCTTCGAGATCCTCAGCCTATACATCTCGCGGTCCGAGATCCCTGCCGACGACCTCAAAGCCATCATCGACCGAAGCTACTCGACGTTCCGCTCCGAAGAGGTCGCGCCTCTGGTTCATCTGAAGGACAACCTATACCTTCTCGAGCTGTTTCACGGCCCGAGCTATTCTTTCAAAGACTGTGGGTTTCGCATTGGCTGGCAGTGACATCATTCATCTGACATGCCACCAGGTGCCTTGCAGTTTCTGGGCAACCTCTTTGAGTACTTTCTCGTGCGAAAGAACCAGGGCAAGCAAGGAAAGGGTAGGCCATCAACCGCGAACAGCTCTCGTCGATTCGACGCGGACCTCTGGACGCTAACTAGCCAACAGAGAGGCATCATTTGACTGTTGTGGGCGCAACAAGCGGCGATGTAGGCTTGCTCCCTGAACCCAGCCGTATTGGCGATTACGATACTGACAGTCTCAGACTGGATCTGCTGCCATCTACGGCTTAAAGGGCAAGAAGGATGTCTCCGTCTTCATTCTGCACCCCAAGGGCCGCATCAGCCCCATCCAAGAGGCGCAGATGACGACCTGCCAGGATGCCAACGTCCACAACCTGGCCATTGAGGGAACCTTTGACGACTGCCAGGTAGGTCCAAGCATGCATACATCCACCTCGGGGCTGTTCACTGACCTCTGCAAACAGGACATTGTCAAGGCTCTGTTTGGCGACCCCGATGCCAACGAGACGCTGCAGCTCGGTGCCGTCAACTCCATCAACTTTTCACGAATCCTCGCCCAGATCGTCTACTACTTCCACTCCTACTTCTCTCTCGCCAAGCAGAATTCGTCCTTCCAGGTCGGCGACAAGGTCCGGTTTGTGACGCCCACAGGAAACTTTGGCAACATTTTGGCGGGCTACTTTGCGAAGCAGATGGGTCTTCCCGTGGCCAAGCTAGTCGGTAAGTCTTTTTACTCTGCTACCATTGTGATAAGTATTCTCTAACTGATATCTCACAGTGGCGACAAATGAGTAAGTTGACAAAAGCGCAAATCTCGTCCCAGTGAAGCATAGTCGCTCAGTGTTTGAGTGACTGGAGGAGGCAAGCGACTGAGAGAGTACCGCGTACTAACCCCATGGCTGCAGGAACGACATCTTGCACCGGTTCTGGATGACGGGCCGGTACGAGAAGAGCTCCGCTCAAGACGAGAACGGCTCCAAGGCCGAAAACTGCAAGGAAACGATGAGTCCGGCCATGGATATCTTGGTGTCCAGCAATTTTGAGAGACTCATGTGGTTCCTGGCGAGAGGTAAAAAATTTCTACGCTTCCAGGTTTACTTACAGAAGCTAACTACGCTCAGACTTTGCTGCAACTGTCGGCATGGATGAAGAGTTCAACAGGAAACAGGCCGGGCAAGAAGTCAGTGCCTGGTACAAGTCCTTGAAGACGACAGGCGGCTTCGGACCGGTACACGACGAGATCCTGGAAAACGGGCGCAGGACGTTTGAGAGCGAGCGCGTGAGCGACGCGGAGACGGTGGACACGATCAAGTCATGGTACAAATCGACAAAGTATGTCCTGGATCCGCACTCGGCGGTCGGCGTCACGGCTTCGGAGCGGTCGATTGCTCGCGCGGGACCGCAGACGCACCACATCTCGCTGTCGACGGCCCACCCGGCCAAGTTCTCGGGCGTCGTCACGCAGGCGCTGGGCGAGGAGCCCGGGTTCAACTTTGAGGAGCAGGTGCTGCCCGACGAGTTCAAGGCTCTGTTGACGCAGGAGAGGCGGGTGACGCTTGTGGACAATTCGTGGGAAAAGGTGCGGGAGGTTGTCAAGGGCCAGGTGGAGGAGGATCTCAAGGCCGAGAGCAGCTGAATGCGGGAATGCTAAAACGGTGTACTGTAACCCTGTATACGATAGATGAGTGTGTTAGAAAAAGTACCAGCATGATTGTGTCTATCGGATCGATTGATGTCGTGATGAGGACCTGGGTTGATGAGCTTAGCGAGGAGTAGTATTCCGTTCGGCCAGCTGGCACTGAGAGGTTTTTGATAAGAGTTGCAGTTGAGCAAAACCGCTTTGGCCGAGAGCGACACGGTGTTGGCCATCCAAATCCAGAAATATTGAACAGCAAATCCCATGTGAAGTTTCTATAGACATTCCAGAATCGGCAGTTACATGGCCCTTCAAGGTTGCATCCAGAAAAGCTCCGTATCTGTGCGTGGAGAAAGCTCGTATCTAACCGAAGCAAACGTACGTCTACCTACTAGACGGGGCTCATGATCTCTAGGAATAGCTGCTGATGAACGTTCTTTCGGCTTTTTACGACCGACCTTCCTGCTTTGTGGTAGTAGTCGGTATGCAAATCACCTCTTGTCGACTGTTAGCGGTGGAGATGGGGGACTGAAAGATTGCTCGGTGACCGGGTTCGAGGTAGGATGGATGGAGATGTCTGCACGAAACGGGATGATCTCTTTCTTGAAAGGTGATACTACTACTATCGAAATGCAACTGCAAGGTTCGTCGAGAATCGGAATCGTTTTCAGGTAGTATCTTTTGATTCCATGAAGCGGTTTCTTTTCCGGTCTCCGTTGAAGTTCGTCGTTATCGGTCTGTGTCAATGGCGGAATCATACATGAAGGGCCAGGGGGCTTACATGCAAAGGACGACTTACCATCGTTTGTGAAAAAACCCTGTAGAGCCTTTTATCATAAGCCCCAGATACTGTACAATCTAGATAGGAAAATTACAAGACTGCAGCGGGTTTTGCCTTCTTTTTCCTCGATGATTTTTATTCCGGAATGTCTCGGCGCCGGATGATCAGCGTCTTTGATGCCTCAGCGGGGCCGACAGCCGGCATACAAAACGGGCAAGTAGGTAAAACCATGTGAGAAATACGGAGCTTTTCTACATAAGTAAGCCAGGGACAGGGACAGGGATAGGGGGCCTTGGGTTGATTCAGGTGGTTTCCCACATGGCATCATTTTGTGGCTGAGAAGGGGGATCTCTGTGACTCGGTAGAGTTGCGTGCTTTGTGTTTTTTTCTATCCTTGGCCCTTTTTGTTCACTTATTTTCTATTCTCTTCTTCTGTGTGTGTTTTGCTGTTTACAAGGGGTGTTGCTGAAGTGCTTCTTACAAGCCGTGTAGCTCCGGTCAAGGATGTCTGTGTGCAAGAGTGTAACTTTTGCGGAGATTACCAGAGTCTCATGAGGTGAAATCTACGGGTATGTTGTGTCTCCAAGGTAGCAGGATAGCAAGGATATAGACGAAGAAAATAGGACTGATTAAATAGCAACAAGAAGGTGCTTTACTTGTTCAGAGTTGATATGCATACATTCAGAGTGTGTGTGGATTAGTGCATGGTCTCCTGTAGTAGTAGTACTCCGTATAAGCCTCAATGATCGTCCGGCTCGCCTTGCCTGAAGAGCAGGGGAAAGGGAGGCAGTTGAAGCAATATCCCGGCATCTGCCCACATCGGATGGGCTGGTAAATTGACATCAATGCGCGCACGACTGCGATTGTACCTTCTGAGAAGAGAACGATGCATGCTTCGAGAGATGCTGCAACCTAACTGTTCAAGCTTAGGCCAGAAGGGAAACAAAATACGGCACTCTCGCGAAACGGCTACTAAGGTAACGGAGACTTCTTTGTGCTGTATCCAAGTGCGATATTGCACGGCGATGCCCGGTGCCGGGGGGGGGGGGGGGGGGGGGAGACTGTGCGTTTATTATAAGGTTGTGAGGAAACATGATACAAAGTGTTTGTTTTGAAGCACACAACTTCTGTCAAAGATACAGACTAGAATGAAAATTTGGGACCTGTGTTGACTGGGGGTTAGGGTTGGAGGTTTGGGGTGTTCCCCCTTGTCCGCGCGCTGGGTTTCGGATGGACGGCTCCGGAAAGGCAGGTGGTGTTTCAGCCAGGGATGATGACAGTCAAGCCACGCCCTCGAGGCATTCTTTTCCTTCTTCTGCTCTCTGTCCAGTAGACTAGTAGGTGGTGGTATGGAGTAGTAGTAGTAGTATGAGAAGGAGAAGGTTACCGTGAGGGAGAGAAACCGAGGGCCATGCTGGTGCGTTTGCCCTTGTTTCTCGGCGTTTCTCCATTGAAAGTGTCAAGTCGTTTTGGGAATGGAGTCTCTTTTGAATTGGGCAACAGATGGCATGTCTGTTCCGGGGCTGGGTCATGTATATTAGACTGACGATGGCCTCGCTGGTGGTGATTTCGGTTGTTCAGACAAGCGAGCACTCCTTCACTCACTCGCCCCTATAGATCCATTCGTCTTTCGTTTCCTTTTGGAGATACAATCGTTCGTTTTCAGTTTGACTGGAGCTTTCTGTTGACATCATTCCATCTACTTGGAAGCAGTCTCCATCATGTTTATCAAGAGTGCTGCTTCGGCAGGGCTTCTGCTTGCCCTGGCCAACTATGCCTCTGCAAGCCCCGTGCTCGCAAGGAGGGCCGCTGCCACTGCTCCCGCAGCCGCGGACAACGTCGTGTTGACGCCTGATACGCCCGCGGGTAACGATGGCTCGAATCTGTCGCTGAAGACGGTGCAGAGCTACCTCTGGTCGCACCAAGACTCCGGTACGTGATTCCCCCCCCATCTTCTCACACATCATACCTTGGCATGATGAAACCCTCTCTAACAATCCTTATACAGGCATCGTCGCCAACATGACGCTCACGGCCGCGAGCGGCTTCCGCCTGCTGACGGCCATCAACATGCAAGACGTCGTCGAGTCCGTCGACTGCGCCACCGAGGACATCACCATCAAGTTCGGCAGCGCCGCCTCCCTGCAGGCCGCCCAGCAGGCCTGGCAATGGGTCGACGCGAGCCCGGCCAACAAGATCATCTACGTCGCCGAGGGCCAGGCCTGCGCGGGCGCCAAGGGCCGCCAGCCCTTCTCCGTCGAGTCCATCAGCTACGACGCCGCGGCCAACACGGCGCTCATGGCGGCCTCGCTGGCCAAGTGGAAGGACTTTGCCGAGGACGCGAGCATCCGCATCGCCGGCAGCAGTGGTAGTACTACGTCAAAGAGGAGGTCGGTGAGCAAGGACGTGACGATTGACATTTCGCACGACTTCTCGGGCCCCATCTACAGCACGGCCATCGACGGCATCAACGTCGCGCTCAACTGCGACAGCTGCGCGACGCGTGGCGCCGCCGACGCGGACATTACGCTGTCCCTGAGCGACGGCTTCTCCGCGTCGGTGCGCACGGTGAACAACTTCGGCGCCGACGTGGACGTCAGCCTGACGGCGTCGGGCGCCCTCACGAGCCCGCTGTCGTTCAGCGTCCCGATCGCGACGGTCCCGCTGGCCGGCTTCTCGATTGCGGACGTCGTCGACATCGGCCCGCAGCTCAGCATCGTCGCCAACGCCTCCGTCTCCGCCATCAGCGGCTCGGCGACGGCCTCGCTGGGCGTCTCGGCGAGCCTGCCCGACGGCTCGGGCTTCACGCTCGGCCAGTCGGCGGACATCCAGCCCAGCGTCCAGACGACCCAGCTGAGTGCCACGGGCTCCGTCTCCGTCACCGCAAAGGTCGCCCCCGTCTTCACGCTGGAGCTCGCCGCGACCTTCCTGGACGAGGGCGTCGTCGGGGGCGTCGCCCTCCAGGCGCCTGTCCTGACCGCCGACTTTGAGGGCTCGGCGAGCACGGCTGGCGTCGCGGCTTGCGGGAACAGCCCGGGCGAGGTTTCGCTCTCGCTGGACGTTGGTGTTGAGCTGGATGGCTTTGCGGGCTTTGGAGGGTCGGGAGATAGGCCGAACCAGGCGACTGTCTTCCAGAAGGATGCGCAGGTTTTCAACTCTTGCTTGGCTGTGTAAGTGCGAGGTTCATGTTGGTTCCTTGATAGTTGAATATTTCGTTGGTGGCTAGGGAGGTAATGACATATGATATTTAGGTAGTCAGGACTCAGGGGGCAGTTGGATGTAGACCTTGTATTTGAGGAGGTCGGTTTGTTCACCCCTGAGCATTCATAGCTCTCTAAAAATGTATAAAGTTCCTTTCCTTACAATTTATGACTAGTCACACAGCAAACGTGAAAAGCGTAACACAACACTAAATATTCAACTCAAGGATATACGTAAAGTAGAGTATCCTCAGGACCCTCACGCACCCCAGTGCTTCTTCAAAAACTCATCCACCTTGATCGGCACAACCTCCGGCACCCTCTGGTTCACATTCGGCGTCAGCCCATACCCGCCCTCGACAATAATCTTGAAAAACTCATGAATCATCTGCGTCGCCGGGTCCGTCTCCCCCGCAAGGACCGCCTTGATGGCCTCCAGCGAGATCACATTGCGCGTCAGCGGCTTGCCCGTCGCCTGCTCAATCTTGTCCGCGAGCTCATTGACCGTCAACTCATCCCCGACAACCACGCTGTCGGGCTCCCACTTGTCAAAGTCCAGCGCCGCGGCAGCGTACTTGCCCACGTCGACCATGTGCGTCGTGCTGATCTTGCCGGTGCCGTCGCCGGGCACGGCGATGCTACCGCCCTTGATGTCCGCGAGAAAGGGCGGGCCGGCGTAGCCCGCCCTCGCACCGACCTCGTCGTGCGTCGCCCCGGGGCCCCAGACGTTCATCCAGATGCCGCAGATGAAGCGCGTGTACTCCAGCCCAGACTTCTTGACGGCCTCCCAGACGGCCTCCTTGGGCTTGTAAAAGGCCACGGCGTCGTACGCGGGGACGGACCACTCCGAGGGCACGAAGCGGCGCACCTTGGCCTCCTTGGCGGCGTCTAGGAGGGCGAGCTGCGTGGCCTGGATGTCGGGGCCGTGAGTCCAGATGCAGCTGTAGACGGTGTCGACGCCCTGCAGGGCGTCGACGAGCTGCGCGTGGGAGGCGTAGTCGACGGGCTTGACGACGGCGCCTTGGGCCTCGAGACCGGGCCGCGGGGAGCGGGTGAGGATGACGAGCTTGTGCTTCTTGGTGGCGAGGATGGCGGCGATGATGTTGGAGGCGATGGAGGAGCCTCCTCCTGCGATGGCGACGGTGACCATTTTGGTTGAGATTGAGGGCAAGGAAGTTTGGAAGAAGGGAGGTGTTTGAAGTTGTGAGTGTGTAAGTTGAGGTGTGTTGATTGTCTTGTCTGGAGGCGGACAACGGGGAACGAGGACTTATATAGACAAGAGACTCAACTCATGTCACCCCAAGAAGACTATGATCAATGACGGCCTTTGAGTAATGCTCAATAATCAAAAGATGCATGTGATCGCTGTCCGCCATGATTTTATCTCCATATCATCGTATTCAATGCGAAGTATTGTCGTTGATCCCGTCTCCCCCCCTGCTTCAACAACCGGCGGCCGAAGGCGGCCGCGCTTTCTGCCAAGTTTGGAATTGCCGACCCCGGCTTGTGGACTAGTCACTCCGGGGTGGGGGCTGTTGAACGGAGAATGAGGGTCTACGGACTTCAGAGGACGGGTTTGATAGATTGATAATCAAAGAGCTGCATATGCATGACATTGTTGTCTTGGTAAACTTGGCTGTACCATGTATATCTGTGTGTTGTTCTCACTCCCGTCTTATGCTTCCTTGACCCGCGACCTGATCTAGTTTATACTTCTATGGTTGACAAAATCCATGGGAACGCCAGGTAGATTATCTAGACAGCAACGCAACTACACAAGGATCGTTCTGAAGGGGCTGAAAATGATTAAAGGTTGACGGTGAACTCGGCAAGACGTCTAAAAGCAAGCTATCCACAGTCTCTAAATACTTGGCTACCAACAGCAAGAAACCATGTTAGCCAGCCACTCCAATTACATATTGCATCAGTGGGGATTGAAAACTTGCCTGCAGCCTGCCATCTTCTGCCATAGTTCCAGGTGGCTTCCCGCAGCGTTTCCAGCGCCCTGGTCCACTCCCCCTCGTCCATGTCGTTGCGGAAGGATATTAGCTCCAGCGTAGCCCTGTAGATGACCTGGCAATACGTCGGAGGGAACGAGACAATGTTAATCTTTCGGTAATGGTTGTTGATTGTGTGTGCAATGTCAACAATCATGCGGACGATTGTCTTGACAGCCATTGACGAGGTGACGAAGCAATGCGGCGGGATGCCTTCCATCTCGCTTCTGCTCACCGTGTCTGCTATGATGGATCGATGGCGACCGTGCAATAGGAGAAGAGAGCTGCGATAAACCACGTTTAGTTTCGCTCGACACCTGTGACATGGTTACGGCCGTGAGGTACTTACACGAGCACCGTTGCAGACGGTTCGCAATACCCACAGGTGGCACCGCTATACAGGTCGACGAGGCATCTCATCATGCTCTGAAGCTCAGCATCTAGCTGCATTTGATCTTCCCTTAGGCGCTCTGATGTCTCACCCTTGGCTACTCGACGGCGAAAGGCCACTGTCTTGTCGAACAACCGCCACGCCACTGCTTGGTAGCCAAAGATGCCCGGCGCTGGATCACGAGTAATGACAGCGTCACCGATCCGAGAAAAGGAGGGATCAAGATCAAACGCCTCAAGGGGAAGGTGATCGGGCATTGCATCTTGACTGTTTCTGAAAGGCCCGTGCAGCAAGGTTGACCTGCGGCCCGTTGTTAGTACCGGCCGGCCAGATATGCATGCGGAAAATGTCCGAACCTGTCACGTATAACCAATGCCCACCAGAGATTGCATCTCTCCGCTATTCGTATCCACTCGTCGCTGAACTGAAGCTCGTCTGACGGTGGCTTCTCATCCTGAATGCCCATCAATTGGCCCATACGCACGCATAGGCCAATGGTTTTGTAGCATTCTTTGTACATGCCGAACCCGTACTCGTAGCAGGAGAGTAGAACCCCGGCCTGGACCATCTCGAGAGATGCGTCTATGGTTGCGTTCAGGCTCCAGAATGTCGAGCGGACTGCTCTGTACAGCGGTTCCTGCGTTGTGCCACTCGCGGGGCAGTGAATACATAGGACGATGCTCAGCAAGAGGAGAGCAAAGTCCGGACGCCTTGTCTTGCTGAACTCGGTCAATCTCCTGTAAAAGAGCTTCTGTGACATGATGGGCATCCATTTGTGGATATTGTCAAAGTAAATCTGCGACGCCCCGTAGATCTCTCCTGGGTGCGACTGAAGCAGTTGGTAAACCTCTTCGCCCACATTCAACTTTGAGGCAAGGGCCTCGAGTCGAGAAAGAAGATCACAGCCAGTCACGCTTGGTTCATCTGCCGTGTCGGGAGGGGATAGATCCACAGCTGGACGGGTAGGTGGATTGGACACCCTGGAAGTGCCAGGAATGAGCATCTCCTCAAAGAGCTTGAGCTTCTTCCTCAACTGGCGGAACTCCTCTATTACCGGCACGCTCTCGGTATCTTCGTATATGCATTGGAGATGCAGTCTAGACTTGTGAGCCAGGGCCACTACCAACCAACACAGCGAACCAGAATACAGATTGAAAGCCCTCCAATCACTTACCTCTTACACTGCAGGCAGCCAGGCAGCGCCTTGTCGCATTTCTTCTTCTTGCGGCGGCAAGCTAAACAGACATTGTCTGCCCGTGGCGGTGTGGGCCCTTCAACACTTTCAGGGGACGGCCGAGTTGAAGCCATGACTATGATTGATGGTTCGCTGAATTCTCAGAACGCTGGATACAACAGTACGGGAGCCGTAGTCTACCAGAGCGATCATGTACAAAGTATGGTTGGAGGTATGAAGCTTAAGCTAAGCAGGATGGCCGCCGTGATGCGGCTCCAGCTTGTACTCGGACTTGGCCCGGAGCCACAGTCGCGGAGTTTGAGCGGACTTGTTGGAAGCCGGGGCGGCCGGCGTCGGCCGCCCATTTGATGCCTCCCATTGACTGGGTATTGGCGAGCAGAATCTCCCTAAATCCGGGCTAGAAGCACCAGGCTGCATATGATCTGAAACAGCGCCGGAGAGAGTGGTCGCTGTTCATCTGCTTGATGATTTGCGGGCTGACAAATGCGGGAATGTGTTGATGCTCCGTCTCAACTCGAAGCACATGGTCCATCCGGTTGGAGGATTCGAGATGCTTTGTATTGTGTAATGATGGCAATCAATGGCCAGTCAATGAGCTATAAAGTGCTCTCTTCCGCTCTCAGTCTCAGTCCACGGGTGAAAGACCGATACCCTCGACAGGAGGAGAAACGCATCTGGAGTCCAGGACTGCTCGCGCAGATGATGACTTACAGAGAAGAGCTTCAAGCTCTTAGCTCCGAAGAGACGACTTGCTTCCGCAGCGTTCTCTCATTGACGACCGCAACCGAACTGTTGTGCCCATGACATCCTCATCATCCTGTCCTGCCCTGATAAGGGAACATGATCCAGATCGAGTAGTCTGCTACTTGTCAAGTCCATCTTTAAAAGGACATTGTCCCACCTAGTTCCCCAGCTGAAGCAATTGATTGACTCGGTTGCCGCCTTGGCTCTGATCCGTTTCAACATCCCCATCCCGCATCTTCATGAGTCGATTAGCTTCGCGACAAAACCATCAAATGCAATCAAACGGTCTAGTGGCGCAATGGTAGCGCGTTGCTTTCCGGTGGCAGAGGTTCCAGGTTCGAGCCCTGGCTGGATCGAGTTTCTTTCATTGTCTTCATTTTTTGCACACATCTCGAGGATATTGTTTTGTTTGGCTGGTGGTGTCGATTTCGTGGGATAAAGCGAGTCGAGAAGCTTCCAGCACTAACTCGTCGTGGGCAGCAAAGCGAAGGCAACTCAGTTGGTCGGAAGGTAAGACCGGACGGCACTGCGCTCCTTCCATGACAGCTGAACAGCCTGTTCGTTTTGTGGCTTGTGTCTGTGTGGCTGTTAATATGCCCCGGCCTATGGCGTCTCAGCGAGTGCGAATACGCTGGCCCTTGTCGGTGTGTATTCTGCAACTATAGTAATTAGCAGATGTGTCAAATCTGATTCCAAACTGGCCAATCAATGAGAACATGCGACTCTTTCATTCGACAAGAGGAATGTGAAGCGCGGAGGGTCTTCATGGATCCTCAAAATAGCAGTGTTCTGCTACACGTACCTCGTAGAGATGACAAGACGTACTAAGGTAGTACGTACAGCCGTTCAGCCCCAACAATCAAGGTGCCTCGCTGTGTCTGCGTATGGAATCCCTCGCTTTTGTTTGAGGTCCTCATCAGCATTCCTCTTTGCGCAGGCCCACGAGTAACATCAGCCACTCAGCGCCGTCATAGACACGTACAAATACTAGGTAGGCAGGCCACGCCAACTCGGATGCTGCATAGCCCAGCCACTCGTCACCTAATCAAGGCTCGGCGAGCAAATTGAGCCATCATGCCATTTTCTCTCCCGTCATGAAGAAACTGCCCTCGTCACTCAGATTCGCGCCTTGTACGCTTGCATCATCAGTGCGCGATCTGAACCTGTCCTGTCTGATCATCTGCCGGTTTTTGCTGCTAGTTTCTGGTGGAGCTGCAGCGTCGAGAGACCCTAAATAGATACCTTGAGGGTACTTGAGTGCGGCATCGTGAAACACGAGAGCTGGCGCTTAAGCAGTCATGATCCGTTGGTTCTTGCTGGGTCTCCCGCTAATGCTGCCCTGTTTGTGACGTAGCGACAAGCCACAGCGCATGACATCATCCGCGCTTCCTGCTGAGAATTGTATGATTTTACTTGGTCTTGCTTGTAGCTTGGGTAGCGGTTGCCGTGCGTGAATCACCAGTTTATGTTGTTAAATAGCCAAACCCTCTCGTGTCTTGACCCCTTTTTGCCAGTTTCTCTTCATTCTCAACTCTTCACATTCTTCTCTCGCCGCCGCAACTGACCTCTCGAGCATCATCGTCCGTCTCCAATCACCGACAAGCAAAACACCACTCCAACCGCTCACGAAACACCTTGAACGCATTCACGCCCAATTAGCCCGAAACCGCTACCCCTTCCACCAAGTCTTCACTGACTGGGCCGTCATCACGCGCCACCTTAGCCGACACCACCTTTACAGCGACTAGTTGCCTGGTCCGCAGCCATAAGCATCCAATCCGACGCCACCCGCTTGTCGAGAGCCTCTCGATAGCTCTTCAGCTGCGAATATTAATACAACCGTCCCCTCCTCCCGCAGTTTGCGGCCTCCCTCCCACGGATAATACAGCTCCTAGCAACGTTGATTTTATCAACTTTGGCAATCCAAAAGACGAGAAGCGCATTTACTTGAAAGAAGAAAAAGGCTATTCGGCGCCAAACTCTGCCCAACATGGCTTTCGGAATGATTACCATTATTCACATTGTCCTGGCTATCCTAGTCATCATTGAGCTTGGCCTCACAGGTTACCGTAAGTGAATCGCACAGACCCAATAGCTGTACATAGACTAACATACCTTGCCATAGTTGTCGATGCCACTTCTGGCTTCGGCTACTCGTCGCCTGCCTCGTTTGCGTTCATGCTCTTCAACTCCGTCTGGAGCTTCTTGATTCTCATCTGGCTGGCCCTCACGCCTCTCTACGCAGCTCGCTTCTACCATGCTCTCGTAGCATTTGTCATTCTTGTCATTACGACTATTTTCTGGTTCTCGGGCTCGATTGCCATGGCCGCCTTCATCGGCGTGCCAGAGTGCCACGGCATCACTTTCTGCCAGTGCTCGCAGGCCGCAGTCGCTTTTGGATTCTTCATTTGGGCGGGTTTCTTGGGATTGGCGATTCTCGAGGGCTTGACCACCTTGAGGGGCCACGCCCGCGCTGACAAGACCACGCCCTCGAACGTTTAAGCCGAGAATTTGAGACGTCTTGGATGGAGAAGTGAAGCTGAGGAAAAGGGTGGAGTGTGAGGGAACGAAATGATGCGATGCGATGACATGCTGAGAGTTTGGATCGGAGTCATGATACCCTATTACACCTTGTGCGATTTCTTTTTTTTTTGTCAAACGCTTGTTATGAGATATCACTGCTTGTTGAAAACGCCGGAGTCTAACGGCGACAGTATGAACTAGAAAACATGTTTTTACAATTTGATGCCAACTTGTGCCTCGCCTCAGCCCTCAGAGACAGTGGGCTACCACTATTACCATTCGCATCTTGATTCCTCTGCCATCGCCCACTGCGGCTCACACCACCAACACATTTGTGCATCCTATAGTCAATTTCATGTCTGCGCAGATGCCGCCTCGATGCCTGAGTGCCGACCCCACAGTGACTCTCGATCGAGAGGTGGAGCGGCGGGGGCACCTCAGGCCGTGGACAAAGAAAACGCGTACAATTACGAAGACATGCGCTGCGCCATAGCAGTGACAAATGCGCCTCATTACTTTGTTCTCCATCAAATGTATTTCACACATCCGGAGGGGCTCTTGTGAGAGGGGCTTGTGTGAGGTGACTGGCGTTGACAGCCAAACACGTGGCAGAGGCCTTGGTCAGGTACGGAGTATTACGAGTACTGCCCAAAGTGCTTGAGGGACCAAGTGTTGATGGCTGTGTGCCCTTTCTTCAAATGGTATTGTTGCGATAAATCAGTAAAGGTACTTAGATAATAGCACTTGGACCTTCTGAGACATGATTTCTTGGGAAGTTGCGCAAACTTGAAGAGAATGTACTTTTATTTGATTTCATTAAAAGCATCACAGCATCACATACCGCTTCCCGCAACAAAGCTTTCCATCCACACCAACGAAGTCGACGCCTTTCCCGCTATTAGCTTCCCGTCCGCTTATCGAGTGGCTGGAGTCGGGTTTGTTCGCATTCATGGCTTCGCCTTTGTGCCAGCCACTTGAAATCCACGTTTCTTCCCTTTCCCCTGGCAGCCCCGTTCAGCTGCTGGCCAGTGAGCAAGAGTCCAGCCACGTTTTTTTCGGCCCACCCAACCAACCGATGGGAACTCGGTCGAGCTTCTTTGTTTCTCCCTGTTAGTGAAGCTTCGGTTCAGATGCATGCATGCAGTCGTTCCGTCCATCCATCCATCTTTTCGAGTTGAGTCTGATTGTCGGATAGGCATCATTCTAGCTTCTTAACACCAAGGTTCACGCCCAGTTTCCTGGAAAAATCCCTCTCCAAAAGGGCCGTTTTCTTTCTTTGTTACGGTCTCTTCCCTTCTTTGGTTTCCCCGCCACCCAAGATTGATATTTTGGTTGCCCAAAAACCAAGAAAGCTTCCCTCCGCCCAACCACCTCATATACGAGGACTAAATAGCTCTACCTAGACAAGGGGGGGAAACAAAAAGTTCCCCCCTGTGCCCAACATGCATCGCACCGATAGGCTCACTCACAGCTGAAAGAAAGCAAGGCACTGGATCTGAGTAGACGTAATAAAAGCGGCGTAGAGGCGCATTACCGCACCTTTTTGGAGATTCCGCTTCTTTTTTTATTTACCCTCTTCTCCCTTTGTGCTGTCGGCGTCATTCCTAGCATTGCAGTGCTCCCATTGAGGGCTGTTCGTGCTACTTGAGAGCCTCTCCAATTGAACCGAGTTTTGCTCAGCCCAGCTTTGCGTATCGGATCGACTCAACCCATTGCACGTCGTCGCATCGCCAGTCCGTCGCTTCTGCGACACCCATCACCCACCATGTTGTTCGCACTCGTCTTCATCTGCACTCGCCTCTGCCAAATCGTCACCCTGGTAAAGCCTCAATACTCACCCATCCGACTCTCCTCTCCCCCCACCCCCCAAAGCACAAACGCTGACCCTTTTGTTTTCTCCTATTCATTCTAGATCCCCCCCGTGGGCATGCTCAGCTGGTTCGTCGGCAAGTTCAACGACGCAAACGTCCTCACCCCCGACGCCGTCCTCGTCCTCTTCATCGTCACCGTCCTCGCCCTCGCCTGGTGCCTCTTCACCCTCGTCGCCTACAGCCGCTCCTCGCACAACGCCCTCTTCGTCAGCTTCGTCGACCTGTGCTTCCTCGGCGCGCTCATCGCGGGCATCTACTTCCTGCGCGGCATCCAGTGGGCCGACTGTTCGGATCCGTCGTCGGCGAAGGAGGTCTGGTACTACCGGATCCACGATGCGGGCATCCCCGGGTACAGGTGGGCGCTGGATAAGCCGTGCGCCATGCTGAAGGCGTCGTGGGCGTTTGCGATTATCAACACCGTGCTGTTTGCGGTGACGGCGCTGGCGGCGCTTGCGCATGGGGATAGTGATGTGAAGCCGCGGTCTTCCGGGTATGTGGTGCGCGAGGTGCGGAGGAGCTCGCATAGTCATAGCGGAAGGCATAGTCATCGCCGGAGTCACTCGGGGACGCGCAGCCATCACTCTGGGTACGACCGTGGGTATCACGTATAGCGAGGCTGGGGCTTGGGGAGGGACGCGGCTGGTGGTGGGAGAAAAGGGCTGTCTAATGATGGGGAGGGAATAGACGACGACGTCTGCGTATACGATTGACGCTGCCAGGTTCGGAAAAGGGCAAGTCGGGCGCAGTACTGATGATTTTATGATTGCAAGAGAAGGCACGATTGCTCCGACGATTATTTCTTTCTATATGGCTTTGTTTTGACGATATACGGTGGGCATCTTGCTTGGTGGTTTATCCACAAGCTGATTTTGGGGGGGTATTTACGTGCTCTTTGTTTACGATTTATATATAGTTGGGAGGGCCAGCCAGTGGAACTCCATGATGAATATCTTCCAGCAATGCTAATGAGCAATGTCAAAGGTCCGCGCAGTTTGTCGTTGAGCATGTGACGTCTTGGACATCTTGAACAGCCAAACGGCAGCATCAATGCCTCCCCGTCTCTTCGCCCACATGGTACCCTCTCGCTATGCCGCTCCGCCCCTCCTCTATCGCCGTGCTGGCCTCCTCGTTGAAGTCGCTGCCGAGGCCCTGCCATGTCCTCTGTGATCGGAGATACTCTGCGCCCGGGCTGGCCACGCCATTGATCGTCGCCAGTTCACCCACTGATCTCTTGACCAACGCATCGGATGACCGCGGCCCGTCTTCGCCGTTAGCCTTCTGCGTCGTGGATGCGCTTCTGGTCGCGAGCTGCATAGGCCTGCTGTGGCTGACCAGCTTTCCCGTTCTCAGGTCGAAAACCGGCGGTAGAGACTCGTCATCGTCCGCATCCTCCTCGGCACCGTCTTCCGCTACCGTATCTCGGTCCACCTTGTCTTTATTAGTTTTCTCTTCCTTCTTCGGACTGTCGTCTTCAAGCTTCAGCTTCTCGATACCTCCCCACCATTCTCCGCCCCATACCCTTACTTCCTCATTCATCAAGGCCACCTCCATCTCAAAGGGCGTGATGACGGGGCGCCAATAGCCAGCATCCTCCTCGATCAGCCCGCTTTCCCAGCATCCGACGACCACCCAGCCCTCTATTTCGGCAAAATTGGCCAGCTTGGCTGGATTGAGTTTGCCTACGACGACTGTGTAGCTCTTCTTGCCAGCCTCCGCAATCTTCTTTCGCAGCAAGTCGATTGACGAGAGGTAATTTGACACCGAGAGCGTGTTGACGAGAATGCCAACGACGCCCGCCGAGGCAAGGGTGAGAACGCGAGCGAAGCGTCGGCGCAAAAGCCCTGCTGTTCGGAATGTCGGGTTGTCGAGGGTGGGAGATAACGGTGACGGCACGGAGAGGACGTGAAGAGAGGCGAAGCGGGACTGGAGAGCGAGGAGAAGAGATGCGGGAGGATCGGAGATGTGGAATAGGGAATGCGACTTGAGGAGCTCTTCGTCTATGGGGTCTCCCGCTATTCTCCTGTTCGGTATTACGCCCGCGGGATCTCTGATGACTTCCGTCGCTACTATGTTGGTATATCCCCGTTCTCTGAGAGCGTGCGCTATCGGTTCCACGTGGTTCTGGTATGTCAAGTCTGCCATGATGACGACCTTTGTGGCCTTGTCGCCAAACTCCTTTGTAAACTGCGCGACGACGGCATCGTGGTCCAGCTCTTGCGATGTGTACACGTAAATGACCGGCAGTCGGCTCGTCGGACTCAGACACGTCCGCCCGTAGTGCACCACGACGTCTGCATTCGCGTGCTCGGCCGCAATCTCGTCAACGCAGCAGGCGCTGTAGCTCGTGTCCGCGAGAATGCATATCCTCCAGCTCTTGGTTCCCTCGTCTGTGCTGCTTTCGCCCGCGCTCGTGCTTTCCAATTCCTGCTTGAGCACCTCCACTACTCTGGGGGCGTCGACGAGCATGTGGTCTGGGAACTGGAGCGCGACTCTCTTCCACCCGCCTTGCCGGATCTCGGCCGCCGTGCGCGGGATCTCGTAGGTGGTTCGGAGAGCATCGTGGGAGAGGGTCGACTTGGTTTCGGCTTGCGCGGCGGCTTCGAAGAGGTGGTCTTCTGGCGTTGACAGCACGGGGGCTGAAGAGAGTTCGGCCATGGTTTCTTATCTCGCTTGTCGCAGAAACACTGAATGCCTGCGCTTGAACGAGGAGGACGGATTAAGTTGACGAATGGAGAGGAAGAAATTTCATATCATCCAAGGCCGTTGAAAAGAGTTGGAGGGGCAGACCCTGTGCGATGGCGGGGTGCGGGTGTCAATCTGGGCTTCTATACGCGGGGAAGCAGGTGTGAATTAGGTCGTTGTAACCCATTGTCTCGAGACTGAGTGAGGTTAAGAGGCTTCAATCACAGGTTTTTTTTATTTTTTATATAACCGACTATAAGTTCAATATTGGTAGGATATCCAACTGGTTCAATACGAGCAAGCCAACAACTATCATGTCTTTCGATCGTTCAGTAAACCTGGGGTAATATCGAAAACCTTCCGTGCTGATGTAGCCCGCTGCATGTTTGGTAACTTCAAGTTATCTCCATGTTACGGTGCACTAGTAGTAGTTACTCCCTCAGTCTCCAGTCAAACGATGCCAACGGGCAAGGCATGTCTTGTGCTCTAATGTGTGATCCTGTAAGGAGGCTGAGCGACTGCCGAGGTCTTGATACTGATTCAATATCAGACATGCGTCACCCAAGGGGGAAACTCGTCTCTTTACGAGTTACCGCATTCGGACATTCCCATCAACTGGGCTGAGCTAAGACTAACAGCAACACATGAGAATCTGCCATCTCGGCACTCACCGCTAAGCCCTCGGCAATCAAATGTTTTCGAGAGTTAGTATTAATACTATTTCATGTTTTGAAAGCTGACAAGTCTTTGCTGAAAATGGAAATCCGTGTAAGAAAGCAAGTATCGTCCAATAAGATGCAAGGGCGGCTCCTATTGTCTGCCAGCAAAATAATCTGATTTGGTAGGTTGTACATAGCTTCATGCTGGTTCGAGTTAAACATGGGTTCATGTTGTGGCGTCCGGGTTACTTTAAACCGTTGTACAAGGTCGAGAATGCTGGCCTCGCTGTTTTTACGACTGTCTCACCGAGGAATCGTCTGAGACAGGCTGGACCTTGTGATGGAGTGCCCGTGCCACTTCTTATAACTGCTTGGGCCCTGACATCATGGCCCCGTGTTCTTTTCAAGCATGAACCTCTATAGCTTAAAAGAATCCTCTCGCAATGGCCAGCGACAACGACAAATTCCACCCTGCGCAGTTTTTGGAGAACAAGACGATAGTCATTGCGGGGGCAGGTCTTGCCGGCTCTGCGTTTGTTGTCGGCCTTCAGAAACTCTGGAATCCGAAACTCGACCAGCCAAACATCATCATATACGAACGTGATGCGCAAGACGTGGCTACACGAAGAGAGACGTACAATCTGTCTCTAACGGCCTATGACAAAAACGGCGGCCTTGTCGTGTTGAGAGACCTTGGATTGCTTGACGAGGCCTTGGGACAAGCTGCCTCGGGAGTTGATGGCGTCGGTGCCTTCAAGATATGGGACTCACAATGGAGAGAGCACGTCGCTTTCAGGAGGAAGCCCGTCCTCGGCATTCCATCATCCAGCATCCGAATTGCTCGAGAAGATGTTCGTCAAGTCCTTCACAATTCATTCCATCTCGGCGATCATTGTGTCGTCCACTGGGAGTCACAGTGCGTTTCTGCCACAGAACTTCCCGATGGTCGTCTGAGAGTTCGAGTGGTGAGCGGAGATGGCGCCGTGAGCGAGCAAGACTGCGACATCCTCATAGCTGCCGACGGGGCGAGCAGCAAAATTCGACAAAGCCTTCGCCCAGACGATCCCCTTTGTTACAACGGCGCAGTCCTCAGGGGCGGAGTGGCGAGGTTCGAAGAGGCTTTGCCGCCGCAGCTGAGTGAGGACTGGGGCTTTGTCGTCTCCCGCACGGGCGTATCTGCTTTCGTTTCTCCCATCGACAAGCACAGAATCCTGTGGACTGTTGGGCAAAATGAGGACCAGGTGCCAGGCCTGGATCGCGGCTCTCTCGATCAAGCTCAGGCTGTTATTGACAAGAGTCTTGAGCTTGCATCGCACATTGCCGAGCCTTTTCCCAGTATCATCAAGAGGACAGATCCCCAAACAGTGTTGCTCTTAAACTCGCGGGACAAGATGCCCTTTCATCATAGCGATATCACAAGGATACCCGCCATCTTTCTTGGGGACAGCAACCACGCACTCAGCCCATTTGCAGGGATTGGGGCCAATCTAGCACTGGCGGATGGATGGGAACTGGCATACCAAATGTGCAAGCACCGAAGCCTAGAGGAGGCCGTCAAGGCATATGACAGCGTCAGCGTCCCGAGAGCAGCACAGAGCCTGAAGCGGTCGAGAGGACTGATCAAGTCTGCCCATAGCACCGGCTGGCGATATTATCTGTTTTGGTGCGTGTTGTTAGTGGGCAAGTTTGTGAGATGGATGTCGAGCAAGATGGCGGGGAGCTGAGCTGAGGGTACGGGACAAGGGACAGGTGGTTGATATCCGGCAGAGACTCTTTTGGCTTTCGAATCATAGAACCGGGAGTAACGACTCCCATCGTCTTGATCAAACACTGCTCAATTGAGTAAGTTGTTGACTGATTGAAGGTCCAAATCGACCTCCGTCGGAGACTCGGGGATCGCAGGTACTTGCTATCTGGTGGCCTCTTCCGCACAGAGCAAGTACTCTAGCGGATAGGTATTCAGGTACAGTGTGAAAGACGGTATGCCTGTGTATCTGGCGCCACTTTACGCGAGAGATAAGGCCAATCAGCAGCGATTATCGAGTTCAGACGCGATCGCGACGCGGTGCATCTGCATCTCTTCTCTTGCAAGGGTCCTCTCTCGTTTGTTCGGTGCTCTATCTAATCCCATGTCGTCTTATTGAGTCTTTCGGCTCGCCGCTTGGCTGCTGTGTTGTCAATTCTTTGAGCGGGTTTCTCGTTTGAACATTCTTCTTCCATTGATGCTCGTCTGTTTCTCGTCCGCTCCGAAAATAATCACCAATCTGCAGCTCTTGCGTGGCGGCGGCTCTTCTCCTCCCCGTTTCTGTCGTTGTTCCATCCTGGTGCTCGATCCGCGCTGAATCACGATGCCCAGTGACAAGGCAGCGGGCGCTGCTCGCACGCCAGCAAAGGCCGCCCGGCCAGCTGCGGCAGCCGCCTCGTCGACCAAGCAGAAATCCATCATGTCCTTCTTCCAAAAGTCCTCGCCCGTCTCGGCTCCCTCCGCAGCCCGCGAAAAGGTCTCGTCCGATCACCAGCACTCCTCCCCTCTCAAAGAGACAAAGGCCAACTCTCTCCCCAAGGCGAAGCTCCCCTCCACCAAACTCTCCACCCCAGTGCCCTCCAGCGATGCTCCAGAGCCCCCGAGCTCGCAGGAGAACATGGAGTCGACCGCCAAGCGAAGCAGGAGCAGGCCTATCAAGGCCTCGGATAGCGACATGGCGCCGAGTAGCCCAGTTAGAAAGGTTTGCGTTCTCTCGTTTCAAAGTCCTCAGTCACCCACTGCTGACTAACTTGGTGCAGGGGAAGAAGGCCGTCAACTATGCCGAGTCCTCGGATGAGGAGGAGCCCTTCGCCTACGGAGCGGCTTCGCAGGCTCGGCGGCGTGGTAGGGCCCGCAACACCGTCGTCGACGACGAAGATGAGTACGGTGGAAGCGAGACGGCCGAGCAAGAAGAAGAGGGTCCGTATTGCCATGCCCTTCTCGCCGATACTGGAGACACAAAGGCTGACAATAGGTGCAGATGACATGGAAGACTTTGTCGTGTCAGACGAGTCTGATGGAGAGACTTCTCGATCCAAGAAGAGGAAGCGTCCCGCGAAACCCTCGTCAGCGCGCAAACGCACCAATATTTCGCCCTCCGCCAAAGAGGATACGGAGCAGGTTATCACGTCTCTCGATGATATGGAAATAGATGACATCCCCTCCACCTCTACCGCGAAGCAGTGGTCCTACGACCCAGATTCTACCGAAAAGCGGCCTGTCGTTACACCGGCGGATCGGGTCGTGACAAAAGACCCCAAGATGAAGGAAAAGGCGTACATGAAGGAGCCGGACGAGCGCTATCCTTGGCTCGCTAACATTCGAGACAAGGAAAAGCGTCCGCCCACGGATCCAGACTACGATCCGCGTACCATCTTCATTCCTCCAGGCGCCTGGGCCAAGTTTTCTCCCTTCGAGAAGCAGTACTGGGAGATTAAGCAGGATCTCTGGGACACAATCGTCTTCTTCAAGAAGGGCAAGTTCTACGAGCTTTATGAAAAGGACGCAACCATTGGTCACCAGGAATTTGACTTTAAGATGACGGACCGAGTCAACATGCGCATGGTCGGAGTCCCTGAGGGCTCTCTTGACCACTGGGTCAATCAGTTCATCGCCAAGCAATACAAGGTGGCCCGTGTAGAGCAGATGGAGACCAACCTGGGCAAGGAGATGAGAGAGCGGCAGGACAAGAGCGGCAAGAAGGCTGACAAGGTCATCTCTCGAAAGCTGGGCTGCATTTTGACGGCGGGAACTCTGGTGGATGGCAGCATGCTTCAAGACGACATGGCTGCTTACTGCGTCGCCATCAAGGAATCCGTGGTGGATGACTTGCCAGCGTTTGGCATCGCCTTCACCGATACTGCCACTGGCCGGTTCTTCCTCTCTGGGTTCGTCGACGATGTTGATCGGACCAAGTTCGAAACGTTGATCGCTCAGATTGGCCCTCGCGAGCTTTTGCTCGAAAAGTCCGGATTGTCCACAAAATCTCTTCGCATCCTGAAGAACAACACGAGCCCTACCACCATCTGGACGCACCTGAAGCCAGGCACAGAATTCTGGGATGCCGACACCTCCAGGCGAGAACTCGCCTGTGGGAAATACTTTCTCAAAGAGGAAGACGAAGAAGAAGTTTGGCCCGAAGCCCTCCAGGAATTCAAAGACAACGATCTCGTCATGTCCGCCATTGGCGGACTCGTCTCCTATCTCCGATTCCTCAAGCTGGAAGCCCCCCTATTATCTCAAGGCAACTTCGAGGTGTACAAACCCATCCAAAAGAACAGCACCCTTGTTTTGGATGGCCAGACTCTAACCAACCTGGAGCTTTTCTCAAACACTGTTAATGGCAACACTGACGGCACCCTGTTTGGTCTACTTAACAAGTGCATCACTCCTTTTGGCAAGCGTCTGTTCCGCCAGTGGGTTGCTCACCCGCTGTGCGACATTGATCGTATCAACGAGCGTCTGGATGCCGTCGAGTTGTTGAATGACGATCCTTCCATTCGCGAACAGTTTGCTTCCCAGCTCGTCAAGATGCCGGATCTCGAGCGACTTATCTCACGCATCCACGCCGGCGCTTGCAAACCTGAAGACTTTGTTCGCGTCCTTGAGGGGTTCGAGCAGATCGAGTACACCATGACTCTAGTGGGCGCCTTCAAGGGTGGAAATGGCCTGCTTGATAGGCTCATTTCTGCCATGCCCAACCTCGAGGAGCCGCTGGCTTACTGGAGTACGGCATTCGATCGACAGAGAGTTAGGGAAGAGAAGTTGATGATTCCAGAGAGGGGCGTGGACGAAGACTTTGACGCCAGTGTGGCTCGAATCGAGGAGATCAAGACTCAGTTGGACGATCTGTTGGCAGAAAAGAAGGCGGAGCTCAAGTGCAAAACTCTCAAGTTTACGGATATCGGCAAAGAAATCTATCAAATCGAAGCGCCCAAGAGTGTCAAGATACCTTCCAGCTGGCGTCAAATGTCTGCGACCAAGGACGTCAAGCGGTGGTACTTTACCGAGCTCACCACTCTTGTCCGGAAACTCCAAGAAGCCGAGGAGACTCACTCCCAGCTCATCCGGGAAGTTGCGTCGCGCTTCTGCAAGAAGTTTGACGTTGACTACGAGACGTGGCTGAAAGCCATCAAAATCATTGCCCAGCTGGATTGTCTGGTCAGTCTTGCCAAGGCATCCATGTCCCTTGGAGAGCCGAGCTGCAGGCCTCAGTTTGTCGAGGAGGAGCGCAGCGTCTTGGAGTTTGAAGAGCTGAGACATCCCTGCATGATCAACACGGTGGACGACTTTATTCCAAACGACATCAAGCTCGGTGGTGACCAGGCCAAGATTAACCTTCTTACCGGTGCCAACGCGGCTGGTAAGTCGACGGTTCTCCGAATGGTAAGCTCATCCACCCCCGTTCCCTCCCTTTCCATTCAGAATCTAACATTGTCATAGTCGTGCATTGCCGTCATCATGGCTCAGGTTGGCTGTTTCGTTCCGGCCAGGTCAGCTCGCCTCACTCCCGTGGACCGCATCATGTCCCGTCTGGGAGCCAACGACAACATCTTCGCCGCCCAATCCACTTTCTTTGTGGAACTCTCCGAGACCAAGAAGATTCTCGCCGAGGCGACTCCCCGCTCCCTCGTCATTCTCGATGAGCTGGGTCGAGGCACGAGCTCATACGACGGTGTCGCAGTCGCACAAGCTGTTCTGCACCATGTGGCAACCCACATTGGCTGCATCGGCTTCTTCGCAACGCACTACCACTCTCTCGCCACGGAGTTTGAGAACCACCCCGAGATCCGCGCTCGCCGCATGCAGATCCACGTCGACGACGCAGAACGCCGCATCACGTTCCTGTACAAGCTGGAAGACGGCGTTGCGGAGGGCAGTTTCGGCATGCACTGCGCCGCCATGTGCGGCATCTCGGACCGCGTCATTAAGAGAGCGGAGATTGCCGCAAAGGAATGGGAGCACACCAGCCGTCTCAAGGACAGCCTCGACAAGGCCAAGACGGGGTGCTACATTCCCCTGGGCATTCTCAGCGATGTCGGTTCGCTGCTCGGGGATAAGGGGGACGTGGGGCCCCAGGGGGTGGACGTTTTGCTCAGAGCCATTGAGAGCCTTTGATGTTTTCATTTGCAACTTTCTTTCCTTTTCTGGGTCTCGTTTGCCATGGCATGAAAAACATTGCGAGGGGTTTTCGATGATCTCACGACACGGAACGAGTGTATATGGGCATGTGTGATTAGGAAATTTGTGATGGCATTTCGAGAGGTATATATGGATCACGCGTTGCGGCTCAGGGCGTCAAGGAAGATGCATAAACGTACAATACATATAAATTAGAAGCAGTAACTGCACACAAGAAAGCACGTCCATCTCTCCATGAAGCCCATAACACTGCAAGTAACACTGCAAACAACTCTTTCAATCGGTCCAATGAAATGCAAAACAAACAACAATTTCCCTTACTACGAAACATTTCCGACGCAAGTAAACAAAACTACCAAATCATCGACAAAATACCAAACAAACCAATCCAAAACACAAACTTGCGACCAGCGCAGTATCTCTATTTCGTCTTCTGGCGTTTCCTCATCGATCGGCGAACCGGCGCCGTCTTTTCCGCCTCCTTCTTCTTGTTCATCACCTTCTTCGGTGATGCAGCTTTCGCTTTCAACACTTTCTGCAGCATGGGCGTCTTCTTCCTCCTCAACGGCCTCTGAGCATTCATCTTCTCCGCCTTCTTGGGAGTGGGCTTCTGTGCTTTCTTGGCAGGTGTGGGAACCGTTTCCTTGCTCGCGAATGCAGATGAAGGTCTGCTCTTCCTCTTTCTCTTTCCGTTCGTGTCCTTGTCCGATTCAATCTCTTCATCGTCATCAGACTCCATGGCATCGCCCTTCCCCTCGCGATACGTTGGATCCGCCACAGGCTTCAACTGGAACTGCGAACGGGCTTTCCCGGCGATAGGAGCATCGGCCACATCGGGCGCAACCCAGCCATTGGGCAAAGGAGACGGGCCTCTGTACGGCGGCCAGGGAATGGACCACCAGTCTTTGTTTTCGTCGTTGTTGGGGTCGGATCGCCAGTAGGAGCCGTTGGCGTTGGTGATGTTGAGGGGATAGAGTGTCCGGGCGTACGAGGGATATCGGCGGAGGAACTGCTTGCGGAGGTTGCTCAGGGGTTTGGGCATGATGCTGGCGGGGATCCAGCCGCTGCGGTTGGGTAGGCGCTTGATGGATCCTATGCCGCGACGGATGCCGCAGCAGCGGGTTGAATCGTAGTGAAGCTGTTAAAGGAGGATTGTCAGTTCATCTAGTCACGAGACTACTTTCTCTTGAGAGTTGCTTACCTCGATTTCCTTGGCCCTTCCCAGTGGGGACCTGTCCCTGTTGTGTTTCTTGGGAGCCTTGCGGAAGCACTTTGAGCAGTAATACTCATCAGTCGGTTCAAACTCCGGGTCATCAGGCCCAAGCACTCTGTGCCAGTTCGGCGATGGATCACGTCGAGGCGGCCTCGCTTTTTGTCCATCCACGTCGCTCTCGCTATCCTCGTCGTCTTCTTCGTCGGCTTCATACTTGTAGTCGCGGTCACCCTGCCTTCCTCGCTGTCTGCCTCTTGGCTTGCGGCGTTTCGCGCTTGAAGCTGTGCCTTGGAGGTCGCCGTCTGACTCTTCGTCCGACTCACGTTCAACTTGTCCGTTTTCTTCTCCAAATTCGGACCCATCATCTGGACTAGAGTCCGACTCTGAAGAATCATCCTCGAGCTCAAAGAGTGTGGCCTTTTCTTGAACCTGAGGGTTGCCCTTTTCTTTCTCGCCCTCTTCTGCCAATGGATCTGGGCTTGATGGTTGGCTTGAGGGCCGATGAGGGGAACTGGTATCGGAGGCATTGTACGCAGATGCCGCATGTCCATTCGATGGGCTCTTAGACATTCGCCTGGGGAGGACGTCTTGGAGAGTGTTCTGGTCATAGCGACGGGCATTCGAATCAGGATTGGCGATCCGGGGCACTTTGAGACCAACACCCGCAGCTTCCATTGCTGCTCTCAATGTCATGCTGAACTCATCCTCCAGCTGACCCGTCGTAGCTTGGACTCGTCCTCCTTCCCTCAGACTTTCCGTAGGCTTTGCTTGTTTGGGCTGTTCATGGGCATCATCGAGGTTCATGCCGTCAAGGTCGTGCTCCTCTCCATCAGAAACGATGGCGTCAAAGTCGGCTTCAGCAACCTGCAATTGATGGTTTCTCTGCTGCTGGCGGAACGCAGCAGCGTCCCCCTTCTGCAGTAGAGACGAGGCGCTCCCACCAGATGCCGGGTCCGTAGGCGGAGGCTTCTCATACCTCTTCACCTTTCTCAGCGGTACGGAGATGGTTCCTTGGCCGTCGAACTGGCGGATCGTGGCCTTGTTCACACCGAGCGCCTCCATGAGCATATCCTTATGCTTCTCTCTCATATGACGCTGCACCTTTCCAGCGCTCCAATGTCCCGGCAAGACATCGTTACACCACATACACTTTCTTCCGGTGTGGGATGCCTCCAAATGTTTGACCACGGCTTGCTGGTTGTCGATTCGGTAGGCGAACCGGCAACCCTCATAGGGGCATCTCATGGTACGGTTCAGGCAGAGGCCACGCAAGTCCCAGGTGATGCGCTGTAGCTCCCCTTGCTCAGTGGGCGTCAGGATAGCCTTTGATATCATCGGCATCCTAGGGTCTGTGCGAAGCATGTGTTCAACAGGAGGTGCATATGCCGGAAGTTGAATGCCGGAGTTGGCCAGCCGTGGAAACCGTCCGTACTTGTCAAAGATGCTGGGCTGCGCAGCCCACGCCCTTCGCCGCCGTTTGCTGCTGCTTGATGCCGCCCCCAGACGATGGGGAATCGTGGTCGTGTCGGAATGGGGCTGTCCTGTGGGCTCTCCCTCTCCAAGCGAAGCCTCCGAGGCTCCTGAAGCGGCCGGAGGGAAACCGGCTTCTCGAACCGCGTTCTCAGCCAAGTATTTTCCATTCTCCTGGGCGGCATCATCGGTAGCCTTCTGAATGGCCTTATACCTGCCCTGTTCCTTTGCCGCTCCCTTCTCGGTATTGTGGGCCGCAGGTTTGACTCCTGCGACGGATCCATATCGTGGACCCCAGATACAAGACTTGTCGACCTGAGCCCGCCAATCGAAGGTTTCTGAGTCGTGAACCTTGATGCTCGCCACCGAAGTTGTGATCCTGGCGCGGATGCTGAACCACTGCTCGTCTGTGGCTTCGGGTCCGATGAAGAAACACGGCGCGTCAACCTCGGCGCTCGCAGGCTCATGGTTGAACTTGGGTTGGATGCTGATGAGGGCATCACCAGCGCGCAGCTCTTCGGGGCGTTTGTGATCAAGTCCAGCGCGAGACATAAGATCAGACACAGAACGCCAGAGATCATCCAGTGTCGAAGACAAAGGGGGCATGCGCACATGATGCTCGGCCCCGTCGCCTCCCGTTGTAGAAAAGAAGCACTGGTCCTCCTCCCACTCTGGATACAAAAGAACAAAAGGATTGCCTGCAGCGACAATCTTGGACAAAGCTGAAGCGTAGCTGATCTTGCAGTTCTGGGGCAGATCATCGGACATTCGGATGGAATAATAGTCCTGGTCCCTGTTGATATTGGGGCCCAGGGTTGCGCGACCATCGAGCAAGCGCACATACTTGAGGTGCTTGACGCTATCGCCGAAGGCTGAAGTGATCATTTGTCGAATGAAAGACAACAAGCCGGTGACAGTATCTTTGTCGCTCTCGTCAAGCGGTAAGCTGGTGGTAAAGTGAAAACCAGGCAGCACAAATGCGGTTTCCTTATCGCCAAGCTTGTTGCATCTCAAGCTGGAGAGCGTTCCATCGCCGGCGGGAATGAGTGACAGGATGTCGGAAGAGCTGATTGCAGAGAATCCATAGATTGGAGGAGCAGTGGCAAAATCAGAATCGCATTGACCCAGCCGAAAGAAAGCATGGTGAAAGTGGCCCTTTGGTTGGCCCAGCAGGACCTCGAAGGCGGTTCTCAAGTATTCGTTGCACTGGTCAGCACCCCATCCACACACTACTTCCTGAGACGGCCGAGAGCCGTGAGACCCTGGGAAATTCAAGTAACAACAGGAAGCGGGAGCACCTCTCATATGGGCCTCCTCTCCTTCTGGGGTGTAGAGAACACAAGAGACAATGGTGTTGAGATGCTTCTCGCTGGGCTGCCAATGCTCGGGAATCGACTCCTTTTGAAGCTTGATGAAGAAGGTGTGCCGATTGTTCGGAGGGGTATCTCCTCCTTTGGAGACTTTCTCGGTGATGAAGTGCAGCGTTGTACTACTGGCCTTCAGAGGGACGGTGTCGTGGATCGTGTTGATGGTAATGGTCTGGTTGTCGAAATGCACGATCGAGAAGTTTGTGCGCTCTTGAGGCCCCAGGGAGAGCAATTTCCTGATGGCATCCTCATACGTCTGCCGATCTCCAGGGATAAAGGGCACCCGCCCCTGAAATCCGTAGAGACTGATCCAGTTTCTGCTTGCTATTTCCACCGAGGAAATGTCTTCAACGCTGTCAGTCTCTTGGGAGTTGCCATCTTCGGACTCTGTATTGGGGTCAACTTCCATGCGGTCGGGCTGGTCTTCCATTGTGTCATCTGCATCGCTGCCGTCTTCATCGTCATCGCCATCGCTCTCGCCGGAGCTCAGGCCGCTGAAGCTGTCCTCAGCCCAGTCGCTGTCGTCATCTCTTCCACCTCCTCTGAGGTGTACAACTGGCTGTCCATCCCCGAGCTGCCCTTCTCTAAGATCTGACGGTCTCCTCAAGAAGTGGCGGAACGGGATGGCGGGAATTGGTGAGTTCTTTTCGGCTAGTGAACTATTAGTTGGCGAGTCAAACAAATCGTGTCAACAATCAGCTTACCGGAGAGAGTATCTTCATCCCAATTGCGCTCTTTATGCGCGGACAGGAAATGCAAAGGCGGTTCAACAGCGTCTCGTGACGGCTTTGGCTCTTGAACTTCCATGTCAAAAGTCGACTCGGTCAATGAGAGACGTTCTGGCTCAATGGGCAGTCCAAAATACAGCATAGTCAGCTTGGTAGGGATATCTGACGTGACGCCTTGGAACCGGGTTTGCAAGAGTCGGTGGTATCGGTAGGTGTTGTCTTCTTGGATTCCTTTCAGGATGACCGCCTCGGATAGCATGAACAGACGAGTCTCGTGCGACGTAAAGAAGGCAGGAAGGATTTGACGAAGGGTCATCCCGCCATTTGCGAGAAGATCTTGAAATGCCTGATGTACGTCAATCCACTTCTTGCTATTGGAAGAAACGGCGACATCGACTCGCCTCTGGGCTTCTTCTTCAGTGACAGCTGAGACGCTATCAGAGCCACCGAGAATAGCCCCTCCAACGCCAGTCGGATCCATGGCGTTTAGTGTCCAGGATGGTACTCTCACCCTTTGAGGTAGCGAGGGGTGATCAAATCAGAGAGATTGACTGCGATTGACTCTGACAATGTGGCAACAAGGGTATGATAACATCAGGTAGTACGATGGGGGATCGGACGAGAATCATGTGCGGGCATAAGGAAAGCAAAAGACCGGAACTCGTAGAAAGTGAAGTCTCGAAACCAGATGGTTTAGCGTGGAGTGGATTGATATATATTGAGGGTATGTCAGGAGTAGCTAGCATCATGGGATATTTTTGGGTCATACATAAACGTCTTTGTCGCAATGCCATTGTGTTGTGAAGCGGGTTTCAGGGGTCCTTTGTCATCTGAGTTTTCAGAAACAGAAGATGCATGTGCGACAGTTGTTCAATCCTGCGAAAGTCATTATGAAAGCAACGTCGACCCCAGCTTCTTCAATTGTACGCCTTGAGAAAGACTCGCAGCGGAAAGAGTGCAGTTTTCTTCACCATCTCGTCGACGCCGTGGATGATAGCTCGATGACTTGACGTGCTGTCGTTGGCATTACTCTGATGCTCGACAGATGCTCTATGCTTTACCGATATCCGAGCATCATGGGTATGGGAGCAAGCAATCGCGTCATTTTGTCTGCCTTCAATTAGTCTTTGTCGTCTTGAAGATCGGGTTTTTCTCGTCTCAGGTCTCTTTGTTCTGGCCCCTTTGTGGGTTCGATAATGGCTCAGTAAAAGTAGAAACTCCTGTTGGTGAAGATTGGTTCCTCACAGGCGCACTGACGTTCTGGATTTTACAGAACGCCTTTCTTGATGCCGCATTCAGAAATGCGGAAGAGCACCAGTCAAAAGAAGCCTTGATGCTTTCCCCTCCATGCCAAGTTCCTACTCTGTACACAGATGAAGCGCATGCATCTGCCCTCGAGTCAACTCTTCTTCCTGTCCCTCTTCAATGGAGCCACTTACTTTCACCACCCGAAATGGCCATCTGAAATTTCCCGAATCCAGTGATGTAATGGCAACCAACAAGCGCCTTTGATCAATGAACGATGCCCCTTCAAAGAGAATTGAGAAGAAGTAGCATCTTGTAGACACGAGACGGATGTTGCTGATAGAAGCCGATTGAAAGGATGTGGCTGTTTAGGGACGTCAATCCACATCCGAGGTACAATTCGAATGCCCACAGAGCCGCTGTCACCAGGTCCTTGTAAGTTGTAGCGTCACTCTTCAACAGCTCACAATCACATTGCCGCTGGTATTTGGGCAGATTATTGAAGGAGAAAGGATTTACTATTTCTTATTTCAAAGTTGGAATGTTTACTCATATCCAACGGAGCAATAGTAGAAGGAGCAAGCTCTCAACCTCTTGCCCCGAGGCGAGGACGACGCCAGTCACCTGACGTAGCACGTGTTCCACCGCCGCTTTCCGAATGCAGTAAAACCACCAACAAAACTCCAAAGCTATCAGCAGATCAGCGCTGAAAATAGCCCGCCATCGCCGAAGCCGCAAGACGTAAAAAGCAGCAAACCGGCGGGAAATGGACTGAGGCCTGCATGAGACGCCATGCGCTCTGATAGTCGGCGATTATGCGGTCACCATTGATCTTGGCTCTTGCGCCGGAGCTTCAGCTGCTGTCCAGGCGGAGCATCCGAGCATCAGCGTCGGTGTCGGCCTCATTACCGGCTGCGGCATCACGAAGATGGCTTTCCACCAGCCCCGGCTTGAAAGCGCCCCGAAGCGCCAATTCGCCGCTCAGCGCCGTCTTCTTCCTCCAGAACCGACTGCTGGCCCGATCCAGCTGCCTTGACTCTGTCATTTCAAGGCGCAATTCGCGGGCAACCTCAACCTCAACCTCAACCTCGACCTCGACAACCCCGCCACCAAACGCTGCGTCGCAAACGCCTCAATCGCTCGAAGACCTGGCTCCCCACCGCCGACGACAGGCCCGCAAGCAAGCCCTTGCTCAATCATCCTCCTCCGAAGCTCCTCTACCTCCCGATGCCTCCTCTCTCCTCACCTCAGCCGCGGCGTCGCAGCCCAAAGATTCCCTCCGCCGAACGCTTTCCACCTTTCTGTCCCTCTCGAAGCCCCGCCTGACGGTCCTCGTCACCTTGTCGGCCATGGCACCGTACGCGCTGTATCCGGTTCCCGAAATGCTGACGCCGACAATGACCGAAACGCCTAGCCTGAGCCCATTGACGCTCTTTTTTCTGACGACGGGAACTGCGCTGTGCATTGCAAGCGCAAACACACTGAACATGCTCTACGAGCCTTCCACCGACGCCAAGATGTCGAGAACACGCAATCGGCCGTTGGTCCGGGGTCTGGTTTCGAACCGAGCGGCGGCAGTGTTTGCCATGCTTTGTGGAGTTGGTGGTGGTGCTGCCCTTTATTTCGGCGTCAACCCCACCGTTTCATTCTTGGGTCTTTCGAATATTGTTCTTTACGCTGGCATCTATACGCCTTTGAAAGCTGTCACTGCGTTCAATACTTGGGTGGGCGCAGTCGTTGGTGGAATCCCACCATTGATGGGCTGGGCTGCCGCAGCAGGCGAAGCTGCAACAAAGGACGGGTCATGGAGAGAGCTACTTTTGGCCAGTGATGGATCATCCATCGGTGGCTGGCTGCTCGGCGGTCTTCTCTTTGCATGGCAATTCCCTCACTTCATGGCTTTGAGCTGGCCCATCCGCGAGGAATACAAAGCCGCTGGCCTGCGCATGCTTGCATGGACAAACCCGGCTCGAAACGCGCGTGTCGCTTTGAGATACAGTCTCGTCTTCTTTCCCCTGTGCTTTGGTCTTTGTGCCGCTGGCGTGACGGACTGGTACTTTGCCGCAACCAGTCTGCCCATCAACCTCTGGCTGGCCCGTGAGGCCGTCCGCTTCTGGAAGTATGAAGGGCACAAAGGGAGCGCACGGGGCCTCTTTTGGGCCAGCGTTTGGCACCTGCCTGGCGTCATGATCCTCGCACTGCTGCACAAAAAGGGCATGTGGAGTCGAGCCTGGAGGAGTGTCTTTGGAGAAGACGAGGACGGAGAGTGGGAGGAGGAAGAACTGGATGAGATGGCGAGCATGTCCGCCCCGACGGCGGGCCAAGAAAGAGAGGCGACACAGTCAAGAGCGTGAAGTATCACCACACCTGTGTAGGAATAGTTTGTTATTTTCATGACTCTGTAAGAGTGAGAAGGGAGAATTTTGTATGTGTTCGATATAGTGCCTGAGTGGCGCAATGTACAGTAGAGCTTTCCGCACAGATGCTGTTTGTACAATTAGATAGATGGGCATTGGGTAGGACAAGTCCTTACGGATGACGAGCAGAAAAGTTCGAAGCAAAGCAAAAAAAGCAACATTTATAATTCCGTTCCTCCAGTTTCCTATGCATAAGATGCCTCTGTCACTATTATACATCCGTTGGAAGATCGCTTCCAGGTCCGTCCCCTTTTTCTTGGGTGCAAAGCAAAAAAAAACAATCTGTATATCCCGTCTTCGGATCTATCAGAATATCGAGAAAAAATAACAAGGATATCCGTCTCCGAGATCCCTTCTCTCTTTCTGTTTCTTCTTTCTTCCCCCAACTTCTTTCTTTTTCTGGGGATTCCGGGAGATAGGGGATTAGGAGGTGTCAAAGAAAACAGAACGCCATGTGAACACCAGTGCCTCAAATGCAGTAGGGAAAAACAAAGGCGCGATCAAACAATGGCCAGGTAAAAGGAATGGAAGCGTAGCTCATATATGGGTTTGAGGTGCTCTTTCGACACGAGATCGAAAAGGGGGAAGGGGAAAAGGGGGTAGTAGAGCGATAAGCAACCAAAAACAAGAACGCCATGATTAGAACGAGAGACTTGTCAAGAGAGACAGAGAGGGAGAGAGAGAGATTAGAATTTCCCCCCGTTGGGACGATGAACGAGAGACTCGATGCCCATGTCGGTCGACAGCCGCTGGCTATCCAAATAAGGGCTGCTGTCCTGACTCGTTCCGGTGGTGCCGCCGCGGGACACGTAGCCGTGGCTCATGCTGGCCGTGGAACTGACGCTCGACGAGTAGCCGTGGCCGCCGTAGTACGCGGGAGCCATGCCGTAGGAGTTCTGATGGTGCTGGGAGTGAGGGTGGAGGTGTGAATGAGAGTGAGGGGGCTGGAGATGCTGCTGGTGATGGTGATGTTGGCTCTGGTGCTGCTGCTGCTGCTGGTGGTAGCTGGCGGAGCTGGAAAAGGAGTGTGTGCCGGACGAGCTCGTCGCGGGGCTACTGTAGGATGCGTCTAACTCATCAACGGGGGTCAGGCCGATGCCGGAAATGCCGCTATCGTCGTCATACCCTGTGAGTGAAGCTCCCGTCTCGAGACGGTCACGGCGCGAAGCCGCGCGGGCGGCGCTCTGGAGGTTCTTGAGGCCGTTGGACATGCACTAGATAGTTGAAGAAACACTATGTTAGCATTGAACTTGTCATGCTCAGGGGGGCATCGAGAAAAAAAGGGGGAAAGTAAAGGCAAGGGAAAAGAAGGAAAGGGCTTACCTTTGCCTCAACAACGCTCCACTTCTCTCCGGTTCGAGCAGCCAGACCGCTCCAAATCTCCTTGCGCATGCTCATGTACTCTTTGGCCAGCGTCTGCATCTTGCGGGCGTCCCAGTCGTCGGCGCCCCTGCGCTCCATCAGCCGCTCGTGGCGCTTCCGGCAGGCGTTGGGCGTCTTGGACTGGAAGTACTGGTCCCTGATCTGGTTCCAGTTGAGGCCCTGCATGCGCGCCTGGAGCAGCTGCTGGTCGTCCTGCGGGTTCCAGGCGCCCGAGCTGGGCCGGTGCTGGGAGGCCGACGTCTGGACGGGGGGCATGGGCAGCGTGGGCGACGGGGCGCTGGTCGAGTACGGGCCGTACTGCTGCGGCTGCTGCTGATGAGGAGGGGGGGCGAGCGGCGGAGGAATCGGCATGGCGGAGGACGACGACGAGGATGAGGGCACGTCGTAATAGTTTCCCGGGAGCATGCGGGACGGGGCGTACATGGGAGACGGCGCCAGGCCGGTCTGGAGGCCACTGTAGCCCTGCTCGCTGGAGTTTCTGGTGTGTCTCGCCATCATCAAGGGGAAGTTTGGAGAGAGGGAGTTGTCGACTTTGGTTGGATTGATGAGAGCAGGAGAAAGAAACGAAGGAGAGAGGAAGAAGAGCAAAAGAAGAAAGTTGCCACAGGTGGAGAAAGCGTCTGCTGATATGGCCAAAGATGATGCAGAAGAGAAGAGTGACTTCCGTTGGGGATGAAGAAAGAAGGTTGTTTGCCGATGCTGATCGATGCTTGGATGAGGTGATACGAGACCGGCTCGGTAACCACTTGCCAAGTAATGAAACAAATTATTGATTAAGGTCGATATGACTGGCCGAGGGTCCTCGCGGTCCTGACCGGAATGGCCTGCAGTGCGGTCTGCCGTGAGGGTCTTGGTCCTTGTAAGAGGGGGGGGATCGAGTCGTCTGCAGGGGGGTTCGAAAACGTCCCCAAAGAATGATGATGACGGTAACGATCTCCACAAACTCGGTCGACGAGTTGAACAGTAAAAAGAGAGGTGTAGAGTTAAATAACACGCAAGAACAGAATATGCGAACAGCAATCGAGTTGCGAAGAAACAAGAATTCCGAAACAGGGTTGAGTGAAACTTGAGTAAAAGCAAAACAACACAGAGAGACAGGGACAAAAAAAGGAAACAAAAAAGAAAAAGATTTGAAAACAAGGGCTTCTGGGGAATCAAGGGAGAGCAAGAAGCAGGCTCCCGGAGGACATGGGCCTTGTTTTAAGGTCCTGCGATGCAGTCATCTCTGGGCCAGAGGAATTCGAAGAGAAGCGCAATGACCATACTACTTACTGACAGGCCCTCCACCCTCTTCCTCCTCCTCCCCCTTGTGGGCGGCTGTCGGGATGAAACAAGGGAAGATCTAAGCCCGATGGGACATGTGAAACGGAGCGCGTGTATCTGAAGAGCTCAGTCTGGCGAGAATGGCTCGCTGATATTGGTCGGGCACGCCCAGCAGTGCGCATTATGGGCCACGGGCGGCTAGACAGGGGCTCCCGTTTGGGCAAAGGCGGCTATCTCGTCTGGCAAGGCTGGCATATTGCTTGGGGCTGCTCTACGGATTAGGAAGAAATTGCTATGTACAGATGTCAGAGAGGATAACGTCTGGCGAGGGTTGGAAAAAAAGGGGGGCCCGCAGAGGAACAACGGCTCAGTCCGAGGAAGCGCGCTCGCTAGGTACCGTCTGTATGGCGGCTACGAGCGTTAAGATGGACAAACATAGCACAGACGCGGGACTGGCCCTTGAAAATGTTTCATTATTGTTCGCGTCGACGTAGTATCGAGAATGTTCGCTGCCTCGCAGAAGAGAAAAATGGCATGTCCACGATGTCACCTTCACCAGCAGACAAGGCTCAGGCGGCAACCCCCCTAACCCATAGCCTAGCCCAACAATGACATCAAAAAGAGCAAGAAAGACTCCATCTCCAATCTCCATATCCCTGGAAGAACCCACGCAATAGCGGCGCCAACAGGAAATGAGCGGGATCATTGCATTGCATTGCATGGAGTTCTTCTTCTTTGCGGCGGGAGGGATCACCACCGTGGGGGGGGAGAGAGAAGGGTTGAACCGCCCGGAAAGAGATGCACTCCTCCCCCAGGGCAAGGAACACCTTTTTTTGCATGGGTCACCCCGGTTTTTGCACATGGCAGACGCGTGCAGCTGCAGGGACTCTTGTTTCTTTTTGCCGCGCTGCCTTGCTGGAAGGGAACGATCCCGGCCTTTTGCGCGTTTTTGTATGTAAGTTCAAGGTTGTAGTATGTCTGGCGATGGAGGCGGGCAAGGGAGGCCAGAGTCGACATAACAGGTACGAAAGTCGAAGTACATGGGTTGCCGTTCCCTTTTCGTACTAGTGGTAGTCTTCTCCACAAGCGGGTGAAGCGCGATTGGTCCATTGAGCGGCTTCAAGCGCGCGTCTGGCGAAGGGCCAGCCGAGTCTAGTCCGCAAGCAGCTCTAGCGCAATCTATTTCTGGCCGCCCGCGGGGCCTCAAGAAGCGCCGCGCTAGGATCTTACCGCGCTGGTCTGATTGGCCCGGCCGCGGCGGCTGTTCCGCTTGTACCTTGTCGCCTAGACTCCCGCGTGACGGTACCTCGTCTGGCCGGGTCGCCGTGAGACCGTCTGGCGGCCGAGATTTGCATGAACATGCGGGCATCGATTCCCGTCAATAATGCATATGTCGATGATTCTCCAAGGCCGGCTGCGGGAGCCGACCATGGTGGGTTTGCGGGGGTTCTGAGGGTAGCAGTCATGACAGAGGGACGTTTCAAGCGTGATCTCGTGGGCAGAGAAGAAGCGCGTTTCATCTGATGCGTCTGTTGGGTCATGAACCAACAACTACAAAAGGCGCGTAACCCTGCTGTTGGTCGGTCCTTAGTTGGCTGTCTCTCTGTTCTGCATGTACATACTTTGTGCTGTAGAAGATGAATGCGTGTAATTATAGCATCCGCTCGAAGGTCGCATGCTCTTCTGATTTTCTAGGTCGCCTGAGCAACACGTCATTCATTCTATTTCGGGCGGATTTCATGTCTCAACGATGGCTTACCAAAGTGTTTCGAGGCGTTGCGTAACATTGCGAGGGCTGCGGCAAGGGAGGACTTGGGAGTGCGGGAATGGCATTTTCGGTGAAGGCTGTGGTGATGCGGCTCTCTTCCTGCTCTCTTCTGGGGCGGCAACGAGGAACACGTAGCTACGGCTGTGTCTTGCTCGCCCTGCGAAGGAGACTGGCTATTGGCCGTTGCTGTCAGCGCCCCAGTCAAATGTTCATCTCTGCCGACTCTTGCCATCAAATTGATTCACAATGTTGAGCCGCTCTGAAGCCACTTGCTGATGGTTCATCAGGGACTCGCACGTACCTCTCCTGCTGAGCATTGCCCGCTTGCCTACCCTGCAACGTACTCTGAAGTTCGTGTCTTCTATGAGCAGATCCTCCCTCGTAGCTTCAATGCCCATCAGGACGCTAAACGTTTGGAATCTTTAGAGTGATAGGTAAAGCGACAAAGGAGTGCTCGATTGCCCGGAGTCCAGGAAGCTGACGAGGTTAATTCATACCAATCAGCCCAGCGGCCTCCTTCGGTCCAGCAGCTGGAGTCGTTCGCGCTCAACGCCATGATCACCCATTCATCCTTCTGTACAGCAACAATTGATTCACAATGTCAGATCTGCTTCATATCGAGGTCGATTGGTAGCGAAATCTCCCATGCATCGACCTTTAGGCCTCCAAGGCCTTGTAAGTCTCAGTTCGGAGACTCGATAGTACTAGGTACTATTATCAAAGACCCCGATCAGCTCCACCCGTCAAATCGCCGCCACGCTGAGAGTGACAAGCCTCAACGGACCATCGCCGCAATGACGACAAACAAAGAACCAAATAAGGCGACGGAAACTCAACTGAAGGGCCATCGCAATCATCAAGGACGCAAGCCCGATATTCTCGTTCCCCCCCGCATGCACAATGACAGACCCAAGTCCACTGTCCAGTGGGCCCGCAGATCGAAACGGAAGGCTAGGCGAAGCCGTCAGCAAATCAACGGACTCAGCGCCCTTGACGCCCACACGGTATCTCGGCCTTGGCCAGATTGCGCAAGGCTCAACGATTAATCTAGATATCAATCCGTCTATCTCGGTATCTATCAGTAACAACTCGTGCATCTAGGATTCAGGCTATTAGTCACGAGAAATAGATCAGATTTCAGCTTCCTTGTACTAGACTACATGCTCCTCAAGACTGAAGCCCGCCCCAGCCCTTGTGCTCCTCTCGCCGGGTTTCCCGATCCCAGCATGGTCCGTAGCCCTGTCTATCAGAGTACCTTGTATGATCAATATCAGCAGAGAATGCCACAAGTGTAGATAAAGTCCACGGGCTTTTTCTGTACACGGGGGCGCAGCTTTCTGGTTCTGGATATTGACTCCGGTAGCTGAACTATAATGATGTCCGTTTAATCAACGTACATGTAGGTATAGACACTCGGCCGGGAAGAGGTGAAAATACCGGAGCCTTTCAACAAAGAGTCAGCCCCCGAAGCCACAACACCAAGAACACGACACCAAACTGATAACAGGCATAACCCAGCAAGACACTAACTGACACGCCGTCAACAGCGGGAAAAGGAGGGAAGTTTTCGTTCCAAGAAAGTCCCCTCCTAATCGTGCCGATCCATAATAACCCGGCTCTTCAAGAGAAGCAGCAGAGAAAAGAAGGGTTGAAGGCTCGAGGCTTTGGTACGAGAGCAGCAGAAATCTGGGGAAGTCCGGGGTAACCCTGGCTTAGCCGTATCTTAGCAAACCCCCCCGGTTCACGGGCATGGCGCCCTCAAGAAAGCGGAACGAGGATCCAGCGTTATCGGCGGCGCGCCCTATCACGACCCCGTCGTTATCATCTTTTCTCTCTTTCTCGACCGGGTCTTTTGCAGTTTCGGTACTCGGAGGAAGTCAGTTGTGGCAAGTGGTTGTGAGTTCTTTTTGTCTCTCTCTCTGCAACCCCCCCCTTTTCTTTCATCTAGGCTTCTTATAGCCTAGATTCCTCGGCGCGAGGTGTGCCACACGCACTGAAACTCGTCTGCGATCGGGGGTTTGATTTCGCTGATGAGACTGCTGAAAGAGATAAGCGTCCAGTCTGCAGGGGTTTGAAAGAGGAGGAGGAGGTTGCAGACCTGCGTTACGACGGCTATGCAATTGAGCTGTAGCGTGCATGTACTCTTTTCCAAGTCTATGGGCAAGGTGAGGAGGAGGCCGAGGCAGAGAGAGACGGGCCAGGCAGGGGGATATACTACCACATAAACTCCATGGCGTGCCCCGACCATCTGGACATCGGTGTTTCTTGTTCATCCTCCTCCTCCTATTGTGACATACGAACCTGCACAATCTTTTCTTTCTGGTTGATCGGTGTGATTTATATATTTTGAGGCACCTGCCGAGAACCTTGACTCTCACAAACTGGGAATGCTGTCTCGCTATATACTCATCCATCCGCAGTCTTCGCCTCGCACCACCACAAAGCGTTATCAAAAGGAGGTAGCAGGGACAAGAGACAAGAAAAAGCAACAACAACAAGAACCATCAAAATGGCAAGCGGCAGCAAGAAAGCCCCCAACATCACCAAGCTCATCGACAACCATGACGACCTCGACACCGTCGACCAAGCCACCCGCGACGCCGTCGACCTCGCCGCCCTCGGCCACTCCCAGGCGCTGACCCGCAAGTTCGACATCTGGAGCATGCTCGCCCTCGCCTTCTGCGTCCTGGGCACCTACTCGACCGAGGCCCAGGGCCTCTCCAGCGGGCTCACCAACGGCGGGCCCGTCGCCGTCCTCTGGGGGCTCGCCGTCGTCACCCTGTGCAACGTCTGCGTCGCCGTGTCCATGGGCGAGCTCTGCAGCAGCATGCCCACCGCGCTGGGCCAGGCCTTTTGGATCTCGCAGCTCAGCCAGACGCCCCTGGGCCGCTTCACGGCCTACATGTGCGCGTGGATCAACACCTTTGGCTGGTGGACGCTGACGGCGTCGCAGAACGCCTTCATGACCGAGTTCCTGCTCGGCATGAAGGTCATGTTCGACCCCGACTGGGACGGCGCCGGCAAGGGCTGGGTGCAGTTCCTCGTCTACGTCGGCATCACCGTCTTCTTCACGGCCATCAACCACGTCGGCTGCCGCAGCGATCGCTTCCTGCCCTGGTTCAACAACTTCGTCGGCGTTTGGTACGTCGGCCTGTTCTTCGTCATCGGCCTGGCGCTGCTCATCTCCGTCGGCGTCAAGGACGACCTCAAGTTCCAGTCGGCCAAGTTCGTCTTCGGCACCTGGATCAACCAGACCGGCTGGCCCGACGGCGTCACCTGGTTCATGGGGCTTGTCCAGGGCGCGTACGGGCTCACGGCCTTTGACTCCGTCATCCACATGGTCGAGGAGATCCCCGCGCCGCGCCGCAACGGGCCAAAGACCATGTACCTGTCCGTCATCTGCGGCGCCGTCTCCGGCTTCGTCTTCATGGTCATCTGTCTCTTCACCATCCAGAACCTCGACAACGTCCTGGATCCTCCCACGGGCTTGCCGTTTGTCGAACTGCTGCAGGAGACTGTCGGGCTCAATGGCGCCGCCACGCTGGTCGCCCTCTTCATCTTCAACGGAATGGGCCAGGGAGTCAGCGTCCTGACTTCTTCCTCCCGCCTGACGTGGAGTTTCGCCCGCGACGGCGGTATCCCCTTCGCCGCGTACTTCTCCTACGTCGATCCCACATGGCAGGTTCCCGGTCGGGCATTGTGGCTGCAGGCGTTCCTCATCAGCCTGGTGGGCGTCCTGTACCTCTTTGCAAACACGGTGCTCGAGGCCATTCTCAGTGTCAGCACCATCGCCTTGACCGTCTCCTACGCCATGCCCATCATCGTCCTCCTCATCGTCGGCCGTGACAAGCTGCCCCCGGGAGAGTTCCGCCTGGGACGGCTCGGCATGCCTCTCAATATCGTCTCCATCATTTACTGCGCCATCACATCCGTCTTCTTCCTCTTCCCTGGCAGCCCCAACCCGGCGCCGAGCGACATGAACTACGCCATTGCTGTTTTTGGCGTCATGCTTGTTGCTGCCGTTGCTTTTTGGTTCGTCAATGGCCGTGTTTCCTTTATGCAGTTGGATGATGAGCTGGTGGGCCAAGTCGTGCGCGAACTCTCGTACGATGAACCCAACCCTCAAGCGGTCACACCCAAGGATATGAAATAAGGAGCGTACCAGCCAGGCCTCGTGACGCGTTTTTTGATCTTCCGAAAAATGGATGAAAATGTAAGAATTGAGTCAATAATATAACCATGCCAGCAAGGCAAATGTTCATAAAGGCAGCCTGTCACCCTGCATCTAAGGTATCGAGCGTATAAAACCCAAGCTGTAACAACCACCACTCTAATTGCTGTCGTAAAGCGTATAAGCAAAATCACAAACCAAGTCTAGCATTGAATGCAGCACTCCCTCCTCAGCCCAGAAATGACCCGCCGACGGAATCTCATGTCCGCGAAACTGAGATGCTGGCTGCGAACTGAGTCGTGCCACCCAAGCACGCAGCTTGCCCACGGGAACAAATATGTCGCAATCTCCAAAGACGGCTAATGTAGGGCTCTGCACGAGCTTGGCCTCGGCACCGGTGTCTTGTTGAGGAGGCCTTCGCCTTGTGAGTACCGACGGCATCAGGGACATGGTGGCCAGGTGCGTAACCAGGCCCTGTAGCGGAGAGACGAGCAAGTACGCTGGCCGGGGCATCATGAAGCCATTGATGGGTGAGAGCCTGCCGTTTGCCGGGACCAGAAGCCCGGGGCTCGCTGAGCTTCTTGGGCTGTCGGCGGTCTGGTGCTGGCTCTGAGCTTCCCGCAGGGCGTGCCTCTGCTTCTCCGCCCAACCCTCAGCCCGCAGTCGTATTTGGGCGGCATGAGATCCGCTGTCCGGAGAAGAAAAAGGCTCTAAAAGCTCGTTGAGAGGCGGCAATTGCGTTGTGACCATGGCTCCGTAAGAGTAGCCCGCCATCAATAGGACAGAAGGGTGCTGGCTCCATGCAGTCAACCGCGTCTCGTCAATGTCAGCAGACGACACCAGACGATGGACGTAATGCGCCATGAAGCCGACGAAGCTGATGTAGTCGTCGCGCTCCGGCCTCGCCGTCCATGATGTTCTCCCCCCAGATTGCCCAGCACCTCTGCACCCGTTTTGATGCGCATCATTAGCTGACATGTTACTCGATTTCCGTTCTCATGCCAGAATCCGCCCACACAAGGCACAACGCACCTGAAATTGAACGTCCCCAGCAGATATCCCTTGTGCAGCAGCTGAGCCGCCACAATGTCCACTATTCCATCGTCAAAACTCCCGCCCAACGGAGCGTACGGATGCGCAAAGACAGCCGCGTGTTGCTTCCAAGGCTCGGGCTGCGAGGTGCGCGAAAACGAGGCTGGGTGATAGATGCGGCACTCGAGGGGCGTGCCGTCGTGGATGCTGGGGATGGTTAGCGTGAAGGATGGCTGGGGCAGCATCTTCTTCTTTTTCGCATTTTGATGCCGACGATGGAGGATTTCAAATGCTATTGTCAATAATGGCCTCCACTGTCGGTCGGCGTGGTGGAGATGGATGTTTTTGGTTGCTCAAGAGACTGGGGGAGCTCCAATTAATCATCCGGGGAAGCTTCCATTCGCTCTATTTAGGGAGTAGCTTCGCTGTCACGTCACTTTCACTCAGCAGTGATGAAATTATAAAATGAGGCAAACACAAACAATTGAGAAGTGAGAGGGAAGAAAACCACGGGTATCTTTCTAAATTATATAACCAAACCAAATCTAGACAAACTTGCTACTGATGTTTCTTGCTTCTAGCATCCAGCGCCTTCTGCTTCGCCTCCTTGACGAGCTTCTTGATCTCGTTGATGAGCCCCAGTATCAGCGGCACAAACACCGGCCCAAGCAACGGCAGGTAGACGGCAATCTTGTGCTCGTCTGGGAAATACAGCTGTCCCACCATGCTCTTCTCAAAGAAAGCCCTCTCTGCCTCTTCCTCGGCAATCCTCGCGTGCATCAGTCCTTCAGGCCCGCCAAGGTCGGCGCAAGCCAGCTCCAGGTGATGCATCGTCTTGGAAACGCCGTCTGCGACACTCCGAGGGATCGAGATGGAGGGCAGTGCAAGAGACAGTCTCGCAAGCGATCCCAGAGTAGACGACGCACGGAGCAACAGGTCAGTAGATCGGATGCGACCCAGGGTAGAGAGTCGCAAAGGTAGAGAACCAGACTGAGGAGTGCCCAGCAGGGACAGCAAGTGGCCGCCGAAAGTAAGCATGGGCTGCTTCAGCTCCTCAACCGATACGTGGCTGGCCATGTCCGGGTGGGAAAGCAGGTACACGGTGCCCCATTGCGGTATCATCCAAGACTGAGACGTCTCCGTCTCGGCATCCAGCGCCACCGTCTGGTTTCCAACGTAGATGACAAAGTTGACCGTTGGCGCCTTGCCAATAGATGGCGACAGCGGCCACTCAGCAGCATTGATAAACGACGAAAGATGTTCCTTGCTAAGCACCTGAGACTGCACGCCTGGGACGGCGTACAGCTGAACTTGGGTGTCAATCGTGAAGTTGTGGATGGGGCGCAAGACTTCCAGCATAGGCCTGATGTATTCGTCCAACGCGGCCTCGATATCCCACGTATTAGGCACACCATTGGCCGTGAAGAGCGAAAAAGTGAGATGATATGTCGGAGCGTATCGCAGGGATCGGGTCGTTCGCTTCGAGAGAGCCTCAGCAGCCTCGGCGCTTAGGCCTTGGGGGCGCACGCCGGTGGACATGGACGACGTAGAGAGAAGGTATGATATGATGGCCTGTTCCTCAGCAAAGGTGGCCCGAAGCTCGTTGGTGATGTAGGATGCAAGGGGGGATGATGGCGACGTGAGAGACGGGACGTAGTTGGGAGGGTAGGTGATGTCGAGAACGGCGGACTCTTGGTTGAGCGACGCCGAAGTGCTCGTGCCCGGTTGGAGGCGAATCGTCAGGGCTGTTCGGAAGTCGTCTTTAGGGAGAGGCGCATTGCGCGGCGCCAGTTGCAGGCGCAGATGGTGGCCGGAGAAGTCGTTGAGATCGTCCAATGCATGCTGCGTCAGTCGGATAAGATTGTGCGCCTCCTGCTCCTGGAGGGCGTCCGCCTGTATCGAGATCTGGAGGGGAAAGACGGGTCGACAGGCCTATGAACCACACAGCGTCAGCGGAGAGCGACAGAGCATCGCGTGACGGGCCGGAAATTGAATTTCATTCATACCTTGCCGTCAGCCCATTTCAGCATGCTGTCCAGAGGCAGCTCGGCGCGGTAGATGGCCGTCGTCTTCCACCAGATGGGCACCCCGAGCAGAAGCACCACCAGCCAGAAGGACAACACGACATATGACCGCTGTCTGACTGCCGACGGCTTCTCGGGAGGAGGCAACGTAGGCGCTGGAGAGGCAGAGTCAACAGGCGCAGAACTGCCTGATGCCAGCGGCTGCTCTGCTTCCCCGGACGCCATGATTGCGGAGCGACGTGGATCAGTGCCGTCAACGTGAATTGGAGGTTTGTGACGATACTGTCTGTCTCTACCTTGTCCAGCCAATCTGGGCGAAGTGGCATGAATTCAGGTACAGGCTCCATCGACTACCGCGCAGTCACGTGAAGGCCGCTCGCTGCTGCCACAGGCATGTGCCTTCCTTGATTCCCTGCGATGACGGAACCACCAGATGAACTTGCTCTCCTTCACATCACCAGATTCTACGTATTTCATTCTGATTGCTTCGTCTCTTACTTCCACAGTCACTCTGCTCAAAATGCCGCTTGGATTGAAAGAACAGGTGCTAATTATCAAAATCGACACTATCTCTACTTGCTGCTAGTACTACTAACAGCCGCTGCGAGATGTCTGCAAGCCACATTCGACGCCATGCTCCAGATCAAGCAACTGCTTGGAGCCGACGTGAAATCCAATCAGAAACAACGAAACATCCGATATAACGCCAATCCGATCCAAGATCATTCATGTACCTCATATTATCATTCACAGCGTCATCATGAAAGCAGGCAACATAAGCCCAAGGCCTACAGCTGCCCACTTCAACGGGATGTAGCTCGTCTTTACCATGGTATCAGCATGCACCCAATCAACGTCAGAGGACTTGATGCCTTGACTCACCTCTACAGCTCGAGCGGCAGCCGAGCTGCTTGTCGTGGTCGTCGCGGCTGCGCTGCGAGTTGCACTTGATCCCGCTGGAGTCTGGTCGCTCGAATCCGTGGTTCCAGCCGCCGTCGAGCCCGTCTCGGTTGGAGTCGCCGTGCCAGCTGCTGTTGTTTCCGGAGAAACGTTGTCGGTAGCAGTAAAACTCGCCGAATCAGTCGGGACGGGGCCGGCTGTCACAGAACCGGTTGTGGCCGCAGCACCAGCAAACTTTGTACACAGGCCAACTACTTCCGAATTCCTCTGCAAGGCTCTCCAGATGGTCGGATGGGCACTCTCTCCCGTACTGACGCAGGTGGCCACCGCATTGTCCCACGTGTCTGGAGCATAATTGTTGTCGCTGTCGTAGCAAAGACAGCTGGCCTGTTGCTCGAAAGTTGCCGTATCAAACCCGGAGTTGGCATTCTCACACTCGGTCACGAATCGCTCAACGGAAAGACAAGCATCGCCGAAGACGCCGTATCCCTGCTGCTGCTGAAAATTGGCCATGCATTGTGCTACATCGCCAACCGTGCTTTGCGAACAGCACTCTGCAGGTACGCCGGTAAAGTCCGCTGTGCAAGAGCCAAAGCCATATGGCTCTCCCTGGCAAAAGTTCTTTACACACGCTGATGGATGGGTTAGCAGACCGGCCCTGGCTTGGTTACACCATCCACTGAGGTGACGACTCACTCGATGCAAGCGAAGGACTAGAGAAATCGCATTTCTTCAGGACAAAAGTACAGGTTGTGAACTTGTTCTGAGCCGCCATCGTGCCTTGACTGAAGCTTTGCCTTGATTCAGCGCCTTTGACTTGATCTTCCCGTCAGCCATCTCCAGCGCCAAGATTGTGGCTTTTTAAAGTGTTACTCTGACAGCCAACAGATCTCTTGGTGATTGATGGCCAAACTCTTGCAGTCTAAATGTTCAGCTGGCACAATAGCGTGCAAATAATGCGGCGATAATGGCTGGCGCAGACGAGACTATTGAGACAACTAGCCTGAGATTGGTGCCGATCTCCTGAAAACGGCAATTTCGTGCCGCCTACTCCCTCATACTGCTTGGTCAATTGGTATAGCATCAATTGGATTGGCACTTGGGGCCTTAAGCAAAGGCTCTTCCCGCGCGGGAGACTGGCTGTGGCGAAGCTCAAATGAAGCGACAACCGACTACCAGGCTCCGCGCTTGGTAAATGGCGTTGAGATACCCTGTGAGCTGAGCCTCGGCCAGTCGATAATATGAACTCGAAGGGTATATTTCCAATCATGTCGACTTCGAGCAGTGGCGAAGTCCAAGGCGAGGTCATTCTCTGTCAGATTTTTCAGGGATAGGCTGTGATGTGAGGCTTGAGCTGAGATGTGATATGCGAGCAAAAAGGTACGTGGGCGTGGCAGGCTTCGGTATAGAACGATGACGACTTTCCCAAAGCAACAATAGGGTGTTTGCATGTCTTATCACGCAAACCTCGCCCAAGGGCCTACAGTATCTACCAGTTTCTGCAGACCATATCGGCCGTGGCCCTGACGACGTATCAGCAATATGAGGGACGATTGCTCGTCAGATGCTTTTCCTGTCATGCCAGTCTGTGAACTGGTAAATTCCATCTGGGGCTGACCACACTACGATAATACTAAGGATCGCGACTACAGCTTGTGCTTAACTGCGTGTTTATTTAACTGACCACGCCATGACTTGGGCAACCTCCATCACGTGTATCAGCTACTTCGACAAAAGAAAAGCCGTCGCATCGACAATGAATCAAGCTCCCAATATCTGCAGCATATGCACAAGTGGGAACAGATCGGGCCTCCACGGCCACGACCTCATCTGTCCTGCAGGATCTCATCTTGCAGACCATTGCCTCCATTCTCACATTGCTCTCACAGGGCCCGGATCAGTAAGGCTCATTCATGTCGAGGGCACTCGAGCTAACAGATACTTTGAGATGCAAAAGTCAGAGGTTGCCGTGGACTCCAGTCCAATATTGAAGGATTTCCATACTCGTGGGACGTACAAACTCCGTCATGCCCAGAGCAATGGCGCTACGCTGCGTATCACACACAACTGCATGACTACCCTGCACCGGCTGAGGAGCATGGGCGATCTCACTTTGTGGATAGATGGAACCTGCATCGATCAGTCATGCACAGCCGAGCGCAGCGCTCAGGTCGCACTCATGCGAGACATATATTTGCAAGCCGCAGAGGTGGTTGTGCGGCTGGCTTGGGGAAGAAGACTGGGCGAGCAAAAGGGCTACTGGTGGCTTCGAAGACAATTGCGCTTAGTGCATCGACGAGGAGCGCACGCGGAGATGTCTC